TCACGCTTAGTCTTAAAGACCCATTTACACCTAACACTCTTACATCCTTCTGGCAATTCCACAAGATCCCATACACCATTATATGTCATTGATTTAAGCTCATCTTTCATAGCATCTAACCATTTATCAGAATTATCACCATTAATGACATCTGAAAATGAAACTGGTTCATTATCAATGCTTAGGTCATTTTCTGACTCTTGTAGATAAACCACATAATCATTCGAAATAACAGACTTTCTTTCTCTGTGAGATCTTCTTAATACTATTTCCTGTGGTTGTTCTATTATCGGATCATTGTTAATCGCAGGATCATTAATTTGTTGTTCTTCTTTATTGTTGTGTGATTTTACAACATTTGGAACAACAACTCTTGAAGATGTACTAGTTATTGGAACTTGTACTCTAACTTCCTTAATCTCCACATTTCGTGAAGCTTCACTCCCACTGGCTTCACCATTTTCAATGAACCGATCATTTCTAGTTTCAACAATTCTTGTACTATAGGCAGGACAGTAAAACATATACCCTTTTGATTTTTCTAGATAACCAATGAAATATCCACTGATTGTTCTTGCATCCAGTTTCTTTTCTTGCGGATTATAAATTCTTACTTCTGCCTGACAACCCTAAACATGTAGGTGTCTCATACTGGGTTTCCTACTTGTCCATAACTCAAAATGAGTCTTTTGAATCGTTTTACTAGAAACCCCTGTTCAACAAATACATGGCAGTCTTCAAAACATACATCCACAACGATACAGGTAAACATAAATTACTTAACATATTCCTAACCATATCAAATCATAGAAGTACGCTTAAACAAACTGAAACAATCATTCCCAAACTTAAAAGAGTATCCAACAACATCAAGTTTAGACAAAGAAACTAAATTTCTAATGATACTAGGTACATAAAAAGTATCCATAAGGTCTAAGTGATATCCAGTGTCAAGGATTAAACGATAAGTCCCGACAGCTTCCACTGGAACCTTGACTTTATTTCCCATGAAGACGAACTTCTCATTTGGGTTTATGGTTCGGGTTGAAAGGAATCCTTGCATTACATTAGAAACATGAGTCGTACATCCAAAATTAATCCACCAAGTATTATGGGGAACTTCAGTTAAATTTGATTCAAAACATACATAAGCATTATGCTCACCTTTCTTTTCGAACCAAGTTTTGCGCTTTAAGAAGTCCTTCTGAAAATGTCCAGACTTCCCGCAGAAATGACATTTGTCATTTTTCTTCTGAATGTTAGTAGAGGACTCGTTAATCTTTAATGACCCTTTACCCTTTCCATGTTTCTTAACAACTTTCTTTTTAGCTCCTTGATTTTTCACGTAATGAATAGAGTGACTTCCTAGGTTCTTGAGTTTGGTCTCCTCCTGGGCTAACATACTGTGCAATTCATGCACATTCCATTTGTCTTTCATGGTGTTATAATTCATCTGGAACGAACCATACTTAGACGGTAACGAGTTCAAAATGAACTGCACAAGAAAATTTTCTTCTACTGTCATTCCAAGAGACTTGAGTCTTGCTGTGATATTTGTTATTTCAATTACGTGTTCATGCATACTACGAAAACCATCAAACTTCATGGTGGTCAACGTACTCATTAATGTCCCAGCGAGAGATTTGTCAGCAGTTTGAGAGCGCTCTTCCACAAATTTCATAAATTCTTTCACGTCCTTAGTTTTGGAAAAAGCATACATATTATTGCTTGCAATACTCATTCACATAAACATAAGACTAAGTCTGTTTGACCTTTTCCAAACTCTATAATGAGTTTTCTCTTTGTTGCTACTAGCATTAGTGATAGCAGCCAGTTTTTCAACTTGGAAAGCCAAATCAAAATCCAACTCACCTAAGTGAAATTGGACTTTCTCACTCCAGTCAGGGAATTTAATCTATTAAAGACTGGAACAGACGAAGTAAGCGAATGTAGAAATACATAAACAAATACTTCAATTAACACATACCTAACATTAACGCTTTGAGTCATAAAAACTAAACATAAATACAGATTCAAACATAAATAATCATTCTATGCATACTAATGTTCTCCTTTGGGAGATCCACTAATACACAAACATAATTACGCTAATCTTTTTATAACATTAATGATAATTAAAATATGCATCAACTAGAATCACTTAACACCTTTGGGTATATAAATAAAACTAGTGACGCACACAAAATTATCTACTTTCATGTTCATTAATTATAATAACAACTAATCAACCTTTGGGTGATCCTGAAATGTCTTATAATAATGAACTTCAATTAACCCATAAATCATTATTCATAATTTTAGCATTCATACTATAGGTAATTGAAATAAAATCACTAATAATTTGAAATCAAAATAACCTTCAAATTTTGGCCACTTTGGTGACTAACAAAATTTATCATGCTTAATTTCAAATAAATAACATCTTTAATTGCTATTAACCATTCATAGCATTTTTTTTATTAATTTAATAAATATGTACATTATTCACATAATAAAATATTATGTGCCATAAATAAAATTGAAACTTATAATTTCAATTTTCATCCTAAGATTGATTTTTAATCCAAGAACTTTATTTGCATTTCACGTAAAAGTGAAATTGTCATCCATTCAAAACTTTTATGAGTAATTTAAACACAGCGGAAATAATACAATTCAGTTTGCAAAACAAAATTCATTCATTTATCAATGTTTACATTATAGGTACATTAACAAAGTTTTACGATACGTTAACAAAGCTTCACAGTACATTAACAAAACAAGTATATTAACAACCTTAACAAAGCTTCACAAGTACATTAACAAAGCTTTCAGTACCCTTAACAAAGTTTTCAGTACCCTTAACAAGGCTTTACAAGTACCTTTAACAAAGGGTTACAGTACCCTTAATAAAGAAATAACTCTTTAATTATCCTTCACTAAAAAAATATGTACTTACAAAAGAATATTATAAATAATATAATATAATATATGAAACCTGTGTGTTTAACACGTGCTCTCTACGCGCAAAGTTTATCAACTTTACATTTTACCATTCTTCCATCATAATTATAACATTTCATCATAACATCTCATCATAATTATAACATACAATAAATCTAATTTCATACATGATTCACCCTAACCCTATCACGCCATTTATCTTTTTAATTAAAATCAATTACGGGTTCATTCACGCATAGGGGCTATAAAATTGGTTTCAATTAGAACTTGATAACATAATTAGGGTTTATTCCTTCATTTAATTTTGAGAAAAATAAATTTGGGAATAAATTAGGGTTCATACTAATCTGATAGAGAAATCCCTAAATTCATAATTATGGTTTATCTTAATTTGGGAAAAATTTAATATTTGGGAAAACTTTCATACAAGGAAAATCATAAATCTAATAATCAGTGCTCTGATACCACATGTAAAATTATATGTAGTTTTCCTACGTTCTTAATTCATTATAGAAAACTACTCTACATGATCTTTAGATTATTGATTTTCACAATTTTACATACATCAATACATGAATCATAGTAAGAAGACTAACATTGATCCATGAGAATCTTTTCTTTGATCTTTTCGTCCTCCTATCTCCTTTTCTCAATCTATCTCTTTGCCTTTCTTTCTCTTCTCACGCTTCGCTTTCTTGATGGTTTATCATGAAAAAAACCTTATGGCCAGAGACAGAACCCTAATCCCTTTTATTAACCAACGTCCATCAAGTTGGTTACCGTAAGTTAATATTTTATTTTATTCTGACTTCACATAATAACCAATAGGTCCTCATATTTTATTAAATCACATTTGAGCCTATTATTATATTTCACATGAGTCACATAATGGAATGAATTAATTAAATTAATTCTAACACATATATCCTACATAATCTAGAGTCTAGACTTGGAGACATTTCATGAACATAAAGCTTGCCTGAAAAGAATGGGAGACACTTCACTAACATAAAGCTTGCCTGAAAGGAAGACAAGAGTCCTACATAAAAGCAAATGTAGTTATGGACTCTTTGGCTCATCTTTTAAATCCTCAATGTGCATCCTTTTTAAAGCCATACTTTACATTCAGAGAAAGGAATCCAATGTGATTTGTGTTTCAAATATGCTAGCTAAGCCACCGAAGAGAGGACAAGTTAAAGATATTTCTCATCAAAATATACAATTTTTGAGTAGTTTCTATTATTACGCAGCAATGGTTTTACATGTCACATCATGTACTATTCTAAAATAACTGTTAATGTGACATAATTTATTAATTGTATGACATGTTACTAAGCAGTTTAGATAGAGACCATTTTAAAAATTACTATATAAAGTGTATGAGATCAAAACTAATAAAAAAAAGAAGAAGAACACCATGGACCTATATTTGTAGATCATATTATGGTATATTCATAGAAACTACAGAAGAAACGTAATTCTTCCTTTTTCTTATTCCATAGTTGAACAGAACTGTTTGAAATGCAGATTCAAAGTTATTTCAAAATATTCTTTATTTTGTTTTCAGTTAGCAAATAGTAAGCACATATGACCCCGCATGCATACTTGATTTTGATTGCTGTGCTATTATTGAGAATAACATGGTCCACTTGGCGAAAGTTAATTAAATGAAAGTGATGGATCATTGCATCATCACTTCTCACACATCAGTTCAGGAAGTACTACTATGGGAAAAGAAAAGAAAAGAGATTCATATTGATTTAAGAAAACCACGCACCATACAATAAATGGAACTCTCTAACGCCAAAACTAAAGAAAATAGTTTAAAGCACCAAAACAACATTGCTGTAGTTCTTGAGGTAAATCTGAGAAAGATCCTAAGGGATGTAGCTAGCTAGCTTCTCTGTAACATGGCATTTTAAACCACCTTTTCAGAATTCACACTGTCTTTAACATCCCAAAGAAATTAATAAAGAAATCTTGCAGCATCTCCAGTAATTAATGTAGCTCGCCTTCATCATTGGATAAACTCATTTCTAGTACGTGTCCCTTGGAGCGCTGCATTTAAAACATTCCATTCGGCTTGCGAAGTTGTGCTCATTGCATCCTGATCTGCTCAATTACAAAGATAAAAATGGAAAAAGGAATAAATCAATTTTTGTCATAACAAGAAACAAAAGGAAATGAAAGACTACTTAGTGAGCCATATTCTGCACTACAAAGCTGAAGGGACAACTAGTTTTCAAAGTATGCAACTTCTAAAAGCAGTCAAAGAAAGGGGAACCCAATAAAGATATGAGTTGCATGCCTACAACACCAACAGTGCCTTTTGTTTTTGTGGTGTTTGTCATATTCTTCACACTTTAAAGACAACAGGCAAAGGAAAAGCGCAAGATGTTTCCTAAGCAAGAAGCAAAAATCAAAAGATGGTGAGACACAACATCAATGAATGAATGACTCACCTGCTGCATATCCAATCACCAGATTTCCATCCTGGTCTTCCACTGCCACCAAAAGCTCTTGAGCGCAAGATGTCACTGTTATAGCCTCCAGCCAAGTCATCCTTGAAAACACCACACTTGAAGCAGCTTGAGCGGCTAGCAAAGTTGTGTGCACCGCAGTTAGCAGCAGCACAGTACCAGTCACCAGGACGAACATCTGACCCAGTTAACCCAAATGAAGACCCTCCTCTTCCTCCAAACCCACCAAAATCAACTCTGTCTCCATATTTCGAGTCCCCACATCGCTGGCACGAATCCCTCCTCTGAAAATTCAGGTGCTGGCATGACCTGCAATTCCAGTCTCCTGGTCTGCTCATATTTACTTCTCTGCAAATCACTGTTGCATTCACCAAAACAATCATCATTAGAAGACTATATGTGTAAATTATGAACCAAGTGTCAAATTTTCAATACAGTCTTCTGTTAATCAAACATGATGTTATCTATACATATTTATTGCCACATTATATACATGTGTTCGTGTATAGTACTAGGCACTAGCTAGCTTGGTAGCATCATGCTTATTATAATATTTGGGACAAAATAAAATAAAATAACTCAGTCATTGGATTAACTTCTCTGAAAGATACGAAAACAAGTTACGAGGCTGACATAATAGAACACTCAAGTAGAAGACAGATTGATCACATTATTATAAAGGTGACCCTATCGATAGATTTAATTACCGAAGAACTACATAGAGAGATTTTGAAGATTGGGTAGGTGAGATTGAAAAAAATATATGAAGGGGGTTAGTGGAAGGGAAAATACAAAGACCAACCTGAAGATAATGTAGTGAGTTGAAGTATTAGAGAAACAGAAGAAGCTGTAGAGGATTTGATGATGAGAAAATGTGATGGGGGGGATGGTTTATATACTAGCAGAGACCACAGAAAAAAGAGAATAAATGGAGGGCCGTGTTGTAGTACTTTTTAGTGTTGTTTGAGTGACAACCTAGATAAATGGAATCAATGAATTCTAAAGGAGGGAAAAGAGATAAAGGAAATTCGTGCTACAATTCCAAAGAGAGCACACTTTGAATTTTGAATATTTACTTTGGCAGTGGGCTACAATTTCATTTTAAGTTTTTAATGGTACGGTAATGGCTGCAAAGTGCATATAGGATAATCATTTGTCCTTCAACTCCAAAATCTGATAGAGGCAGGGGAAGGGGTTTGATACTTGATAGTGCTAGTTTGAACTGAACTAGCAGTTCTTGTTCTTTCATTTTTTTTTTCTCCATCCCAGGATATTGATTAAAGGCTCACATGCGTTACGGTGAAGCACAAATGTGCATTCAATTTCAAAGCATTTTTCATGAAATTCTTATATAGGTAAGATTATGTCGTCTCAACCAATTTTTTAATGACATGCAATCATATTTTTCAATTTACACAAAAGTTAATAACTTGTTAAGGAACATTGATTGCAATCACATGTTGGTTGTAATTGTAATAGTTTCACAACAAAACCCTGGCCATCAAAAAAGACTAACATATTAATGGAAACATGTACATACTCTGCTTATACAATGAAGTTATCAGAACATGGATACTAATGGCTTATTGGTTATCTTCTAGTTGGATTTCAACTTTTTTCTCCCTCAATAATAACAGTAAAGTGAGTCCTAAATTTACACTGCTGGAGTTTAAAGAAAAGTTCTGATGGAGCTACATAAATTTAGTTGAAGTTATGTTGAACCATTGTACATCAACTCAAAACTTCTGAAAATAACAAGAATTATAAAAGGCTATTGGTTAGTACTATTTATGAACTTTGGCACCATAATATGTTAATTGATGTATTAGGATAGCACAACACTAAATTAGGAAACACTTTCTCATGGTCTACACTATAGCAGCTAGCAAGATAGCTAAGTCAAACAAACTGAAGACCCACAGAAAGAGCATGCAACCTAATAGCACAACAGACAGTGTCCAAAGATCTCATCAATCAAATAAACCATGAACCCTAGAAAGTCCCTTTGACCACAGCATTTGGTTACATGAATCAAATTCGAATTGTATAGCCCCACAAACAGAATCCAAGTATACAACAAAAAGAAAAACAAACAGTAACAAGGAGGAAAAAAAGAAAGAAAGAAAAGAATGTTGGCAGCCTCTAATTGGACAATGTGGAATCCAAGTCAGCACTTGCCACCATGTAATGAATATTCGTACCATTAAATCATATACACCGGCCCACTAATTATCCCAATAACATCCACGAGGGGATCCAAGTCTCTTTCATGTCCATTACTCTTTGGGAATCAACAGAATTTTGACAGTCAATATGTTTCTAAAATAGTTTCTGCTTTACATTTTGATTTGAATATTCTTTTATTCTCTTATAAAAGTATGAAGGGAAGTAACCAAAAGGGTTAGCGATAAAATCTTTAGTATATATCTGATATAGTTAAGAGGATTTTGAGGAAAAATCTGAAACAAAATTTTGGTTCTGTTAAGGCCATGTATAGAAAAGAAAAATGTGTCATTCACATGTGTACAAGTATGTAGGTGAAGGTAGCAGCAATATGATGAGGAATTAATGTAAGTGAAGAAGTGGTGAGTGGAGGCAGGGAAGTAAGTTAGTATAAGTTTGAAAGGTAAACAGACAAGAAGATTAAACAAATGGAAAAAGAGAAAGGAAAAGGGAAATGGAGAGTTTCAATAAAGATAGGTGAAGGCTTATGATGGAATAACAAGTCTTCGAGGTTTCATTTTGACCATCTTTTGTATTCTTTTTCTATTCTTTGGTTGAAGCACTGCTGCGGCTGCTGCTGAACTATTTTATTCTTTCTTTGTTTGATTCTTTTTTTATTTTTCTCTCACACAAACCTCAGCTTTATCTCAATGTATGTATGCATCTATCCCCATAATCTCTCTCTCTTGAATGGTAAGAATGAACGAGCCAAGATCTGGCCTCCATTCTCTTGGGGAAGGGTAAAGGGAAGTAGAGGCAAACTGTAAAGAAGAATAAAGAGGAAGGGAAGTGGGCTGATTCGATTCTCCTTGGGAATCGTTTCCATGCAAGACCACGACCACATCATTTCCCTTCTCCTTCTGTGATTCTCATTGTGTGCGTACTTTTCCCAAGCAAACATCTAAATACTTCCATCTTTACTCCTCATTACCATTGTTCCTATCTGCTAAGTCCTAACCATATCCTTACTTTTCTGATTTCTGCATTATATTATTTTATACAAACGACACCATCTTCGACTCTTATGAGATTTCGACTCAGATATGTAGGAAGAAGATTATGGCAAACGTCATACAAAAGTCCTATGTCACATGGACATGGTTTGTGTTATACGTAACTTAATAGCTAAGTACACTAAATCCATTGGTAATTGATTGCATGAGTTCTAAGGAATATTTCATTTCAATTTTTGTTTTATCGAGATATCAACCTACCCTTTGTACTTCCCTACTCTAAAAGTGTGCCCTTTAAAAGATATACATTGATATGAAATGCAAGTACATCGTATAATAAATTAATAATAGTTCATCAAATTGTTGAAAATTTGTTTCACTCTTCTTTAGTTGATGAAGCTAGTACTATATTCTATAGCATATTATGTTTATTATTGCTTTAAAAAAAATTCAAAAAAACTATTTATAAAATTATAACTTTTAATAATTTTAAATTAATAATAAAAATATATTAAAAATGTCTACTATGTAAAAAAAAAAAAAATACAAAATATTCCCAAATCTATTACAAATTATTGCTAACGATATTGTAGGAAAAGTTAGAATTAATTTTAACACAATAACACATGGGAGATGGTGTAGAGGGTCAACCATGACACTAAGATACATTGATGTGAGACTTTAATCTTTTGATGTAACACCCACCATTTTTAGCCATTAATTTGTTTCTATTTACATGCCATGCTACGGTCAAAATCGACTAGATCATGTTCATCCATCACGTGGTCGACCAAATTAAGTTTCTTTTGTCATAATTTTAATCATAGATTTGGTTATTTAGTTTCTAAAATCAAATATCGGTTTATTGTTAATATATTATCTAATATTTTAACCTACGACATTACATACTAAAACACTTATTTTATGAATGATTGGTCAGATTCTTTGATAAGAAAAACTAGTAACTTACACTAATTTTTTCATGAAATTCTGTATCATCTTCGTGAAACAAAAAACCAAAAACTTGAATTCCATTCAAATTCCAGCCATGGCACAACCTCTATGTTCCCATTTCACCATTTCTTGAAACGCTAATCCAATTCTTTCGAGTTGGACTCGGATTTGACTTTTTTAATTGTATATGGGTAAAAATGAATCTAATTTACTTAATTTCATATTAAACGAGTTTGAACGGGTTATAACGAATTATCAACCACCAACATTATAATTTAAATTTTAAAAATAATTAATAATTTAATAAAATTCTAAATTCATTCAGTCACCTTTATTAAGGTTTATTTTATTTGTGTTGTTCGTTATTTCTCATGTATCTACTATCACATGTTTGAATATGTGTAGGTTTATTTCCGTTGCGTTTATCATCGTTTAAAGTTTAGGATTTAAGGTTAAACTGAGTCATAAAATCTTTAATTTATCCGTGAATCACGATGAACCAAACCGAATTGATTGGTAAATAAAACATCCAAACACAAACTATTTAAATCATTGTTATGATATTTTTTCCAATTGAATTACATAGTAATTGTTAAGGTTCCAACATAAGACCAATTGACAATATGTGGAATAACCTAACATGTATTTAAACCATACCAACTGATATGAGGTAGGTGATGTGAGACTTTCAACACACCTCCTCCAACGAAGCCTGCCGGACCAGGCAAAGGGTACTTTTAACCCAACTAAAGGACAACTTTTGGCCTATGACAATAACCTGGAAAGATGTTAGAGCTTTGGCTCGATACTATGTTAAGGTTCCAACATAAAACCAATTGGCGATATGTGGAATAACCTAACATATATTTAAACCATACCAACTGATATGAGGTAGGTGATGTGGGACTTTCAACAGTAATAAATTAACATTTCAAAAATAAAAACAATACTGATTAGAAACTACCCATAAATAAATTTAGTGAGATTTTATAATATATTATTTATGAGATGAATTCTAAAATATAATTATGGTTTAATCCATCTTAGGGCCAACGTGGCAAAAAGAAGAGGCTCGTTGCCACGTGTCGTACACGTGTCAATACACATGAACACGTGGTAGTGATAGACCGTCCAAGAAATAGTATAAATAAATTAAGCAGGGAATTAAATTCAAACGTTGTCACCAACAAAAAGTGTTTGCAATAACGTGAGAAAAAACTTTGAAGAACAAAGATGGAATCTGATAAGCAGGGTTATAGAGCTGGTGAGACCAAGCCTCCAACTCAGGTAACAACAACTTATCATTCAACAATTATTATATCTTATACTCTTTCATGCAACCTTCAACCTTTATTCTTCTGAAACATCACTCACATTACATCAAACATGTAACATGCAAATCCTCTACCACTCGTAAAAAACCAAGATTCGTTTTGAATGTTAGAGATTTAGCAGTCGCTGTTGATGGTAATGGATCAGGAGCCGTTCAACCAGAAGATGGGCAATGTGGAGCAGAAGGCCGAATATGCAAAGGAGAAAACGAAAGGGGTGGCCCAAGAGAAGAGTGATCAAAGTAAAGAAAAGGCCTCAGAGATGGGCCAGTCTACGAAGGAATGGGCCCAGTGCGGAAAGGTAAAAGAAATGGCCCAAGAGTGTTACTGAGAGTGTGAAGAAAAGCTTTGGCATGGCCCCACTGAATGACGAAGACAAAGATTAAAGATTAAAGTTTCTTAAACTACAATTTTTCTTAAATATTAACAAGCGTTTTTCACCGTTATGTTTCTCAAGAATATAATAATTTCATCATCCTCGATAGATAATAAAATTATATTGCTAATGTTTGCATAACAATGAGTTTAACCAATTGTGACGTCTTTATACTTATTATTTTATAAAAAACACTATTACCGAAACACATTTAATATGGTTTTAAAATTTATTTTAAAAAATAATTTCTATAGATTACTACAAAAATAATACACGATAATTAAGTTGTTAATTATAAATGTGATATTTAATTTTTATAATGATATGGAGTTAATGATTGTGTCATTTAAGAGTTAATGATTGTGTTATTGAATAATAATCTAGAATTTTTTTTTAATATCATTTGTTTTATAAATATTGTTTATTTTCAGTTTTACAGTATATGATCAAGTAATATGCAGTTTCCCATAATAACGTGCTATTCATCGTTCTTTGTTGACACTTTTCTTTTATAGTACATTTTGAGTGATTTAGGAGGAAAAAATTTAGAAAGGGAGGATTTGGGATAATTATGAGCTTTTTTTTTTCACACGATTATATGTTTTCATTCATTTAAGTCAAGATTTAGGATGAAAATTGTACTTGAAGTATTGCTTGAAAATTATTTATTTTCATAAACACGTTTTAATCCTAATTCTCTTTTTTTCTTCATCCTCTTGTTCTATTTATTTTCTCTTTATTTCATTCTTAATCCAAACAAATGCACCATTATCTCAAAATAAACATGTTAATTTTCCATGATCGGTTGAAAAAGCACAAATTGGTAGTCAAAAAATGAAAGTGTGTAGCACAGATTGGCATCAAAATTTCAAAACTGTGAGTGTTAGTATGTGTCCAAGCAAATGCATATGGTGTAACTAATACATTAGGCAAACTCATTGACAATTACGTTAAGACAAGTTTTGAAAAGTACCAAAAAGACACTATTAATCTTCCATCATGTCATCATTTGCATCAATGTCACTGACACCATCGAAGTCTTGCTCTGGTTGTTCTTCATCTGTGACATCTTGGTCAGTTTCCATGGCATCCTCATCAGATTCTTCTTCACTACTATCCTTATCCTCGAAGATAACTGGCACTACTTCACCTTCATCGTCCTCCTCGTCGATAACCTGTGCCAAAGAAACCGCTAATAACACAAGTTGATCACAACTTATGCTTTGTAGACAGCTGAAAGAGGCTTACCGCTGAGTAAAGGATGTCTAAGCAACTTGAGAGTTGGATGGTAGATTTAAAAGTGGAGACCCTGGACTCAATCAGCTGCACACACAAAAATAATCAAATAAGATATAAGAACTACTGGTGCAAACATGATCAACAACTAAAGGTCCTTCTACAAGCATGTCATGTCTTCTAAAATCCTTCACAAGGGATTCTGCAGCTCGTGTAGTATTGAAAAAGAAGATAATTTCATCTTTCTTTTTGCAGTTAAATAGAAGACAATGCTTTTCTTAAGCACAGAAAGAAGATATGAAATTACATGTAATGATAGTTAGAAGACACAGGTAGAGAAAGTCACATTGAGTGGATTCATCACACGTAACTCACTTGATACAAAGAGTTCAAAGCTTTTAATGAAGATTCCTGGGACATTATTCCGCTTGCGTGCTGCAGAAGTAGAATCTTCAACCATGGAAGAGCACATGCCAAAATTGCACCCCTAAAACAAGAGGAAAGTAACATTTATTTAGAATTAATAATAAGTCAGTGCAAAATCTGATGGCTAAAAAGTATGTCACTGATGACATAAGTACATAAGGGTCAATTACGATTGTCTGTTAGTTGCTGTTTAAGCTACTATATATGGATATGGATATGGATATTGGTTCCTGAATCTTTTTACGCAACTTTGATCCTTTAACTTTTACTTATTCAAAATTTTGTTCAATTTTCAGTTCTTAAAATGTATTGGATCACTATCAATTGCTACCTTTTTCAATCATGTAAAAAAAGGTCAGAAATATCATGCATATTTCTCCAATCTCAACGTCTCTTGTCCAAAATAACAAAAAAGTCATACAGAATACTCATACAAATCAGTCAACAGTAGAATACAAGTAGTAACAAGCGTACTAAACATACACGTTTACCAGATTTACCTAGATTCAATAATGGATATGAGGGAGTATAGAAGTTTGAGGACGTTGGATGGGTTCAACTGTGCAATTGACTTTCTAATAACCTGCAAAAGGAGTTACATCATGCATAACATTTAAAAAACTGAGGAAATGGACAACTTCCATTCAAATATAATTTCAATATAATCAGGAGAGAAAAACAACCTTCTCATCTTGCGTATACAAGCAATCTAGTAAAAGGGTGCGATCATCGGCATTTAATGCTTGCTTAAGCAAAACATGTACAGAGTCTGCACTTGGAGGCTTTTCTGAGACAGAAGATTCTTGCTCTTTATCACTCCTGACTTTGTTCTCCTTCAGTAAACTTAGACTAGCAAGTTTCTCTCCCATTGTTGGCTCATTCAAATCATCATCAAGGAGAACTCCTTCTGCAGCCTCATGTTGACCTACATTAAATGCTAGTACAAGAAATACCAATCAATTTTTAAATATAGAATGCACACTTCTATTGTTCATCATGCCAAAGAGTAAATTAACATAAATTTAAGGAAATTCAATTGTCTAAGATGTCAGTATGAAATTTATGATAAAAAAATATAGTATTTTCTAATATTAGGATATAAATTACTCTCAATTTCAAAGGAAACACAACCTAGAAAATGAGATCCAATAAAATGGTACTTATGGTGACTAACAACTTGAAATATAACAGTTCTTACCTAAATCGGCCTTTTCAGTCGTGGTTAGAACATCAGGGTCAGAGGGTGCTTGTCTTTTCTTACTTTTCTTGCTTTCCATTGGTATTGCTGCTTCCAGTTCCAAGTTAGCCGGACATATGTAGGAGTTTCAAAAGTTTAGAGAACAAATAGGCACAGACTAATAAAGCAAAAAAATACAAATTAAAAGTTTGTAACATTTTATTCAATTTGGGAATGCATGAGCTTGGAACAATCTATGGCAAACAACTTGCACTGGAGCATGAAAAAATATTTAAGATTTAGTAATTCTAGTAACACGAAAAATTAGAATCACCTAGAATTTAAACACAAGGAAGCAAAAAGGAGAGTGTAAGAAAAGCTATGTAAACATAATGAGTTTATCAGAGACCTTTGCCAGAAGGAGTGTCATGCTGATGAACAGAATCCGTGTCATCTTCTACATTTAATACTATAGTCTCCCCTGAATTGCTAATACTTAAGACACTAATCTGAGGATGATCTACAGACCCATAAGCCACAAGGGCTTTAATCTGTTTGTCTTCCTCTACAGGTTGTAATCTGGATGCAATAATTGAAGTGTGCCTTTTCTTTGAACTTCCACCACGATTTTCCTTGTCTGTTTCAGCTATTTTGGTCTTTGTGGTCAATTTAGTTGGCTGTATCTGATCTTCAGAGAAAGAATTCAAATTCCAAATATAAGTAGAACCTCTACCCGTAACTGCCAAAACAATGATATCTTCTTCTTTATTGAAACCACAGTGGCAGTCCAAAACTAATGGGTGATGCCTTGTGGGAAGTGTAGGACCTCTACCAACATATCCTGAATTTAAATCACATTTCCAAACTTGAAGATGTTTACCCTCAAAATTGGATGAAACTAAATTTTTGGCATCATTGGATATAGAAATGTGTTGTACATTTCCCTGTTGAGGAATAAAAGTAAAATCAGAGGATAATTTTAATTGTAAAGACAAATATTCATATCCAGAATAAGTAATGAAGATTATTACCAAATCATTAGGAAACTTCAGAACCTCTTTCCCAATTCCCCAGCTTATAACCCGTATTTTATCAGAGCTGACAATAGCTAAATATTTTTCATCTGGAAAATAAGTAAAATTACAAGTCTCAATTGTCATGCAAGAAGAAGAATGATTATAGCAAACCAAACTCCAAATGAAATAAATACTCACCATGTGAGAAAGCCAGAGAAGTGATAGACTTTTTTGAGACTTTGAATTCCTTTATAAGTTCTCCTGTTTCAGTATTAACCTCGCGTGCCATCCCATTATGTCCAACAATCCGAAGAACACGTCCTTTATTTGCAAATGAGAGTCCACAGATCTCCCTGTATGATGACAATAACAATGCATTGAAAAGACTGGTGGAAATTATCATCTTAATCTCATATAAAAGCATAAAATCAATATATGGATGTCCACATATGACAGTATTAAGGAAACTATACACTTTCCAATTTGATATAGAAGTACATAATTTGTGTACTAAATGTAGATTCCTATACACCTGCTTTAATAGTTTATATTATTAGTATAACTTGTAAGATGGGATAACTTGTATGGGTTACCTAGGTATAGCCTTTTTCTACTAATCTCCTTGTAATTCTGATGTAATTTTCCCTTATAATTAACATGGATCAGCTAAGAAATATTTAAGCTCTTAAGCTCTTTTATCATTTTTCACTCTCAAGTTGGTATCATAGACCAAAATAAAAAATGCAAATATTTATTTATCCATAAGCCAATCAACAATAAAAAACAATAGTTTTATCCCACTAAATGATGTCAGTTACTTAGATTACACGGCTTCACTGGTCTTGGTAAAACCAAATTCTCAAAGATATCATTCACCATAATAATTTCCTTCAATGCCATTTTTTGGTCTCTCTATCCCTTTACAAAGGGGTACAAAAATATGTGATCTAGTGCCTCCAATGTCCTTCTTTGCACATGTTCAAACTACTATAACTTCAATAGGTGTCATAATAATATTTCTCTGCATAGTAATATATTCATTTATACTTCAACCTTTTTCTTTTGTTTAAAGCCCAACATTCATCAACATATAGCAGTATGACCAAACAATGAGCCAATGACCTGCGAGTCCAAGTCTCCTATACATGGAACCAAATAAAAAGTGGCATTAGTATGACATTTTTATATTTGGATACCATCAAACGGATTTCTCAGGACAACAAGTCTCATTTGGTACAGTGGACATACATTTTGTCTGCCAAAAAATCTCTTCTAAGCTAGCAGCTCAAGTTTGTCAAAGACCACAAAAGTCAGACAGCACTTTTGATGGCTTTAGTAAAATATACCCCATGCCCAGAGATTACTGTAAGGTATATGAATGGTTTTATATTTAAAGAAATGTTACATAAAAAATTTGGTCAGTACACCTTACATTTTTTTTTTTTCGTTTTGGTCCCCTAAATGAAAATATTTAACATTTCATTCCCTCCATGATAAATGCTTATGAACTAATACCTCATAACATTTTAGAGTTGGTCACTATTCTTTGTAAATATTTTTTCATACGAGGATTAAACTGAAAAAAAGTGTCAGAAACAAGGACAAATTTTATAATTTATAATTAACATAGAAAAAAAGAAACTGAAATGACAATAATACCCGGGATAACTGGTAGTCAACTTTTTCTCTCCAGTGGAAACATCAACAGCCAAAACTCTTCCATGAATAGTGCCGAGAGCTAATAAGCAAGTTCCCTCTTCTTTTCTATGCTAATTACAAAAGAGCGCTATCCACATCAGAGGGGAAAAAAGAATGATTGTAGCAGATAAAAGCACTAGTGATTAAAGGATTTTTCCAAAAGCCCATACTACCTTTATTCCAGTGAAACTAGATGCAATACAAGAATAACGAATATCATGATCTCCATCTGATGGCTTCCACTGTGCTAACAAATGTCCAGTGATTGTGTTCCAAATCTGAAAATTATAGGATGATTTTTTGTTATAAACCTAACACCCTTACATGAACCAGAGTAAGTACAATCATAGAATTCTACTATCCAACAAATCTCATTAGCGACTGCAATGCATGTTTTCAATTTGACATTATTTTACCAATAATTGAAAGTATGTCATCCACAAATATCATCAGGTACCATTTAGAAAAATTGGTCTTGCACAAATGTAAAAGGAAAGACTTGTAGGATATAAACTGCCAGAATAAGTTCATAATAATGACAAAAGGACCATACATTCAAAGTAAGAGCTATCTGTTTCAGTACCACAAAAAATGTAATTCAACACCACCCATAGTTAGTGCCGAAGAGGGAACCTTAGGCATTTATCTGGGAATATTCAGGAAAATTACTAACAAACATCAGACATGAGGAGAAGAGAAAAGATGAATTTACTTTGGCTGTCCCATCAGACAAAATAGCAACATAGTCCCCATTAGGAGTGAAAGCAGTCAGAACATGTTTCTTTGACTCGTCCTTCACCATCTCACTCGACCTTTCTCCAAGTAGACAACTATGTAAAGGCACGCGAACAATGAAGCAGAAACAGCACCTAAATCAAACATAAAACCAATCAGCATTAGGTGAAAATAACAACTTTGCAGTCATAAAAATCATCGGACCAACTGGGTCGGTCAATCGTAGCATAACAAATACCAATTACTGAAATTTCAACTACCAGAGCAACGTGGTGAAACTCATCCAATAAATTAAAAAACATCAACAAGTTCCACAAATAGAAGCAACTTTTTTTTTTTTAAAATAAACGCTTGCACACAACATATTATTAATCAAAGGGGTTTTAACTCTGACGAGAACAGCATGGAAATTAGGCAGAAAAATTTGAAGGAAAATTAATAAATAGAAAAGAAAAAAGAGACAGGTAAAGGATAAAGATGAAAATTGAAACCTAAACTAAGCAAAACGAACGAAAATTTGAAAGGGAAACCGATGAAAGGAGAACACTTCTGATATATGGCGTCTTCAGGCACGAGGAGGCTGCGGAGTGAATAACCGAGGAAGAGGAATAAAAAGGGTTTTGGGTTTTTGGAATAATTAATATATGCAGGGACTTTTTTGACCTTTCACAGCACTAAAATTTATAATTTTCTGTTTTTATTTTTTAACTACACCGTATTCAAAAAGAGAAGTTCAGTGTTAGGGAGCTTCAGGTTTTTTTTGTGCGTTCGTTCGAATGGCGACATCCTTGTCAAACATGTTCTTCAAGGGACTCGCAAATCGTTCTCTCACCAGACCCGTGAGATCTTCAGCCCTAACCTTTTATGCGTGATTACTCGTTACGTTGTTTATTTTTCGCATCTATTTGTGTGAATCATAGCAAAGTTGCATTCTTTACTCAGCCTTACTTAATGGGTATCGTTTGTTTTCTAGGTTTTGGGCTTCTTATATATATTTTTTATTTGAATAAATTTTGGTCCTTTTACTTTTTCTCTTTAACCTGGTTGATAAACTTGCTTGGATTGGCATTATGATTATGTGTGCCTGCTTCATCCTCGGCTTTTGAGTTGCCCTAATTGATTTTGGAGAAGTTGCTGTATATATATTATTGCATTTTGTATATATAAAAAAAAGTACATAGCATTACACTACTTTTCTAATCAGTGCAATTACTGTTGGTTAGCTTTTTAAATCTTCAAACTCCATGTTGTAATATTCTTAGTATCTGACTTCCTTTAACATGGTGACAGTTAAATGGGTTGTTTTATTGCACGAGATACTCAACTAGTGTCTCAAATGATTCTGACACGCATGATGACTTCAAGCCAGCTAATAAGCTTGAGGGTTCTGACATTTCTTTGGCAAACGTTATTGAGCAGGTAATGGTTTATCGATCAATCTTTTGCCCTGAAATGTTTCATTTTTCTTTTTCAGTTTTTAATTATTTTGAGCAGTCTGTATCTTGGAATTTTGATCAATGTATTAATATGTGCAGGATGTCAAGGACAACCCTGTTATGGTTTACATGAAAGGTGTGCCTGATTTGCCACAGTGTGGTTTTAGTTCACTTGCTGTTAGAGTTTTGAAACACTATGGTAAGTACTAAAACTACATGTTATGCACTCAAAGCTGTATGCTCTGTAGTTATCTCTCTTCATGGAGGAAGTGCTCCGTTCCCCATGTTATAAAAAGTTGTGCACTAATAGGATCAAATTGAACCAGTTTTGTAATGTTGAGTTGTATAATTATTAATGTGACATGATGTATACAAAAAGCTATATATGAACAAAGAGCATGAGTTATTGGGAGATTGTTGGTATGGATGTGCAGTTTGTCTGGTAATATTTGAGAAGCCTTAAAAATACGAGACTTTGGTAAAGTCAACCGAAAAATGAAGTCTATTCTTAACGCTGATGTAGGATTACAGTTCTAAAAAAACAAGATGATGATTAATTTCCTGAGGGCAGATGACTTCACAGTGGCCATTCTATTGCTATATTCTACCTTTAATTTAGTTTAATGCCATTGTTCGGTATTCAATATCATAATTCACGATGTCAAATTTTTTAGACACTGAAGGAAGCAAGAAAAAAGAGATTAAGCAATGAAAGAGTTAATTAATTCATGTCAAGCAACTCACGCAATACACATTTCACACCTATAATTAGAAATACACGAGAGAAATCAGTGAGTAGCAATACCTCTGCTCCCAAAGCTAGGTAACAAGCCCAAGGCCGAAGAACTCTCAATTTCCTTCCCACTTCACTCATTACATGTGCCACCTTAATATGGAAGTTGTCATTAAGTTCATCTCCCTCGTGCATAAATACCTTCTTGGCTGGACACATTCCCTTCATTTCTTCTTGTTAAACTCTTCAAGGCCTCCTTTATTGATCCAGTAGCTGGCTGATAAGACCACATTTGGACTCTATCATATTTTCTTCTCTGGAATTTAATTAAAATGACCTATATGCTCATATTATATATGCTATGCTTCAAAGTTCAAAAAAGTTTTTCTGTTTGCTAATACTTATGTTCTTTTCTTTCTCTACGGTGAAGTTGTAAACTTAATTTGTTGTGATACGAATTCACATTACTTGATAACAATTCTGTAAATTACAACAATCATTATATATTGCTACTGCAGATGTTCCTATAAGTGCTAGAAACATTTTGGAGGATGCTGAACTAAAAAATGCTGTAAAGGCCTTCAGGTAAACTTCATACTTGTTGCTCTTATGTTATTATTACTCTCTGCCTCCTAACGTGTTACATATATGACACTGCAAAAAAAAAAAAAAAAACGTCAGTCATCTACAATTGTAGTTTACGCATAGTTTACTAAGAATTTTGACTGAGGATGGCTTGTCATTGTGGTGGGATAAAAGTCTTCATGGCCTTTGGCAATTGAACTTCAATTTTCAATATCAAATTGGCGAGTTCCAACAGCCTAGGACTTACCCATCAAATTCCTCCCCTTCCACTGCAGACAACAATCCCACCATCAAGTTCACCTAATAGCTGTTGTCACCAATACCAATTCCTGTCAACCTCCTTATCATTCTTCATGCAAGTCCTTTCTTTATATTGATTCTTTCTCTCTTAGCCATTCTCAAATTTTTTTGCGTTGCATGTTGGGCTAAATTCATTGACCGCTTCCTTTCCTTGCTCTCTCTCTTTGTTTTTGTGAGATTGTGCTATTTTGAGAATTAATATTTGATCAATCGATCATTAATACAAAGGGTGATATTATTCCCTAGGAAACCAAAAGAATATTTTATCATAACTAGTAACAGATCATTTGTGTATGAAGTTATGTTGAAGTGGTTTTACAGTTACTGTATGAAATATGATAAATAAAAAGTTTTCAGTAGAATGAATAACAAAGAAAAACCCTTTAATGCCAATGGAATTTATTGTGTTTGGGGATCAAAATTTGTTCTCCTCTTTATGAATCTGGAGTTTTTAATAGTACCTAGTGAGTTTTACCGGTTGCCATTTGTCTTTCCTTCCCTTAAATCCTCTGTTCTCTGACCATCTAGAAATCAGTGAGCCTGCAAATTTCTACACTGCTGTTTGTGGATATATTTCATTTTGCCTTTGCATTTAGTATGATATCATTGCGAGCTCATATTTTATTGTTCTTGAGCTTGGTACCACTACATGTACGGGTGGTTCCGAGTTTAATAACTAGTTTCTCCATTTAATAAATATGGAAAAAAATGTTGACATCCTTGTTCTTTTCGTGCAGTAACTGGCCAACATTTCCGCAAATTTTCATCAAGGGAGAGTTTATTGGTGGGTCAGATATTATTCTCAATATGCACCAGGTTTGTTCCCATTTAAATGGTCTTTTTTTTTCTACTTGTGGCTAGTGTTATTATGTAACGTCTGTTCAATAATATTTTATTTTCGTGTAGACTGGTGAGTTGAAAGAAAAGCTTAAAGATGTTACTTCCAAGAAGTAAACACACGCTTAAGGTGGAGAAGTTTTAAGAGATGTATTAGTTTACAAGAACTTCGCATCAAATTATGTGAATTTTTTGCCCTTTTTTTTCTATATTATCTTCAAATAAGAAGTTTCGACATTCCTGTTTGTAAGATTACTTTTACTTTCTCCACTTTGTTCTTTGCTTTAGATCATATAAAGTAAATAAGACTCAAGACTGAATTTATTTTTTATATATGCATCTGGATTTGGAGGCTTTAGCACAATAAAAATTGAGTGATACATGACTTGTGGATTGATCTCAACGTGCGATGGAAGGTGTAGTAGAAATCAAACACATACTAATATTTTGCAGGACTTCATAGCTCCAAACTTCCATGCAAGCCTTTTACACTAACCTCACCCCACTAAGAAGAAGAAAAAAACACTCCGAAATTGAGAAATTTTAAGTACCCTATATTGTTACAATAATTAAAACAAAATCTTTCCAACAGAACAACCGACCCTGTCTCTAGGTACTATGATAATGTGAAGGTAAAGAACTACCTGGAAAACACATTCAGATCTTTTATTTGTCAGCAATAGAACTAAAGCAACACAGAAGACTATTCCTCCTATACCAATACCATATTATATATACTGGAAAACCATTTCGTGATGTGGCCACCCGTTATGTTATTCATGAGGATCCCCCAAGCCCCAGCCTGGAGTTAAGCCAATTGCAGACCTCATCCATCTCCCTAGGAACAGTATAATGACCAAGCCTGCACCCAAAAAGTTCAATGATTACTTTAATTGATGAGTGATTCATTCGGAGTTGGGTTATTTCAGTCAAGAAAGAGGACTTACCCATCATAGGATTTGAATGTAATGTATCGAAACCCTGCTGAACTTAAGGATTGAGCTGATTTCTCTCCGTATTTGTAGAGGACTACGTCATCACCTACAAAATGAATTTTGGATGTTGGCTTCAGTCAACATCTGTGCTCTATATGTGCTAAAGAGGTCATCATTTTAATGGTTAATCATGCACAAGCTTATTGATAGCAGCAAAAGCCACCAATGTATGCACAGTATGGTACGTGAAATCTACTTCGCATAGAGATGACAAAACAACTTTACGTGCATTAGGAAAATATTCGCTGCAACTATAAATTTTATTATTACACGCTTTTATTCCAATGAAACAAGCTGGTTATCAGTTTAAGAAACAGATCGTTTCAACATTTAAGTGCATGTTTCGGTTCATGTTAGATTATTGAAAATAGTTAAAATATCACTCAACTTGATTTTAGGTCACTCTTCTCACGTATGATGATTTCACATCAAGAAATCATTACGAATCTGAAATTGATTGATTCAAAATAACTTCAATTAGTTTATGCGTTGGATCAATTTTTTATACTAAAATTCACTATTTTTTTTTCTGAATAACAATAACCAAACATAAGCAGTGCTTCAATCAAATTCCTTCAAATAAGTGCTGCAAACTGTCACATAAGCAGAGACAAAGGTTTATGGATACGTACTGATTCCATGGCTCAACAAAACAGGCAATGAAGCAGCTCTTCTTCTAGCTTCATGTGACACTTCAATTTTGTTCCTTAAGCTCCTACATAAACAGAAGTTTCCAACCATTACCGTGTGGCTGCATTGACCAACATATATACACATGATTTAATGTGAATGAAATCATACGTTGATCCTGGAAGCCAGCCACTTAGTCCAACAACTGCTCTTAAGTTCACAGGGTATGGAATGCCATTTCCATACCTTCCCATTGCAAAACAAGTTGCAGAATATTGAGCTACAGCAGCGCCCATACTGAAGCCTCCAATTCCAACTTTCACTGTGACAAAAAATCCATGTCTTATTAGAACGAATGAATAAAAGGTAAAATAACCAAAATTTCTGGTTCAAGTTAAAATTAACTTGTATTTCTCAGTCTTTGGATATATTATATGAAACAGCTTTTATAAAAGTTATAAATTGATATAATTTACAGGAGAACTCAATTCATTGTACTTTTTTATTTCATGACAAAAGTTTATTCTAACAGAGTCTAATTATTGTTCAGCCTATAAATTACCATCAGCTGGCTCTGTTGACAGCAAGTTGGCAATGTGTGCTGCTGATGCATCTAAACCCTCCCAATCATGTGGACCATCTTCTGAAAGTTCTCCCATGTCAAACCCTGATCAATGTTAGATAAGTAAGATTTAAGTACACGAGTTAGCTTAGTGTAACACGATGCAGACTCAATCAGAATGATTAAAAGCAAAAGAGGGGTTTATTTAATATTACATGCACTGCAGGAAAAACCACCAAGTATGGTTACAGGGCGGGTAGGAGCAGTTGGGCAAATCCATTTTATCTGCAGCATATCACATCATATATTTTGTACAAAATAATAGATTTATCAGAATATTATAGGGATAAAGTGAGAATATGTGTGTACAAAAGCAAAATAGGAAATTCCATTTCTTACATTTGGAAGTGGAAGAGATTCCAGCAGCTGATATGAGCTGCAAAATCACCAAGCTCAAGATTTTTATTATGCTTGTCTCATCAATTAGAATCAGAATAGAATGCAAACGTCAATTAGGAAATCACACAGTAGTTAGATAAAAATCCATAGATTAAAATGATCAAACTGAATGATATTTTTGTGACAACACTAAAAATACTGTTCAAAGAAAAATTCTAGAATGTGCTAGTTTTTGTAGTCATAAATATTCTTATGTCTAATATAAAGTCCTGTCAAGTAGGTCATATTAATGGAGAAAACAAATGATCTTGTGGTCCCCTAATTGAGAATCTAGTATATACTCTTCCAAATCAAACTTCCAACAATTAAATATAACAACTTTTTCCTGCAGAATTTATTCCATTTAGAATCTCAACTGAAAGAAACACCACACTGAAAGCATTAACACCAAAAAACACAAGTTTGGATCCCTCATATATATATGAAGAGTATTACAAAAAATACTGTCCCCACTAGCCTCATAACTCTGAAGGAGCAGATAAAAAAAGAAAAACAGAAAGTGAGTTTAGGTGAAGAAAAAATAACAATGAGGAGATAAGGTAGAGGAGGAAGAGAAGACACAAGCTATGCAAGGATCCACGCTAGAAAAAGTACACTACATGCGTTGTAGGTGAATGAGGCATATAACAAACAAAATTAAAGATATGACATCCATACCTCAAACCATTGTCACCAAGGCCATGCAGCCAAACTAAAGTGGCTTGGTGTTTTCCTTTTGGCCTCACCACATGTGTTTTCCCAAACTCCAAACTTCTCCGAGCAGTTCTACTACCTGCAAATGGCATATAAAGTTTTGAAGATTGTTGATAGATCTCAAAATATGGCACGAAAGTAACGATAATTTTCCAAATGGACCAAGGAAACTATCATTGATTACTGTTAAATAATAGAAGAAGCTAGGACAAAAAAAAAAAAAAAAAAAGATGCATGAATTATGAAAATGACTTTCTAAATCCTAGCATTTTTAGAAAGAAAGAGTTCAGGGGAGAAACATGCAAGGTGCAAGAAGGATAAAGAAAATCAAGAGGAGCAAAAGAACTAACCAGAGCCCATATGATAATGTGCGTAGCTCATTTTGCTGTGACAAACTGTTCTCAACACTACCACCTGTTGAAGTGTGTGAAGGGACTATGAAGAGATTATGCAATGAAGAATGCAGAATGCTGATGCCTCTTTATACCCAGACGGGTGAGGTGGAGTTGGAATAAAATGTGTATGTGTGCCTCCTTGTGTACGTGTAGTGTTCACACCACACCAGCTATAGAGTGTGCCTAGAACCGCCTAAGAAAGCATCAACGAAAAGGAGAAGCATAGACAGACAAAAGCAGAAAACCTTTTATGGGCAAAGAGAATCCAAGCAGTGTAAAGCACATTCATCCATTTCTAAGGCACACAGCAAGGACAGAGGACTCGCACATAGAGAGAATCTATGCTTGTGGGCTGTGGCCAGAAAATAAAGATAACAGCAACAGCAGCTGAAGAATATTACTGAAAACAAGAAAGAATAACCGTGCTTGTAAAGATCATATTTGTTTATCAATTCCTGCTTGATTGATTGATGGATACCCATTAACCTCAAACTAAAGTCTTTTTCTTTTCCCTCACTTTTTGTGTCCTCAAACTATCACAGACTAAAAGAAATTTGAGAAATAAAAATGACTGAGAATTGCTATTGGAAAGGGAACCGCAGCTTCTAGGTATTTTCCCTACTTTCTAGCTTTTAACTGATAACATTTAAGCTGAGTAACCTGGATCTCAAATTAGAAGTGACAAGAAAAAGCATGTAAGCCTTTTATTACATTTGCCTCTCTCTAACTTTCTTGTTTCCCACTACACCTAGTTAGTTGCTCAAACCCCACTTGAAGAAAACTTTTGTTTGTTTATAGTCATGAGCAACTGCATAAGTCCAAAGACTACTGTGGCTCAAGAAAAACAAAAATATAAGCTCTTTAACACACTAAACACGTTAGATGAAAAATACACATCTTAGAATCTTCACTTATGTTTTGTTTATGCATATGCATTAAGCATTAAGCCAAAAGAAGGAACATTAAGAAACAAGAAGGACAATGGAATAAACACAAGGCCATTGTTTACAAAATCTCATTTATAATTATTAGTAGCAGATTGCTCTTTATCTTTTCTATGGTTTCATAGAAAAGGCTTTAGTTGACTCTAACTTGGATACATACATCATACATTCCACCGCCCAGTTCTTTTATTTGGTTTATATATTGGTTTCCTGTTTTCCTTTCATGACCCCAAGTGGTGCAGATATTTGCAGCTTTGATTCTCACAGTAGTAGCAAATATGTAATTTATTACAAAAAGTGGAGCTGGCATATATCCATGCCATCCTCAGCAAGATAAATTTGGAAGTGTACACTATGCATAAGTCAATGACTACATTCATTGTACACCACTATGTCAGTTCACCTATAAAATGCAGTTTTCATGGAAATCTTCAATTGCAATATGTGCTTCTTCTTTCACCTAACTGCTTTGTGTTTGGTGCAGCTTGTACTAACCTGTGAATGAACAATTCTAGTTGGATATGCTCAATCCATGAATTAATTAATTAATCAAGGTCAGGAAAAAGAACCCTCCAACAATATTTTTGTTTCTTTTGACTTATGAACTTAACTTTGATAATATGCATACATAATGATGATAAATATTATATGTTTTATAATATTTGCCGTACAAAAACGCATTTAATACTTTTATAATATGCATCCTTTATCCTTATGTACTGCATACATATTTATACAAAAGACACTGCTACCACACTAACAGCAAGATTAACATTAAACTGATATCATGATTGACTTAAACCTGAAATTAGTTTAATTTACGTCCCACTTACATGGCAGATTCTACTTGGATGGCCAATAAATGGTTAAGAAAAGGTTAATGTATGTGTTTTCATGAATTCCTCTTAAGAAAAAGTTAAATGTGATTCTACTTACATGCAGATTCTACTTGAATGGCCAATAAATAGTTCAGCATCTAATGTCTTCTTATAGCTCAAAAAACTAACGTCTTTTCCCTAATATAACAACTTACAACACCTATTTTTCCCAAAACCTTTCCCTAGCCTCACAATACACAGTAAAAGAATAGCTTCAAATAGAAATAATGATAATAATAGTTGCATTAGTTTTGTTTAGGAAAAGGTTCGTTGACACTGTTTTTGTCCTATACTCTTGTTATTATGTGGCACAATGGTTCGGCTAAAAGACTAGAGTTAATTAAAGTGATGTTATATTAAATATGAGGATTTATATCTGTTTACAAGTAACAAGACATGTCTTGGGAACTTAAATTGTATATACACATTTTTCTTCTTTTCATCTACTTTCAACACAATCAAAGAGGATAATTTCTCTTCTATTTTGTTATTGTTTCTTCCATTAAACAGTCTATAAATCAACCCTTATTTTTTTCTTTCTGAAAGCAAAAAAAAGAGTAATCTTGAATAGTAAGTAGGTAGCTTAAATAGACAAGCTTTATAGGAAGGGAACATAATATTGAGTACCAGATTAAAAAGTAGAGTAAACTATGAAATGCTAAAACTAGTGCAACTCGAGTGTGACCATTTGCATTTATTTTAGAGCTCTCATTTGCAATAAGCTGGAATGCACACAGGGAAAGATATTCCTTCTGAAGCTAACCAGGAAGAAAACGATAGCAACACAAATTAAAAACTTCCCTCTCCTTTGGAACTAACAAATAACCATTAACAAATTCAATGAATTGTTTAAGTTTTTAAACTTGCACATTACGCCTGTGATATATAATAATATATGCATATATTAGTTGGATTACTTTGATTTAGGCTACGAAGCTGGTGCTAATCTATTGAGTAGACATTTGTGAACCATAATAACGCTGTTACTAGCTACTAGCTTCACTTTCTGTCACTCACAACCATAGATTAATATCAGATGAGGATAAAATAAATTACTCAATCTTTGTTAGGACAAAACGAACTTTATATACTTTCATGGAAAAGGTGGTAGAAAAGGCACCCTCATCACAGAAATGATTCTCATCGATTCACTCCTACTACCTATCTTTTCTCTTGACAAAATTCCTTGTGTTTAACCCTTTGATTTACTTATCACTGCATGAAAAAATGCAATGTAACATGTCAAGAAAATGTTTATTTTGCACGTATTTATGCATGATTAATAGTAGTATTTGATCTAGATATGATATAAGTAAAATACCCTTTAAGAAAAGGAAGCAAGAAATGTCTGTGAATATAAAATGCAGATAAAGAAATGACAGAAAACACAGAAGTAATGTGCTTTTGTTGTCATGTCAAGAAAATGAGATTTTGTTATCTTTATTTTGTGTATGAATTTTCAACTATCGAATCATTTGATGTGGCAGCGTGGATGCGCATTCTGTATTAAGTAAATTTTACGATACAACTTATGAATCTTTCAAAGTTATATAAAGTTGACATGACATATATTATTTTTTATTTTAAGTTTAAAATCATTAAGAGCCACGTAATTACATAAAATAATATATATATTCGTTTTCTTACTTTTGTTGTTTAAATGTAACATAATAATTTATATTAAAAAACTTATTATTATGAAAATCATAATAAATTTGTGTTTGTGTTAAAGATTATAAAGGATATGAATAAAACTTCACTCTTATCTTACATCTTATCATGATTCATCAAATTTAAAGCATACACAAGTATTAATTATGAAAGGTTAATATCAAAATAAATAAAAAGTATATAAAAAATCAAATGACTTAGAAAATAAAAGTCACGTTAACTTTTAAAAATCTCATATGCTTTTCTATTTTATTCTTTAGTGTTCACAGAATCAATGGATGTTAAGTGCTGAACTTTATATTTAATATCTTTATTATTATTTTAGTTTAATTATTAAATTGTGTGATATTTAGTGAAAATCAAGTATATCATATTTAATGGAATTTAAATATGCATTGATATATGATATACTAAATAATTATTTATTAAATAAATTAATGTAATAGAGTATTAGATAATTTTTAAATATATAAAAGCATTTAATAATTATTTAAAACTTAAAACTAAATTAATAAAATTTACCTTTTATGTAAAATATTAAAAACGAAATTTATGAAATTTGACATCGGTGTCGATTCATTCTATATACGATGTGTTCGTAAATTACTCTAAAAAATTTGTTAGCTCATTTTTTGAAGTATATGGCAAATTTATGGATAATTTTTTTTAATTTGATGAAAATTTGTTCTATGAAGTATGTTAGCACCTTTTAACTTAATTTCATAAATTATTTAATCATAAATTTATATATATATATATATATATATATATATATATATAAAAGAGAATAAGATCTATTTTAATCACGTATCATTCGAGATATTTAATATATAAATAAAAATAAAATATCTCACGAGGACAATTACAATATTATTAATATTAGGTAAAAAATTTATATTTTTTTATAATGTATAATTTTGGATTTTATCACTTGTTCTCGTATTAATTTAAGCTTGTTATCGTACTCATTTAATTATCGGATAATCTTGTAAAACGTTTTTCTCATCTCAGCGTATTAAAAAATATCAATGAGAAATCAAAGAATTTGGATAATAAAAAAATAATATATATATATATATATATATATATATATATATATATATATATATATTTGTGTATCATTAAAAACATTTTATGTATATGTCTACTATATTATATATTTATTTGACGTGACACAAATTTGTATATGCCCATGTTTTGTCATGCATCTCCAATACATATAAAATTTTAAATTTTCATCTATTGTTTAGTATTTATAATGAAGAATTTAATCACATGATTAGATTAAGATCTAAAATTTATAAGAAATTTATATTAAATTTGAAATATTAAGAATAAAAACCATTTGACTATGTAATTAAATTAAATTTTTAATTGTAAAAATTTGAAATATAAATAAGAAATTATAAAAAAAAAACGTTTTTTTATAAAACTTTGTTGAAACAAAATTTGCAAGAGGATATGCCATAATAGGACCTACCTAAAATAAGATAAAACCTCATAAGAAGATTTTACTTAACTCTTGTTTTAGAAAATATTCTAATAATAATAATAAAATAAAAAACTAATTTAGATTCTTAATTCATCTTACGTGGAATCTATTTTTTGTCCTCATTATGTATGAGTTTTTGTAGAAGAACAAGTTCTTCCCTTGATATCCAACTTACCTTCTTTAATGAAGGGAAAAAAAACAAGAACAAATTCTTAACTTAAGAACCACCATAAAGTTAAAGGTTTCTATTTTTCAAGATCATTATACTAATTATAGAAGGAATAAGGTACATGTTTTGTTACACAAATGGAGTTAATTTTATATATCATATTGTTAGATATTTAAATGGAAATGTGTTTTTTATATTTAAAACATTAAAACTTGTCTAAATGTAAGTAATTATTTTAATATAAATATTTTCAAAAAAAAAAAGTTAAAGATAAATAAACTAGTTTTACCCATTTCTTAAAAGAGTTTAAGTTTATTTCTATGGACTCAAGCAATGAGTCAAGTAGTAATAAAAACCAGCCATGAAAAAGTACAAGTTAAGTAAAGAAACTAGACTTGGGTTCTAAGTCATGGTTATTCCCTGTATAATAATAATCTTTAAACAGATATCTTGAGTTCGAATTTTCTTTCCAAAATTCTCCCATTTTTTTATGCTTACTTAGAATCCAAGTTCCCTCGTGTCGTTGTGAGATAAAAAGGAAATGGTTAATTCCAAAATATGTATAAAAAAAAACATAATTTTTTATAAAAAAATAATTATGGCAGGGAAAGACGGTTGACAGAGAAGGAATAATGTACTGAAATAGATGGTGGAGATGATAAAAAAATTTACTTGACCCTACCCAGATGTAGATTGGTGAGTCCTTATAAGATGATGAATTTGAAAGGAGAGTGAAGAAACGTGTCGTTTGTGAGATATTAGCATGAGATTATGAGTGATGCTTTGAATCTATTCTGTGCAGATGCCAATTACTTGATTTGGACTCCATTGCCGTTGTTTATGCTGCGTTTATAAGGGCACTACTCTAACTGCACAAAGCATTTCGGATAAATCTTTGTAAGAATTAAGAATATATAGTTGTCATTTCATTTGTTTTCAGTGCTTTTACTTTTTCTTTCGTTTTATTTTGTTCCTCTCCATCACTTTCTCACTTTCTATATCTATAACCTTTCTCCATATTTTTCTTTTCTGTCCTTTTTATGGTTAAAAAATAAAACTCTCATGCATTATGTTATGTTATGTGTGTAAGCTTTTATTTCTACATTGTTCCATCAAATAACTATGAAAATAAAACGATTTTATTATTAAAAAGTACATCAGATTAAAAGAAAAAAATTATCATTAAACTCAATTTTTAAACGATGAGATTTATAATGATGTCTTTAATTTGTGATTAGTTTCATAGAATTTTTTAGAAGATCTTTTTAACATTTTTTACTATTTTTCTCTTTTTTATGTTATTTTTTGGAAAGCAACAATTTAAGATAAAGGAAACTAGCTCAATTTTAAACAATAAATTATATTAGAATATTTATCTAATTTAAAAGTTTAATTTCAATTTCTTGAATTGATCTTTGAATAATAGAGTACGTTGATTGCATGTGGAAAAGGTAGGATTGTGAACTTTGAGTTTTGAACCGAAATCTTGGTTGAAATCTAAGTTTATGATGTGTTTCGGTATTTGCAATTCTTCATTGAATTTAATTTTGCTCAGCACTTTTATATTTCACTAGGTAGATTAGAGGTAGTATTGCATATCTAATTTTGTGAAAATTTTACTGAGTGAAAATTATGTAGAAATCGAAAATTAGAGTTATTTTGCATATTTGCTCACCATCTAAAATTCATTCAACCATTTGAAATTCGTTAGACATTTTTCAATATCGTTGAGCGAAATTGTAAAAAAAAATACTTAGCTTAAATGGATCTAAAAGTTTAAAAATTTATTAATTTAATTTAATATTTTTTGTTATTTTAGGATTTTTATTTTAATGTATATATTCAATACTTTTTTTTGTAATGGATTTTCGTTTAAGTTATAAATATTTCATGATGAAATACTAATTTGTTGAATATAATAAATTGCTTGAGATTATTAAAGATGGATGTCATGGATATCCAATTAATTGAGATTAATATAAATTGCTAAGTGCTATTAAATTAGGAGTTAATAGCAAAGTACTACTCAATTTGAGTTTGATTAAGTATAATGTAAATATTAAATTGTGAGAATCAATTATAAGAGATGTTAATAGCCTCAAATCACACATTCGAGATATCATATCATGAAGATAGAAAAAAGTCAATAAATATATAAGAGGAATCATCATGTAATATGTGAATTTTTAAATAATGTCAATATTTTGTTGAAAATATAATATATCAAATCTATTGAATAGCTATAATAGGATTTAATGTTTAAGTCTAACTTTAATATAATCTTATAAAAGTAATTAAGATCTTATGTGTTGTTTAGTTAGGTAAAACTACTGTAGGCCTTATAATATTTATTCATTGTGATATGTTATGAAATTTGATAAGTCTTTTTAGTATCTATCCGAAATTATAGTGGATAATAAGATCTTTATTAATTATACTTATAAATTGACTTTAAAAATAAGTTTATTAGAATATATGCATATATTTTATCTATGAATATGTTGTGCATGGTTTATTCTACTAGTAACTTACTATTTTTAATATGATTTTTGTAACATATGATCATGAAACATGATTAAGTAGAGTAAGAAAATTCCTCTCCCCATATATATAATGAAATCAGAAATTAATGTATATATTATATTCAAAAACAGATTTTGTAATGAAGATATTTATTTGTACTGTCATGTATCTAAATTATGTATTAGTTTGATTTTAGTAATGATGATGGGTTCATGTAGACGATTAGATTTTATACAGTGAATGGTCACCACATACTATTTTTTTGAGTTATTATATTGCACGGCAAACCAATTGATTGTTGCTATCAACTCTTAATTTCGCTCAACGAGATAAAATCATAAATAAATGATGGTGTACTCAAACGGATATTGGAAGTTCTCATGTAATTCATGGTAATTGCGTACTACTGATTCAACGTCAATTCCTGAAGCTAGATATTGCATAGCAATGTGAACGTTTCAATTAGTTGGAACTTGGAAAAAACAAACATTTCACATGGTCTTTCATCCGCAGAAAGATTCTTCAACAAGATGATGATTCCTTTAAGATATGTTTAGGAGTTTTAAACAAGAAGAAGTGACACATATAATAGACTGAAATAAATGGGGGGAAAAATTTTAAAAAAAATACCACTCTACTACAACAATGTAATTTAGTGGCGAGAGGACCCTCGCGGCTACGCTCACACTAAATATTGTCCAAACGCGCTCTTGAAATACATTCAATTCGGTCTCTCTTTGCTCCCCAAAACATAATCCCCTACGTGGTTCCAGAAATTCAAACCACATAAAGAATCATCAAGTTCTGTTAATTATTTCGCAACGCGCAAAACAGTCTAACAGAATGGTAGCTCAAGCAAATAAGCATCCAGCGTTCAAACAATCGCAGAAAGTTTTTATATCTCAAGTTGCGATACCAGGATGTATATAGACAAATCAAAACCAAACATAGGCCACAGGATTTTGAAAGGCCGGAGTGTATGTATGCTAAACAATGTCTCTCCATCTTTCCATAATTTATTCTAGATGGAAAATTGAAGGATCAATCAATGGTGATCATCATCGCCATGTCCATCGGGTGGTCCACCAGGTCCTACCACTTCAAGCTGTTTGGGGAAAAAAGGATACAATAATTAGCGTCCATGTGTAAACAGTCATTTGATTAATTCCCATTAATGTTCTAAATAGCTGAAAGAATTTGAAAAAAGTCTGCTCTCGAAAGTTTGATACAAGACAATAGTTTAAGCAAACCTATGAACTGCACTACTTTAGGTAGTCATGTAGGTATTCACTATGGTTACAAGTCATGTAGGTATTCACTATGGTGTTTCCGAACCAGCCACAAACTCACATTCATTAAATCATATTGATAACATTGACAAAAGATAACATAGATCAAATTCCTATAGAATTTCAAACTATTTTCTGAGAATTGTTATAGATGATTAAGGAACTAGCTGAGCATTTAGGAATCACATTGATTTGTTCAAGATGAGCTGAAGACATGGTTGCTAAACTCGACTGTTTACTAATGAATCAGCACTAGTTTATATGTTCAAGCCAACTTGAGTGTTAACTAATGAATTTGCACAAGCTTCCAATGAGGAGCTCATTTAGGACCATGCAAGCATGTTCAAAATTTAAAAAATAAAATAAAAAATTTGCTGCCAATTCCATGAGTTTGTTTAAGTTGCCTAAAACTGCCCACAAAATTCCACTCTTTTCACTCGGGTTTCATAGTTCTCAAGAAAGAACTCCATGTAAGAAAAGTATGGGGAAAAAAAATTTGAAATTGACTCCATAAGTTAAAATTAGTTTATGCACATATTAAAAATAAAAAGTTGAATAAAGTTACACAAGAGCTTCTACAAATTAGTTTATGCATAAGCTAATTTTAATTTATGAACAAGTCAACTTTATTTTATCTTCTTATTTTTCTACACTAAAAGTTCTTATGAATATTGTTGTAAATTCTATATCAACTAAAGATATAACCAAATTATAATATATATGTGAGGTGCAAACGTCACTTTACAAGCCAGTTTAGTAAGATTAATTTAAGCATACATTCATTTCTAATATATATAAGCTTGTCCAAATAGACCCTTAATTTTGATCATACATTGTCCCTACAAAAATAATAAGCAAGTAAAAGATATTCTAAATATCATTATGAACTTACAACAAAATACTGTGCGCACACAGGACATTCATGAGGTTTGCCTTTCTCCAGCCAAAACCAAACAACATCGTGCTCATCCTCTGCAATCAAACTAAGTTGTTCAGTCGCTCATTAACACAAAACAGAATTCAAGAAATTTTCATACAAACTAAGAGAAACAAGGAATGTTTTGATGCTCACCGCCTTCACCTCCTGGACATCCAACTATCCTTTTATCATAGTAAGATTTTACAATGGCAGGAGCTTCCTATGAACCAAACAAATAATGAAAAGAAATAGATGAAACATTTATAAAATCATTATAAACAATATTATGGCAATGTGATCTGCCCAAACTATTTGGTAAGAAAGAAAGAAACATGAATACTTATGTAAGATAGCTCATTCAATCAAATGAAAGGGGACATATTAAGAACCATATGTAAGACACAATGATAAGGTAAAGGATACGAAAGGCTTAGATGTTCTCATATTCTTAGATTTCATTAATTGATGCAATAAATCAATATGAATCATTATCCAAGTTTAGCTCAATGAATCTCACTGACCTCAAAATATTATGCATCACTCTTTCAAAATTCTTTGCTGCTATTTAGTACACCAACACATACAAATAAACATTAAAAATATATTGATATTGTTAATATTAGTATTTTAAAATTCCGTTTAGGAGTGTTGATCTTTGGCTTGATATCAAATGTTTGAACATCTTGACAAACACTTAAAAATCCAGTTTAAAAGATTTGGAACCTCTTTAAGTGCAGAAAGTATCACACTTAGTACACAGCAAATAAACAGGTTTTGGGATGGCTCGGTGTTCATAAATATTTTGCATTCAACCGAAACAAACCAATCCAATCATGTAAAAGGTTTGGGTCTGGTCATTGGGCTGCGAAAGAAAGAAAGAATGTACTTTTACAAAAACATTCATTTAAAAACACAAACTATTGTATACTGAGGCCAAAGGCTACTCACAAAGTGACGAGGTATGGGGCAAATTTGGTCAAACGGATTTGAAATCCATTGTCTAAAGATCCAAAACAAATTTTTACCCAACCAGATCCAATTTTGCCTGAACTAAATAGATTTTAAGAGGTAGTTGATTCAGGTTCATGGCTTGCACTGGACGCCAGCCCACCAGTGGGTTTAATAAAATTTTTGATCGCTATCAAGATTGAGTCTAATGGGTAATTAAAGTCTCATTACACTAGGTTTTGATGGATCCAAACATATATTGATTTTGATGATGTGTGAACAAGGCTGATGATTTGTTGACTGTGCAGAATTACCCAATAACTATATCTTGTCTAGAAGACTTCAAGACATCAAGACATCGAAAGACCTAGTGGTCCGGATGCATTTGGGAAGGCTGCAAAAATTAATCTATTTCAATAATCAATTATTGTTAAAATCGATTATAATCATAATTAGTTTTTGTTTGGGTAAGTTTTTCTGACAAATGATTTTAAGTTAATTTTATTTGGATGCAACAAAATAATCAGCTTTTACATTAGAAAAAAAAAATGTATGAAGCTGAAAGGAAAAATAAAATGCTGGAAAATAATCAGAAGTTACAAATTTTTTCATTCATGAAAAAACTTATTTTTTTCACAAATTTCAGCTGTTGCACCCAACATACAGTTGGAATGAATCAAAAGGAAACCATACAGTCGGAATTGCAAATACTTTTTTATCTCCAAAAACAGCTGAAATCTCCTAAAATAATCTTTCCCAAACATAGATGTCTATGCAACTAATATCTAACAGGATATTTTGCTTATGGAATTGAAAGTCAGATTTGAAAAGTAACTTTTAAGCTACTTTTAAATGCATAGGTCAGTCTTTTCTGCATGTCCCAAATTGCTCAATTATAGGACATCGTTATTAATTTGGAAAAAAATGAGAACAACTTTTGACAGCTACAAGCCGTTGTCTTGGACAAAAGGAGAAGAGTCAAGCAGAACGTTTTTAGATAGTAAAAGATATTCTGCAAATCATCTCAAGAACAGTTTTTGTATCACAAGAGGACAATGTCAGCCACCATGTCATTAATTGCTCTTCAAACTATTCTAATTTGTCCAGCAAATACACTTGAAGAAATAGGGAATTTTCAAGTCTATCACAATCTACCTCTAAGCCATCTTTAAGTGCTTGTATTCTATCTTGGGCAATCCTTTCACCTACCTCACTGAGAGAATACCTGATTACTCTCTGTACTATAGCATCAAAAACTATGTGACTGAGAGGAGGTAGCTATATTTAATCCTTTCTTCTTTTTCTTGTACTTAAACTTGAGGAGGCTACTCAGAGTACTTGTATTCTAGCTTGGAAAAGATGGGTTGCAAATATATCAAGGACGAATGCCTTAATATGTGAAATGTACAATGACCAGTTCCTCATAGAAAATAGGAATCAATACCTTAATAGTATAAACAATAGAGACCAAAGTCACGTGAGTGAAAAAATAGGGTCTGATACTTTAACAATACAGAACCAAAACACAAATGAGAGTGAGTATATAGAGAAACACAGGAAAAAAAACTATAGGGACTATAACCATTAAACCAAAGGATTATCATTTACTAACACAATGGTTTATGACATGGAGAACCACAGGTTTCTATATTAACAGCTAATGAAGAAGCTTGCTTCTAGATGTAATCTTACACAAGGAGAAGAAATACTCATGTTTTTCATAGTCAAGACCTATACACATTACTGCGGTGCAATCAATGATGTGTGACTCGTACAATTTTCCTCCAAGAAAACAAAATTATACATTAGTGAAAATACGAGTTAAATAGAGAAGCAACAAGACTGACCTTTGTGCCGAATGGACCTTCGGGATGGTCTATTTCAAGAATATTCCTCCCCTGACCAAAATAATCAGATAACAGTTAAAACAAAAATAACAGCGAGAACCTCCCTTCAAATGCTTGGTTTAACTTAAATTGTGTAAGGAAATAGCCCTTTACTTAATATCGCTTTCGTCAATACGTAAAGGTTTTATGTGTGTGTGCGTGTGAAGAATAAATAAGCTAGAATTAATAACAAACGCCCCAAAAATAGGGCACTGAAAAGAGGACGAAGCACACTATGCATTTGATTGAATTGAGAGAGAGACCGACCTCGAGCTCAGCTTGAAGTTCCTCGCGCTCGTGTCCAGTAGCGATAGGCATTACATCCTCAACCTTCTTTTTGATCGCAGTCGCATCCTCTATAAGAAGAAGAAATAAGACGAATTAATCGATTTGGGAATCGGCGAAAGAGAAAATGAAGAGAGGGGGAGCGGGAGAAAGAGAGTGTACCGGATTGAGTTGAGAAGTAGCGGGAGGAGCGAGAAAGAGCGGCGAATCTGGCGGCGGCGGAAGCAGATCGGGGAGTGAAAGAAGAGGAGGAAGCGGCGGCTAGGGTTTTGAGGTGAGTAGAGAGAAACCTCCGCAACATGTTGATCTCAGGTCACACCCTTTCTTCGGTCAGCCGAATCCGAAAATTGGAAATGGAGTTGTTACCTCCTGCTGCTTCACTCAAGTTGGTCGTTGTCTCTTCTTCTCTTCGGCTATCTTTGGATCAAAATTACAATTTTATTATGTAATATTTGGATTTATTAAATTTTAATTATATGGATAAAAAATAATAAATAAACAATGTTAAAACTTGTTATTCTATTTTACCATAGTAGGAGATTGACTTTGGCATGTGACAACTAAGCACAACACTCATGCTAATGTGTTCTTTGAATAAATGAAGAGCAAGGAAAAAATTATAATACTTGGTTAAAATTTTATTGGGTACAATTATAAGAAGAAAGTGAACAATTAAATGATAGCCATATTTCAACACAAAGAAAATTTATCTTTCCCCTTAACATATTGTTGTTTGAGTGTACATTGACAAAGAAAGAAAGAGAAGAAAAAATTTATTTTACTGTTTATTTATTTCTTTAAAAGTTAAACCAAATTTACGACAAAAAATTTAAAAACAATAATAAATAATTAATGTTAATAAAAAGTAATAGAGTCAGTGATTTAAATTTTGGTCAAATCTAATAGGCGGAATACATTATAGCATATTTTATACTAAATTTGGAAGAAAAAAAATCAAAACTCACAAATCTTATATTGATTATATTATAATATATTTTAAATAATTAATTATGGTAGTGAGACATTATATAGTTATAAGAAAATCATTAAACTTTTCCTTTTACTAATTCTTCAACGAAAGGACACATTTTTACATTTTTTTTATGCAAATTTCACTAAATAATTTGGCATATATGTAAAATAAAATGGGTCATACTGCTTTCAATTTGGGGCTTATCTCTATGAAATACATTACATACATGTCATCCTAATGTCTTGATAATGCAAAAAAAAAAAACCCTACTTGTATAAGATGGAACCCCGTACAATTTTGACTCAGCCAATCAGCTGTTGCTTATATCTCTTAGTTCCAGGCTCTTGCCTTTCACTCTCATCTAATTTCCTCAACTTTTTCAGATCATCTTCACCAACCAAACCATTCAATTCTTTATTCAATGCATATGCCTCCCCCATTTTCCTTCGGCATTCTTTACTCGCAGAATCATGAGAAACAACTGAAACAAAACTCAAGAAGAATAAGCAGGTATAGTACGGAACCCCATACAATCGATGTTGCAAGAAAACATGTAATTTTATCAGAAAAATATGTTCTAAAAGCTTATTCGACCTGCAGTTTTTGGTGATTAACTTGGACACATATTCACAGAATGTAGTTTAATTTGTATATAACAATTGCGGTCAGATACCAGGTTGATAAGTATAGTTTTCCTCAATAAAACTGCTGAGAGTCAATGAACCTGGAAGTAACCTAAATGGTACAACTGACCTGGCATTGGGTAGTCTTTGCCAATTATGCAATTTGCTTTGGTCTGAATGCTTTTAGGAGCCGTCCAGGGTTCATAAATGTACTCCCTGGGCATATCTGCTTGCAGATGTTCAGCTCTAAGCTCTAACATTCTATCAAAACAAAAACTGACTAGATGGTAGAACATGATGGAACTGAGGGGACTGTAACATACCTTTTAAAACCGGGAGAAAATGCCTAATATAGTAGCCATTAGGGTCATACTTCTTACCAAACGTGGTTGGGGAATAAATACGATTGTACTGATCATGATATAGACAAAACATGAGATAAATAAGGTCAGAGAACCCTTGAAACAGAAGCCTGATAAAATTCAGATGAAAAAGAGAGCCGCGTCCAATTTGATACGGTCACTTCCCACTGAAAATTCAGAATTAGGAACAAAGTTTCATACCTGATAAAAGAAAGATGAACAAGAAAGCCACATCCAGTTTCCGTTATTAATGGCCCAATCTGAATCAATCAGAAGCCTCTCAAAGACATCCCGTCCTTTTTCCCAATGAACAAACTGTCACCAGAAAAAACAAATATTAGTATCTAATAACATATCATGAGTAATTTGGCAAGTTTAAAGTATTAAATTACTTATACCAGATCGCCACGAGTAAGAAAACATGCAACAGAATGCCGTGCCAAATGATGCATCCAACCCCATTTGCGTAGCTACAACATGAAATGACGGATTCAAATGCACTTCCTGAGTGAGGAAGCTGATAAAAGGCATTGCGGCAGTATAGTTTTGAGGTACACAAATTTAAAAGCAATACAACTGTTTATCATTGCTTCATGTGGAAGAGGATGTCAAAACCGAGATCCAAACCTGTATCATGATAGCATCAATCCAAGGAAATCCTGTCCTAGCCTCCCTCCAAGCCTCCAGCAGTTTATCATCATCCTTCCAAGGAATCTACAATATATTTTAAATAACATCTATAATAAAATGTTGTCACACCAACAATAATATAAGGATATAATTGCATTGGAGAATAATCAAAATAAATAGACTATTGAAGCATAAACATAATGAGCTAAATTGTCATATCTTTATGTTTAGATTCTGTATACTTAGCAACAACATCTTCTAATTTCACCTGTTTGCATATCCTATTGCCTTTCATTCTATCAAAATTTGGAGTCCCAAAAGCAGCTGTGTAAAAAAAGTCTCGCCACAACAACTGCACAAGTCAAACAAACAACTTCAGTTTCTCACGGTAGATCTCTGAAAACAATCACGTACTATTAACTTCAGGAGATGGCAGGACCTGTCCTGTAAGAGAAACAGGCGGTGATGTATGCTTTGCCATGCTTCTATATATATCCTGAATTCGCTGGTAGAAATATCTGGAAGAGAGACAACCAAACTGCAAAGGAAGTTAATGAATGGCAAAAAATGTAGAAATGATCACAAGGTTCAGTTCTCGTTAATATTTAATACAGTTCAAACGTAAAAGGCTTTGACTTACTTTCAGGTATGGTGATAAAACAGTTGTTGCTGGCTTAAGAAATGCAGATGGATTGCCCTTGGGTTTCTCAAAGTTTGCCACCCACTTCTAATGTCATAAAAAAAAGAAACTAAGGCATGATACCAGTTAAAGAAAACTATGATATTATGTTACATTCCCAATTACATGCAGTTGACCTTTCAGCAAGAAACATCAATTTTATATGTGAATACAGATGAATTGGCATCGCAGCATTGATCTTATAATTATTAACTTCGAATGCAAGAAGTCTAGAATCCAGAAAGTACCTTGTCTTTCATACATTCATCCAACCTCCTCAACGCTTCTGACTCACCACCTTTGAAAGGAGAGAACTCATCCTGGGCATCTCCGATAGAAATTGTTCATTGAGATGTTTAAATAAAGCATTAGTTGTTTCAGGCAATTTTTCATTTGAGGAATCTAAGTGGTATGTTAAGTTGTTTAAATTTTTTTTTATAATTTCTTTGTTAAAACACTTACAAAAATAAAAAAACAAGGTGTACGAGGAAAGAGAATAGGAGAGAAAATGAGTTTTTTAAAATTTATTAAGAAAAATTTTATTAGAGTAAAATCAATTATGAATTGTTTAAAAATGATGTGATACAATAAATCTATATTTTACTTAAATTAGAAAGTTACTTTAAATTAGAATAAATTTGCTTATATAATCAATTTTTTTTTAATTTTAAATAATTTTTTTTAATTTTAAGTTAATTATGAGTGGAACTCATAATAAAATATTATTTTTATTTCTAAGCCACTCGAAGACTTTAACTAAATATTAGAATTAGTTGTTTCAAATTTTTCATTGGAAGGGTAACATGCTTAAATTCTTTTATAACTGTTTTATCGAATAAGTTACAAAAATAAAAATAAATAATGAAGAGAGAAAATTAAAGAAAAAATGAATTTTTTAAAATTTATTAAGAAAATTTCTAATCAATTATGAATTATTTAAAATATGTGAGCATCATAATCTCAAATATAACACACGCCCACTCACTTGTTCGGCATCTCCATATCCAAGATCTGTGATGGTAGGAACTTCAGAAATATCACAACTTCCAAGATGGCCAACCGGAGGAAGTGAGGAGTACACGGTTGAGAGAGGAGATGGCGGTTCCCCAGCAAGTTTGACAAAAGAATTATAACTAAGGGGCGGTTTCCCTCCGTTCTTTTTTGGCATTAGCACAAGAACACAGACAAATTGATCACGAGTTAACATAATCACAACAATAACAACAGTGAAGACCTAGCAATCAGACCATACATGAATAATTGGCAGAAGGATAGGGGAAAAAACCATTCATTAGTTGGAATAGAATGTCATAAACGGCACTGTTAGCACGGCACAACAGCACTGTGTTTACGGTGATAGAAAAATAATTATTGATTCTCGGCATTGTAATTTTCTTATTTGTTTTCATTCTTCAAAATCTGAAGTCTTTATCCCTACATAATAAGTAACACTTGTTAACTACTTCTGTTTACCATAATATAAAGGAATCATCTGGAGTAGTACTCACCAATGTCTATGATACGGTATGAGACATTTAAATTTCTTTTCTGAATCTTTAAATGAACGTTAAACTTCTCATTTTATAAGCACTGAAAACTTGATAAATTGAGCAATTTGTTGAAAGTTCAAACTCACCTTGTGTATAATATCGTTGGGGTTGAAGAGCGTGTGACTCACCGGAGAGAAAACCTCAATTCCAGCAGCAAGTGCAAAGTTCTGTAAACACATACCCACACACCCTTAGCAACAAGGATCTAACTTCTCAAACAACAAAAATATCTCAAGTAAACAACATTAGTACCTTTACTTTAACATCCAGAGCCTGATAATACGGTTCGGTGTCGTATTCAAAGCATAGCTTGTTGATATTCCACTGAAACAACAACCACAAATAAAAAATTTAGGTTAAATTTTGTAAACAATAGAAAGAAAGACATCACCGATGGAGCTAACGGTTTCATTATGTACTGTACATATACCTCCTTCAAACATTGGATGACGACTTCAGCTGGGTCACCCTTGAGAATCAAAAGTCGCGAGCCAAGGTTCTTGAGGTTGAGATCAAGGTCCACCAGACTCTCCAGCAAGAACTTTATGCGGTTCAGACCCGCGCGTGATGACCCGGGTGAGGGAGAATTCGGGTCGGGTTTCATGTAATGCGGGTCGATGACAAAGACAGGGTAGAGATGAGAGGCGCCTCGGGATGCGAACTCGAGAGCCGGGTTGTCGTGGATCCGAATACCCTTCCGGAACCACACCAGAGAACCCGACCCGGATCCCATCATCGAATGGCACGATCGCAAAGGTGAAGGTTTGAACCAAATCCTCTGCTTCGCGCCTTTCCTTGAACACCAACTAACGTTTTCAAGTAAAATACTAAGTGGTTGGCTTTAACGTGCACCGGGGATGTACCTAGTGAAAGTTGCGTGATTGGGGGCTTGGTTTATGCACGTGGCGTAGGTTAGAACAAGGGCTAATGTAACGGTACCTAACGTGCCACGTTGTGAGTTTTAAGTCACATACTGTGTTATTGTCTCTTGTGAATTCAATTAATTCGTTATTAAAAGCCACAGTGGAAGATCAATATAAAAAAGAAAAAATGCATTAAAATGAAAATATATAGCAGTGATTTTGGGCCAAGCTCTGATTGTTTTGGGCCAAATTCCAAGTCTCCATTTGTATACGTGAATTGGACAGAACAGAATTAAGAGAGTCAGAAAGAGAAAAAGTGTAGAGAAAGAAAATGACTGTGATTACAAAATTAAGACGAAACAATAAATATATCAGAAGTTTTCTTCTTTACATATCCATTTTGAGGGTATATAAATAGATGAAAGAAGAAGATAGAAGACACATAATATGATAAACTATATAAAACAAAAATACGAATACCATTATAAAAAAAAAAGTTAAAAAGTTTATATAACTTTTTGAGTAGGATTGTTAAATTTTTAAAACTTAGTATGATAAGGGTCAACGAGTCAAATTTAATTTAATTTAATTTTTTTTAAATAATATATCTATATAAAATAATTAATTTTAAAAAATATTTTTACAATAAAAATATATTTTTAAAATTAAATTTATATTAATAAAATTATTTTTATTTTAGATTAATATATAAATTATTAGAAAAAATTTATTTATTTTTAAAATAAGAGTTGAAAGTTTATTTTTTATCAGGATTTTTATTGTCTAAAATAATAAATTTTTAATTATATAATTTTAAAATAAATAAATATTAAATACCTATTTTTAAAATAAGTACATTTTTTTATAAAATTAATTTATAATACATATATAATTTTAATAAATAATATTATTTTAATTTTAATTTAAAAAATAAATATTATTTTATAAAATAAATTAACCTTAAATTTACAAATTAATCTGTTCTAAATTTACTTAGGTGATTTACGAACTAATCTTATTTAAATGCGAAACTTTCACATTTTTTTTCTTTTGAAAATCAATTAATATTGGAAAGAAGACTAAACGATAAGTTAAAAATAAATTTAAAGTTTTGAATTCAACGGGCGTGAAATTCATTTTTATGATTGACATTTTATTTTATATGAGACTTCTTAATTTGTATGCATCATGCCATGAAAATTAAACCCAACCATATTTGCGAGGAACGATTCGGTCAGATTTGAGTTTTACCGGAAAAAAAACTTGTGTTGACTGAATATGGAAGTAGGTTCAATTTTTTTTTTAATTAGAACGGAGATGAATAATATAAATTTTCTTAATTTTAATTCCATTTTTATATTTAAATTTACATTTTAATATTTTTAAAATATTTTATTTTATAATTTTTTTATATTTTAATTATTTTCCTTTTTTATCCATTTTTCATGTTTTTTTTTAATTTATTTAAATATATCAGTTCATTGTTTTATTTTTATTTTTTTCTCCTCATTTCTTTTTATCTCTACTTCTACTTTTTAAATTTATTAATTTATTGTATTATATTTTTTTAACTTTTTGACATTTTCTTAATTTTTCAATTAATTTAATTTTTTAAATATTTTAATTAATTTAAAAACATAAAATTATTATTTTTTAAATATTATACATCAATTTTAATAATAATTGATATTTTTTTATTTTTAATTTATTTGTATTAAATTTTATTATGTTATATATTTTAAATTTTATTATTCTTATTTATTATATATCAAAATTTATTAATAAAATAATTATATTTTAAAAGATTAAAAAAAATTATAATTAAAATTTTTATCATTTTAAACTAATTAAATAAAAATTCATAAATTACATGTTTTATATTTATAAATATTTTAAAATAATAACTTTAAGATGATTAATTTATATATATAATTAAATATTTAAATATAGTATTATAATTAATAATAATAATAATAATAAATATTTTTATACCTGTATAAATAAATCATTAAACATTATATATATATATATATATATATATTAATATAAATATAAATATAATAAATTAAAGTAGATATTTAATTAATAATAATTAAAAATTAAAAATATTTATTTTTTATATAAAATACATTAAATAAATATTAAAAATAATGTAATCCGAACAAAAAAAACCGAAAATTAACAAAAAATGTATAGAATTGTCATAACGAATCTAATTTTAAAAATTATTTTCATAAATACTATATGATAAAATATTGTTATAATTTTAACTTTTTTTATTTTGGACATCTAATAAAGTTGTTATTATAACTTTTAAACATATATTATATAAAGATTACTCAAGAACATTTTTATCTATTAAAACAACATTTTTGAGTCGTATATGTTTTTTCATAGATCCATACAACCAACATAACGTAATCCCTTTTTAATAAAATCTGGCTTATAAAAGAAAGTTAGAGTTTAATAAAGTTTCTCAATGTTCAAATCAAAAAGGGATTATTACACAAAATTATTAATTATTTGAAGAAATATGCATTTGAATTGAAAATCAATTAATGTTTTTAAACTAAATAATTTTTTTTCCCCTATGGATCAATACAATTGTTCCAATTTTAGGGTAAAATAAAGCATAGGAATGGATAGTTTTATTTTGTCAAACTATTATTAAATATTTAAATTGATGAATAGAACTCACATGGTTATGGAATATAATATTTATATGAAAACTTTACCCTAAAATTAAAAATAATTGAAAAAGAATAACATTTGATTACTACGTAATAATAAAACCCTCTTCCTTTTCACCAGAGTGGAAGATTAAACAACGTAAATCATAAACCAACCTTGAACAGAGTTAGGTCTGGGTCACATTAAATTAACCCTAATAATCACAGATTCAAAAGGGGGAAAGTACTAAAGAAACAACACAATCACACTAAAAGGAAACAAATCATGCACAAAGATTACACTACAGTGTGTCCCAAATCATTCATAGTTGAAAGTAATTGGAAAGAAATTCAACTATGAATTAAAGTCGACGAATTGAAAGGTGGAAACTTGGAAAGTTTCTATTTTTCGTACCCTTTCCAAACATCAGAGGCGAGTCTGGAGGCGATGGCGGAGTGGTACATGATGTCGTGAAACGTCGACGTTTCCATGGTTTTCTTCCGCAGCTGTTTCGCCTTTTCCTCTGTGAAGCACCCTGCAGCGAACATGGATCTGGGCCGGCCCAATTCCCTCTCCGGATCCGGTTTCCCACTCGGTTTTGGGCTGATGTAATCTGCCTCCGCTGGCCAACCGAACAGCGGTGCCCACCAATTGGAAGAAACGGGCTTCCTGGAGTTGGGATCGGGCTTTCCGGGCGAGCACGAGGAGGCCCGGATGATGGTTGGTCTAAAAAACGTGAGTGTGGTTGCCATTGTTGATAGAGAAGAGAAGAAAGATAGGTTTGGTTTTGCCTTGCTTTGCTTGGTAGAGAGAAAGTAAACTCATAGGAGTTGAGGTTCGGAGAAGTTATTGAGTGCGGGGAGGGTCCACGAAGGAATGCACTGCAACGTGCTCTGCCTTCAAGGTGTTTTGTGTTTGATGAGAAACGAAGGGTATTTTGGTCGAGTGTAGCATTAGGTTGATGGGGAGCGCAACAGAGGAGAATCATTGTGGATAAGGAAGTACACATGGCAGGTCTAGGAGATTCTGTGGACTGTTTGTGGGTCTTTTTCAATTTCACTTTTTCAATGCACTTTTTATATTTACATATTTAATTTGGTTTTCAGTTTTATTTTGTTGCACTCTGCCACATTGAGTGCCACTGCAAAATTGGACTAATGTATTCCTTTATACTTTTTTTAAAATTTCTAATATAAATAAAATTATAAAAAAACTATAAAAATAAATATGTCTATTTGGAAAATAATTTTTCAACATATACAATCTATTTACAAAACAATTTTTTATTTGCATTTTTCAAGATTAAAGTAAAACCATCATTCAAAAGGTATTTCAGTTTTATTATTGTATGTAATAGAATTAAATTAGTATAAAAGTTAGTTCTATTTCAATTTTTTCCACTAAAATTTTATTATAATAAATCAATAATAAAAAAATAATATAATTTTTTATCAATTTTTATCATTTTTTTCATCATATATAAAGGAAAAATCTTTTATCATTTTTTTCATCATCTATAAAATTATGTTATCCATCAAATAAAAATAATTATTTTTATTGTGATATAAGGAATGGAAAAATAATATAGAAAAAACAAGTTTAAGAAAAAATATATTATCTATAATCATATATAAAGATATTTTCTTTTGTAATATTTTATTATTATTAGAGATAACAAATAAAAAATGTTATAATTTAAAAAAATAACAGTTATTATGATTATATGTTTAAAAAACCGTAAAAAAAATATGATCCATAATTAATAGAGAATAAAGTAAATATATTTAAAGAATGAAAAAGAAAATAAAATTGAAATTGAAAAAATATTTAAAAAATTAATTATAAAAAATAAACAAACGCTTTAATGTCTCTTCTCACTAGTGTGTATATATAGTGTGTAAAAACTAGTGAATATAGGGAGTATGTATAAAAAAAAGTTATATGTGAGAAAATATATGATATTAGTATTAGACAGAAGAAATAAAAGAATAAAATAAATTTTAAATTACAATATTAAAAAATAAAAGTAAATAAAAAATTTATTTAACAATTTAATAATATAAAAATATTAATACAAAATACTGATCTACTTGTATTTTCATTAATTATAATAATAATTTTTATTATAATAAGAATAGTATTGTCGTTATTAATATCATATTTTCATTAATTATAATAATAATTTTTATTATAATAAGAATAGTATTGTCGTTATTAATATCATAAATAATAGTTATAAAATTAATAATAATATAATGATAATAATAATAATAATTATTATTATTATTAAAAATCTATGCTTTGTTATTTGTCTTCATTTTTCTTTCTTTACAATAATATAAAAAAAAAACAGTTTCTACATAAAAATAATCATTATGACAAACAAACCATACCACGACCATTAATTATAAAATCAGTATTGGTGATAGATAATATTATAAAATAATCTTATTGGGGTATAAATATAGTTCCTATATAGCTTCTACCTATATGACAAGGATTATTTTGAGAAGTTAAGTAGGGTCCAACATATATATTTCAACATTGAAAATACCCGTCAATTATTTGAATGCGATGGATATTATATGCCAAAATACCCAAACCTCTTCATTACACTTGTTTTATTAATTACAATGAAATCTGGCATTGCGAGAGTGCCAAGGGTTTAGTGGGTCGCAGGTATGAATGGAAGCCATCTGGCCTCAGCTAAGTTGTTTTGTTATTGCTCACATCATTTTACCAAATAAAATACTCATTTTAAAAAAGTTAATTGACAACGGCAGTATCTGCGCAAGCATCCTTTTGTGCTGCAGTACATCAATAATGAAAATATAATTTACTAAAATAGTCATTTAATAAATAATTGAATGTACCTTACCAAATCTATACATGTTGTTTTAGGCCTTCCTATTTATGTAATTAATTGTTGAATCCATCAAAAGATAAAATTTACTTTTGATCAAATTCCAAATAAATCAAAAGGTTTCCAACTAAAACTCATCTTTTAGTTCGCCAGCTTATCGAATCACTTGCCAGAAACAAATCCATGCTAAACTATATTCATTTTCAATCTGGGTGATGAATTTACAAATGTATATTGTTTCTCCACCCTCTTTAAGTGGGAAAAATGTCAAGCAGATGAAACGGAACATAATATTGACAGCTTAAAGCCCCTAAAACTAGCACGTCAAAACACTCCAGAGAAGAGATGACCTTTAGTCTCTTCCTCTTGAAGTAACATCGCTTAGGAAGAAATGAGAGGAGGAAAAAAACGAAAACAATGATGGAAAAAAAAAAGGAAAGGAAGAACTAGCCCCTAATAATAGATAACAACCCTATGTATACTCACAGCTTGAAAAGAAATGAACTTATTGGTTTTGCGAGTCAGATGTAAATAGGAGTCTACTGATGAAAGGTGATATAGCTGCAAGCAATGCCTTCGGACACTCTTCATGGGGCAAATGGCCACATCCAGATATGGCAACCAATCTCTGCAAGTGGAAAGGTAAGAAACGCATTAGAAACTTGATGAGGAACAATCATATGGCATGATAAATGCTGTGGAGATTAAAATGAAGAGTAGGATCAAGGAGCGGAGTTGGTTTCAAGCAGTTACAACCCTCATTTTCTATCCTGTCCATTTTACAATTCTGATTTTCACCCTTAACACATAAAGTATTTTCAAGTTTTGCGGCGAATTTATAAAAAAAAATGGTATACTTACAGAATTGACAAGTTTTGAGGCCATAGCTTGACAAGAATTCAAAGAAACAAGGGAATCTTCAGAGCCAGCAATGACTAACACTGGAATGTCTCCTACTGCTTGTAACAATGATTCTGCGTTTTTAGTTGAAAGGATGGTTTCAGATGACAATTTACCAATCTCATGAAGTGCCTCATCCCATCCTTCAACAGATAGTGGAGCCTAAACACAACAAAAATAGCATATAAGACTTGTTAATAAGTTTTTGAATCTAAAAAAACTCATCATAAGTTATAAAGAAACATGGGAAAGAAGGATAATGTTAACAAGTTGCAGACTAAATTGCAATAGCATGTGAACGACGAAAACATCCAGTCATGCTCCCTCAGGAAAAATGAACAAGGTATTCGATATATGCATAAAACAAATTAATAATTATACAGATTTGTGATAGCTCTTAATCTTTATAGAGCATTCCTCTCAAAGAACTTATTTCAGTTCACAAATTGAAGCTCAAAATACTGTGCAGTTATTATTTATATCATGCAAATAAAGCTTAAGATACAAACATACCTTATAGAGAGTCAAAACTTCGGGTGTCATTTTGGAAGGATCATACCAAGCACGCCTATTCACTACTTGAGTGATCTCTGTCCTTAGTAGAGGGCGAACCAAATGCTTTTTTCCAAGTGATGTATGCAGGAGAATTCTTGCAAAGGATGGAACCACTTCCCTGGACAAGCTAACATTTAGCAATACAAGCCCTTTCACATTAACCTGGATGGACACAAAACAGATTAAACCTCAAGACAAAATGAATTGCGAATTATGCACATCAATTATTGCAAATCGACGATGCTTTAAACATGCATGTATGAAGATTTCATAAGTATGTGATTGCACGTACCGTGCGAAAAAATATAAAGGGCAGATCTATAATAATAATAATAATAATAATAATAATAATAATAAATTATCTTGCAGCTGAATTTCCAAACCCACATAGTGATTTACATTTACATAAACGCTAAGCATCATACTTTGGCCATTCAAAATCACTAAGTTATCTACTTAACAAAAAATTAAGAAGAAGAAATACTCACATTGAAACAATTCCTTGATGATTGAATTTTTTGTGCTGCCAAAAGGGCAAGCAGTCCTCCATCATCATGCCCAATCAACAAGACTGAAGAAAATCCAATCTCAGAACAAAATGATAAAAGCAGATCAACCTGAAAAAAAATATATATATGTATCAAATATTAAGTTACAGAAGAAACTTGAATCAAAAAAATTAAAATTAACAATGGTTACATAGAAGTTCTGGCAATGAATATAAATTTCAAAGGCAAAAGGGCAACCTAAATTAACAGCAATATCAGATATGCAACTATCATTAGCTCTTGGCCTTGGAAATAATAAGCAATTGACTCCACATAGGAATGAATAGCCTTTTGATAACCCCATATACACATGTTTTTCATAATTGTTTAGTTGTTTAATCTGATAAAAACAAGGATAAAATAGCAAAATAGATTCTAAAACAATTTGCATTAATTACAAATATTGCTCACCTGTGTTTCAAGCTTATAAGGATTAGGCGACTCTTTTTCCACCCAGTCCTCCCTACGAGGCCTTGAACTTAATCCCCAACCAGGCCTATCGAATGCAACAACTGAGCAATTGCTCTGTCGAGCTAAAGATCCCATCACATGCCTCCAAGAGAACACTCCTCCACCAAAGCCATGGATTAAAACAATACCTAATTGACCAATATTCTTTGAATTTTGCTCCAGAGATTGAAAACCTAATTTACTAGTTTCATCTTCACAAATATCATCTAGGTGAAAAACAGGGATATCTTCAGAAATAATAGAAGTAATTGGGCCATCCAATAGAGGAACATGTAGAGATGAGCCATGGAATTGATTGCTATAGCTCCTGCATAATTGTGACTGGATATTTGGAGATGTACTTAGAAAATGTGTATTAGATTTTGCCAACCCAGCTTCCATTGCGGAAGTAATGCAACTAGAATTTGACTCAATACAGGACATTGAAGACAATGAGTGTGGAGGTGAACCAGGCAAGCTTAGCTTGTAATGCAGTGTAAGTCCTTGGCATGTAATGAATAAGCTGTCTGAGTTTGCTAGTAATCTGACAAGTAGTTCTTCATCACGAGCTGTCCCAAAAGGTCGTCGCCTTGTCTCACAGTCACTTTTGGGGGTTCTCCCAATAGAAGGAGTGGGAGAACGAGGGACCTTTGGATAGCCAGAGAAAACATTTTTGCACGATAGGACCTGTTTGATTAAACAGAGAGAAATCAGAGCAGTTTAAAGCGTGTGCATCACCAAAGTAAAATAAAATTAAAAAGTCACCCATACAAGTCCTGTCGATTTAAGGTTTTTTTTTTTTTTTTTTTATATATAAGACGAGCCTTTATGAAAATACAATAGGTGCTTTTGGTGTTTATTTTCCAGTGAAAATGGATTTTCACTTCGGCTTCAATAAAGATCAGCATTAAAGAGTGATATAAGGCATCAAGATGAATCTCCACTTTTGATAGAAAAACAATATAAAAAACACATGGAACTATAATTAAGTTTTTCAAATTTTCTTTGAAGCAGGTCTGTAGTATCGCAATCGTTTAATTCAAAAATAAGTTAAAGCCAAAGTAACACAAGCACTAGCCTATGTAATTAAAGAAACAAAAAAATAGGAAGTTATTTGAAGTTTACAGCTTCAGGGTCAACTCGATGAAACAGGAGCTTTCTTCGTGCTCGGCAGCTGGTTCTATATGCAACCACGGTATGGCCAAGGGCAAACACAACTGACGAAAGAAACAAGACAGGCATTCCCCATGACTTCTTCAAATGAAGTCTTTGCTTCCTGAAGGAAACTGAAGCCTCCGCTTCAATATGTGAATTTACAGTGAACACACAAGCTTTGACCGATAAGAGAACAATTGACAGAAACGAGCACAGAGTCACAGTTCCAAGGTAAGGACCGTGTGAGAGAGCAGGACCGTCACAAACGGAATAGACACCTGCAAAATCATCAGGGAAAAACAAACGCAACATGAGAACTACACTACTCGGCATGCACAACCCCGACACTCTAAACATTAAGACTTAAAATTTATCACAAGAGCGACAAAAAATGTAACTCTGATATTTCCGATAATCTTAAACTCTATGATTTCAAGTAGAGCAACTGAACATAATAATATTACAAGTTAATTAAAAAAATAAAAGTTGAAGTAGAACAGTATAAACCATATGATTTAGAACAATTAATGATTTGAAGAACAAAAGTCTGGCAATGTAATAAATTGATATTAATATAATAAGTTAGAATGACGCGTACAGAGAATGATAAGCGATCTTATGACCGAAACAAGAGGAATGTCCATCAAGGAACTGTTGAAGGCGTAACGGTTATAATGCTCCTTGAAGCTGTAACACTTGACGCAAGTGAAGTTCGAGATCAAAACGCACGGCACCAACACGTCAACCACCGCCACGACCACCGGCAGCGACGTGACCGCCAACGACGCCACCAATGCCACCACGAAGAAAGCCGTCCGAACGCACCGCCGAAGCTTCTCGAGGAAGTATTGCCCTCCCTTCGCCATTGCCGCTGGAGAAACACGCAGCGGTTAACGGCCGTAACGACCTCTCCGCGCGGTTAGTTAAGATCGTCTCAACAGATTCGTCTGTCAGTTAGTTAGTTAGAAAGAAAAGAACAGAGAGATCTAGCGCGTGCGGCTCCCTATCTAACACGAACAACATTATGTTCTCCGCCGGCGCCGGAGCCATTCCCGGCGGCGGGGAAATCGAGGAGAGAAAGTTCAACGTCGCCGGAAATATTCCCCGGCGGCGGAGACGCTGGAGAAGAACCTCATGGACGAGGGAGGCTGTTGGCTAGGGTTCCAGTGGGAACAACGCCCTCTCCGATTTTTTTCCGAACGGTTTGAATGCCCTCTCCTCTCTCCCTTCCTTTCTTCTCGTTTTCACTTAAGTTTTTCTTCTCTCTCTCTTTTCTGTTTTTCCCTGTCGCTCTGTTTTTATTTTTTATAATTTATATATTATTCATGCTTTGGCTTTTCATTCCTCCTTTAATATTTAAATGTGAAGTATGCATATGAAGAAATTAAAATAATGGGAATATGTATTGATTTTGGGAGGAAGTTTGCATTTGGTGGGTGAGGAAGGGTCACTGGATACTGGCAGTGTTGGCAGATCACAAATCCTTCATTAAATTAATAATATTTTTAATAATTTATTGGATACTCTTTCTAGCTTCTGCCTGGAACATACCTGTCTAGTTTTTTTTTATCAATTCATCAAATTAACCTTAAAAAAAAGTCTAGCAATAAATAAATAAATGAATAAACTAAAAATAAGATACAAAAAAAAACTAAAACTTTTGTGAATAGAACAAAGTTTTGAGATATGTACCCTTTGTCTTCTCTACCAAAGGAAACTAGGTCCTACTAGGTGAGGAAAGGAGAACTACTTACTTAAAGAAATCTTGGATGTAAGACGTTAAGTCACAAAAAACCAAGTCCATTTGTACTTAAGTTCAAGTCATATATATATATATATATATATATATATTATTCAATAATGAATAAATATTTGTGAAAAAATTTGTTATAATGAAAGTGACTATAAATTCAGTTATTAAAATTGAGATACTACACGTTATAATAAACATTTTGTTAAGGACGATGAAAATTCTTCCATAAAAATTTCATAAAAATAAATATTACATACTTTATTTTATTTTTTTTATATAACTTATATAATTATAGACAACTCATTTATTATTAATTGGTTTTAAGGTGAAATACAATGTAAAGTTTACAATAATTCTAATAATTTTAAGTATATATTATTTGTTTATAAAGAAGTTATTTTTTGTTTAAATAACCTGTTTTATTGATTACTTCAATAATACGCACTCTTAGACATGTTATATGTCTGATTGCTAATCGTTCTATAAAAACTGTTTTGTCCTAATTTTTTTTGTTTTTTTTTTAATTGATGGTTTTAATAGATTTAGTATTGTGATTTTAAAATATTACTAAAGATAAAATAAGAAAAAAAATTGTAAGAGAGTTTATTGTTACGGATTAAAATAAAAGACAATAGTATGAAAATTGAGAAACAATTTTGCCATGATAATGATGAAGCTTTTGAAGCATTGATTATGCATGTAGGGAGAATTATGAATAGGGGCGGCGTAACGGTTAGGGTGCAGAATTATTTGGCACACAGAGAGACAGAGTAATGAGTTCTGTTTCTGTTTCTCTGTTTTTCTGTTTCTGTTTTGGTGTGGTCGGGACCAAGAATTGAAATAGGAGGGTAGAATCGTTGCCTCCGGTTAGGTCTCGTCACTATCTCCACCATGGCCCCACACACTCCACTTGCTCCAATCTTTGCTTCACTGCCACGTGTCACAATCATTTTTCCGTTTATTCTTCTTCTCTCCTTTTTTTTTTGTTTTTTTTTTTTGCAGAAAGATGATAAATGATGTGAGAGTAGCGTTACTTTGATCCTTGAGAAAGGCACATCACATTGACATAGAGAGACATAGGGTTTGCAGCAGTACCAAGAGAAACAGTACAACCTAGTCTGGCAAAGGGGACATTCAAGTAAGTTTTTTCTTCGTCGATAATTAATTTTAGGGTTCATTTACGGAAATGGAGCAAAACGGGGATTTTGCTTTTCCGTTTTGGTTGCCCAAAAAAATGTCACGGGTGATTCTTCTTCTTACACCAGTATCTTCCCCATGTGCATTCTCATGCTTCAACACTGCCAACTTCAAATAACTCGCCCCTTTTTCCCTTACACTGTTCTAGACAGAACGGATTCTCCATCTCTTCTAAATATCAAAATCAGACTCAAGAGGCAACTGAAAAGCTCTGATATGAGAGTGAGTAACCAAAAATCAAGACATTGCAATGAAAAATGGGAACTAACTCAACAATGGTTACTTTCTCGCGTGGTAAAAAACCTCAATCCTTAGTAATTCCATCGTAACTCTAAACATGTTGTACTTATTCTTATTTTTCTCTATCCCCCCTTGTCTCTTTCTTTACCTTGTTTTATGGCAAAATGCTTTGGTTTTATCACATGCATATGGAGATGATCTAATGAGTAATGATATACAGTTTTACAGTTGAAAAAAGCAACAACTGAAGAATCTCTTTTCTCCTTTATCCTGTCCGTTCACACAGAAGTTATAAGTTGGCAGAATCTTGAGTCACACCCTTTATCTGCTGTGCACTGGAGCCAATAACAGAGTTTTACCACAATGGAAACAAAATCCGTGACAAACATGAATCTAACCCGAATGGTTGCTTAAAATTTTCATCATAAGTTAATTAAATTTTATGGAATGGTGTTAAGTGGAGTCACTTCAGCTATCATGGAGTAAACTGTATCTCAAACATGCTGCAGTTTGCAGATAAGAAGTGCCCTATTCTGCATGGTGTTTCCTTTTTATTATTTATTGGTTTGATTTGTCGCTTACAGTGTTTCCTTCTTACATTATTGGAGATTAATGATACGTACTTGGATTCTCTTCTGTCATTGATTGTTTTATAGATCACATTGGACTTTTTTCACCCACAAGATAAAAATTGAATGGTCAATATATAGTGTTAGCCGATTGGACACTAAAATCCAGCACTCATCCTAATCACCACATATCTAAAGTGTAATAACCAGTGGTCACCTTTTGAAAAGTTGATTCCAAATATTGTTTATATGGTCACAGATGCAAATTAGAATGTTTCAATTGAACTTAAACAATAATACGTCATATGTAAGAGCATGCCCACTAAAGTCTTTGGGTAGGTAGAATGTTTTGTTTTTTTTAATCAAAGCATGGTTAGAGAAAAAAAGAGTAATGGAATATTTCATTGAAAAGTTGCAGTTGTTACTTCAAAAATATGTAATTTCATAAAATGACACTATCAAGTGGCTTCTTTCCCACCAGTTATGCTCAGATTTTCAAAGTTTAAACACACAAATGAGTTGTGTATACATATTATCAATATTGTACCACAATAACATATCTTATGGATTCCCTTAACATTTACACAACACATTCATGTTTTTCCAATTTTGGAATTTGGGTCCCTAAGAATTGTTCATTGATGCATAGTGCTAAAAACACAAGAAAACACTTTGTCTGTTGCTTCATATAGAAACAATGATAACCTTAAACTTTTACCTTTCATTAACTAATATCTGTGACCTATTTCCTTCTCAAACATGCAGGAGGACTAGAATGCAGGCAACTTGTACCTGGAGGGAGTCCTTGTGTCTTGTGTGGTCCCTTAATTTGGTTCAGCTTTGCAACCATCAACTGCTATGAAATATCCCCACCAGAGCAGTTCCCCAAGGCACATCTACCTCTTTGGACTGTTGCATTTTGGACAGAGTATAATGTTCAAGTATTCTTCCTAATACACATACAATAACACAAAGTAATTGCAAAACCAGATCCAGCTTTTTCTTGTGCATAGAATGGAACAATAATGACTCATAAAACTAACTTTCTGGCTTGTGTTTGTCATAATATGTATATTTTAAGCTTACAATTACTATAAAGGAGCATAAGTCAATGCTACTTAAAATAAGAAAAAGACTTTCAAATTTAACTCTTCCAAAAATTTCATAGTACCCCGCTTAGTTTTACAACAAAGTCGAAAGCCTAGAGCAATTAGTCATCATGCTTGAAAAATGATAATTCTAAAATATGACCATTTCTTCCTAGTTTGTGTGATTTCAGAAAATCTTTGTCATGATTATTAAGTTTAAGTTTATGTAAATATTATGTTATATAATTATTTGATTGTTTTTAAATAATGGTTAGTTTTAGTTTTTATTATATATGAATAATAAAATAATAATAATAAAAGTATCCTTAATAATTCATTCATGCATAAATCTAATAATGTAATCATTTATGTAGTGAACCCATGACAGTACCCGAAGGGAATGTAGAAGGCCTCGCGGGTTTTAAGGCCCAAACTGCGCTTTGGGGTTTTGGGCCTGTGAAGTCAGAGGAAAAGCCCATTCTTTGTTTCGCAAATAGACAATAATGGTTTCTTCCTTCTTTTTTTTTTTAATTTAATTGGAAGGTGATATAATTACAAAGAGAAAACAAAAAGAGGGACAAAAGAGGAAAAAAAAAATTAATGGAAATAGACAAATTTTATCACTGACAAATGCAGATTGAGTCCATTATGCAAGCTGTGTGATTTAACACTATATCAAGACACTTTTAGGTGAGTTTTGTGTCACTTTTTTTTTTTAATTATAAAATAATAAAGTTAAATTGTTTATTAGTGGATGAAAGAGACTTGAAAATAATATGTATAAGAACTAAAGACTTTTAAAGTACAGTAACTAGAAGGTAAAATATGTAGAGTTATAGGAAACTAATAAAAAACAATAAAATATAAATAAATTTGTAAAATATAACAAAATTTATTTTAAATTGGAAGAACTAAAAACGAATTTTAATTTAACAATCGAACTTGCAGAGAAGAGGCAGAGACAGTTGTGAACTCGTGAACACTCACCGTTTATAATGGGCCCAATTTCCACCGACATGGGCTCTGTTGAAGGAATATTTGTAATCATACAATTACAGTGTTTTTCCTGCATTTCATAAATATATATTTTCAATGGAATCCAATAATAATTTTATAGAAAATAATTGGATATGAGAATTGACCTAATTATATTATTATAATGAAATATATAAATATATATATATATATATATATAAAAGAATATTAATTTTATAATAATAAAAAAATATTAAGTTTATATATATATATATATATATATATATAGAATATGTAAAGTTAAAGTATGATGTTGAATAGAAAAGAATGTAAATGACAGTGGGTCATTTGAATAGTGGGTCAGTACCACATGTTATTATTAAGACTTGTTTTCTATTTGGACAAAAGCCCAACTTGCTGTCAATACATTATGCTATTTCCATTCTTTCATCAATGCCTTAGTTCCAAATTTCTTTACTTATTTTTATTTTTTAGTTCATTGTTTTTATTCAAAATGGGTATTTTAGAAAATACATATTTTAAAATTTTAAAAAAAGTGAAGTTTTAGGATACTTTGGAACATAACTTTTATACCAAAGAATATCCATTTCAAAATGAAACGTGAACCACTTTTACATAATGAAAAAATAAAATAGTTGAACGATTTCCATAATTACGTTTGCATATTTGGATGTGGATAAAGAGATATAAGATTACCAAATAATCTTCCACAAAAATCACCTTTCAACTACACATAATTTTAGTTTGTTTCTATAGATGCTAATTTTGGTTGGATGCTTTTAATTATGTTTGGTTTATAATTTTTTAAAAGAAATTATATAACATATAAATATCAACTAAAAATATAATAATATTAAATATAATTTCCATTTTATTAAGTTGATATTGTATTATATCTTTCAATATAATATCAAAATATGAATTTCTCTTTAAAATTTTGATGTTTTATTTAAAAAAATCCGTCAGAAACTTTTCTTTATACTCTTTCCCTTAGAAACTTATCTAAATTTTTTCAATTGTTTTTATTTTTGTCATACATAATCATTATCATTTATCTAAAATTAAATCATTAAATATTTTAAGTTATTTATTTATTTATGTAATGCAATTCACATTTTTCCATAAAATCAATTAAAAGTTTTGGCATTTTATTTTAAATATTCCGTAAGGATGTTGTGAACAGTATGCGTACAAGTTATTTGTTCATTTTGTCGATTTTGGGGGGCATAATTGGAAATTCAGCCACGCAATTAAAAGCTGCACGGAATCCATGTTCTATAGTATCTTTCACTCTTTGACTTTGACCACCCCTATTTTCAAAGATGTTTATAAATAAAATTGTGTAAATACTATATTTAGTAAACAGTTTTTTTTATTATTACATCAATAAAATGTATTTAAAAATATAAATCAAACTGTCTTTGCACTAATTTTATTATTTAAGAATAAATTGTATTTTTTAACCTATTTTTAAAAAATACTTTTCAAAATGATTTCATAGTTAAACTTTGGTTCATTTTCAATCTCCCAATCACTATTCCAAAGAATCAAAACACTATTTTCAACAAATATGTAACATAAGTTAATTATACATTTCATTAAAACGAATTTAAATTGAAAAAAAAAACTACTTTCAATTATTCTCAATGTAATTTGTTACAACTTACAAGTTAATTAATTACTTTAAAAACTAACACAAATTCTTAATCTTGAATTCGGCTTGTGAAGTAACATCACATGTGTTTGTTTAAGAACATTATTGGGTCTTACTCCTACGGTCGCGGAACACCGAAGACCAAACACACGCCAACCTTAAACTTCATGCAAGAGTTGTAATGTAACGTGTTTCAAGAACAAACACTGCAAAAAAACGAAGACACCGATTTGTAGTTGTAGTCGTGTTGAATTTTTGGAATAATTTCATTAATTCGTTTATACTAATCGATGGTGCAAACCTCCACCGTTCATTTGGTGGGTGAAGATTGATGTGTGAATAAAGAAATGATTTTTGGGGAATTATGGGTTTCAAGAAAAATTGCAACAAGTTGTAAAAGCATATAACCTTTTTGTTTGGTGACTCGTAGTTTTTGATGAACCGTGAATGGCAGTAGTTCACGTTCCAAGGTTTTGAATCGCACATGTTACTTTCAAAATCTTGACACATTGTAAAGTGTGGATGTGAAAAATATCTCCAGGGTAATTTCGTCATTGACAAAAAGGAAAATTTAGCCAAATCAGCTTCAAAATTTTAGATCCTATTTATACTTAAATGATTAACGGCTCTGGTTAATGCTAATTACATATATGTTAAAAGATTGCTATTAAAATTATACTTTTATTTATCAGAAACTCTATTGAAAATTCGTAATTTTATGTTTTTTTATTTATTTATATTTTAAACTTTTACAACTTAAAAAGATTGATTATTGAAATAATATTTTGTTGTTCTAAAACATGTTTCTTATAACATATGTTAATTTTAAGATTTATTATACTACGTTAAGATGAGCACATTTATTAAACCCTTGAAATATTGGATGCTAAATTTAAGACTCTTCTGTCCATCAAATAAAGTAAAAAAAGTTGTGATTTTAATTGACATGGAAAAACCTAGTGATTGACATTCTTGCCTAATGTAGTATTTTTGTTTATATTTTTTTGTCGTCGTCTTCAACCCTTGGAGGGTTTTGATTGCTACTGTGAGCTATAAAGGTAAGATATTTGCACTTCCTTCTTCTCCCTTTTTCGAACACAATATTCTCTCCCATCTGCGCCTACCCCCACCCACCAACCCACCTTATCTCTCTCTCTTTCTCTTCTTCATCATCGCCTCTCTCTCTTGAATTGCCAGATTCAATTTCTCGTTCTTCAAGAGGGAGAGAAACACATACATCCATGGACGCCTTTGTTCAAACCAGAGGCCTTCTCTCTCTCCCCACCAACCCCAAAGCCAGGGCTGCGCTTTCCCGTCATTTGAACCCTTCTCACGGCCTCAAGAACCGTTTTCTCTCTCTAAACCCCAAACCCTTCTCCGCCCCTTCCCTCTCCGCCGCCAAATTCCAACCCCTCGGTGCAAAGCCCAAAAATTTATTCATCTGCCGGGCCGAGGCCGCCGCCGCTGCCTCAGATGGGCCGGCTCAGCCCGCCTTCGGAGAGGCTGAGGCCGAGAAACCCAAACTCTTGGGTATTGAGATTACCACCTTGAAGAAAATCATCCCTTTGGGTATGATGTTCTTTTGCATCCTTTTTAATTACACAATTCTCAGAGACACCAAGGATGTTCTTGTTGTCACTGCCAGAGGAAGCAGTGCGGAGATTATTCCGTTTCTCAAAACATGGGTGAACCTTCCCATGGCTGTTGGGTTCATGTTGTTGTACACCAAATTGACCAATGTTTTGTCAAAGCAAGCTCTCTTCTATTCCGTGATTCTCCCCTTCATTGCTTTTTTTGGGGCTTTCGGGTTTGTGCTATACCCTCTCAGTAACTATATTCACCCCGAGGCGTTTGCGGATAAGCTTCTCAACATCCTCGGGCCGAGGTTCCTTGGTCCCCTTGCGATCATGAGAATTTGGAGTTTCTGTTTGTTCTATGTCATGGCTGAGTTGTGGGGGAGTGTCGTCATTTCTGTGCTCTTTTGGGGGTTTGCTAATCAGGTAATTGATTATGTTTTGTTATGTGACTTTTTAGTTTGATTCTTTGATGATGTGTGATGGTATCGGGTTATGCTTTTTAATTCTGCCGCATAAGCATGCATGGCATCTAGATTGTCTTTGTTGGATTTCCTGTTATTTGTACTTGAGCATATTCCGCGTAACCTGGGTGGATGCAATTTAGATATAGTTAATTTATTCATCGATCATCATGATTAGGTATGCACTTGTTTTACTTTTCATCTGTGTTTATTTTCTCTGGATTTGTATGTGTAGTAAACTGACTTATCAGTCAAGTACATCTATTGATTGTTAAGAGATGGATGAAAACATGTCATGTTTATTCTATTTTAAGGATGAGTCATTGTTTAACATTTTGCCACATGCATTTTCCATCCTTTAACAAGGTGAGTGTTTGAAACTGTAGATGCTTTGCTGCTCCATTTATAAGTTCATATAATTATCAGTGAATATTATGATGGAATTAGTGGGTGTTTGTTTTGACGTTTGGAGTCTCGGATTTGAAAAATGTAACTTATTTCAAGTAACTTCAGTTTGGACGTTTGTCATGAATCCTAGATTCACTTTATCATGAATGTATTATAGTATTATAATGGATTTAAAAGCAGATAGATTTACATGGTTTTATGCATTTCTTCTTCTTGACAAATCTAATATAAATTTTTTTCTGCAGATAACTACTATCGAGGAAGCAAAACGATTCTACCCACTGTTTGGACTTGGTGCCAATGTAGCCCTTATTTTCTCTGGTAGAACTGTGAAATACTTTTCTAATCTAAGGCAGAATTTGGGCCCTGGAGTTGATGGTTGGGCTATCTCTCTAAAAGCAATGATGAGTATAGTTGTGGGTATGGGGTTTGCAATCTGTTTCCTGTACTGGTGGGTGAATACCTATGTTCCTCTTCCTACGCGTAGCAAGAAGAAGAAGGTAATTTTTTGTTTATTTTTCACTGCCTATATTTTTTAATTAATTTAATCTTTTTAAATAAAATAATTTTTTAATATAGTATTTAAATCAGGTATCATTTTTCACTTTCTGTTTGATTGATTGATTGATTTACTAAATGGTGAATGAAACATTGTCAATTACTCATAGCTATGTACATCTTCACCTTTGTTCTTTTGTTTTAAATTTTGATGACACATATGGACATTCTGGTTTCTGATAGTTAAAGTTTTTCGGTATTTGAATAAGTTAACTGACATTTTTGCCTTACTATGAATTTTTACAGGAGAAGCCCAAAATGGGTACAATGGAGAGTTTGAAGTTCTTGGTGTCTTCCAAGTACATCAGAGATCTTGCCACTTTAGTGGTTGCTTATGGAATCAGCATCAATCTTGTTGAGGTTACTTGGAAGTCTAAGCTCAAAGCACAAGTAATGAACTCAAATTTTATATATATAACTTCTAAATTTTACAACTGGCTATTTCGCATTGTGCCCTCTTTTGCTCACAGACTTGTATAAACTGCAGTTTCCTAGCCCCAATGAGTACTCTTCTTTTATGGGTGACTTCTCAACTGCAACTGGAATTGCCACATTCACAATGATGCTTGTTAGCCAATTTATATTTGACAAATATGGATGGGGAGTTGCTGCCACAATCACCCCCACAGTCCTGCTTTTGACAGGAGTTGGTTTCTTTTCTCTCATATTGTTCGGTGGCCCGCTTGCACCTGCCCTTGCAAACTTTGGAATGACTCCACTTCTAGCGGCTGTATATGTAGGTGCCTTGCAGAACATATTTAGCAAGAGTGCCAAGTACAGCTTGTTTGATCCCTGCAAAGAAATGGCCTACATTCCTTTGGATGAGGATACCAAGGTTTGGATTGTTATATATTTCACCATCATATTTACACTAAATTGATGATTTGAAACTTTCAAAGATCCGTAAACGTGCCATGTTCTTTGAAACTGTTATTCCAATTCTTGTTATCATATCTACTTCTACTGAATGTGCTTTGCATTCCTTGCTACAGGTTAAAGGAAAGGCAGCCATTGATGTTGTGTGCAACCCATTGGGGAAGTCTGGAGGTGCCCTTATTCAGCAATTTATGATCTTATCTTTTGGGTCACTAGCAAATTCAACCCCATACCTAGGAGGAGTGCTTCTGCTGATTGTTTCAGCTTGGCTAGCAGCAGCAAAATCGTTGGATACCCAGTTTACTGCATTGCGTAAAGAGGAAGAACTGGAGAAAGAGATGGAAAGAGCAGCAGCTGTTAAGATACCAGTGGTGGCTGAGAATGATGGTGGAAATGGTTCTCTTGCAACTGGTTCACCCTTAAATCCAGCCTCAGGTGACTCCTCAAGTAGTCCATCTGAAGCCTCATCTCCTCGCAATATTTGAAAAATGTGCCTCCTTCTGTGAAAAATTGGCCCCACAGAATGAACAACATGCAGAGCTCTTTTGAGAGCAGTGTTAGGTGAAACTATTTGTTGTAGGTTTATATATAAGCTCCAATAGAATAAGCTTGCTAGCTACTTTCTCAAGTCACATAAATTTTTTGTCCTCTTAGATCAGATGAATTTCTTTACCTGTTATCATGGTTTACTGTTTAGTGAACCGCATTTGTTTTTTCTATGAAAGATAGAAGTCGTTTCACTGTTCTGTATTCTTTCTTGTATGCCCTTCATTGGGTTTCTGTTCATAAGGATCAAGGACCTTGAGTGGGCTGGGCCTTGGTTTTGGGCTTCATGAGTTTGCAGCCCACAAACGTTCAAATCTCATGCCTATTGCTAAGGTACAACAGTTTGTATTGGACAAGAAAAAATCAAAATAAAAAATAAAACCTTCCTGATCCACAAATGTATGGGTGTTCATAATAAGTATTAACGCTTATGATTCTTTTTTAGTTATATATTGCAACTCATTTATCTCTTCAATTAAATCACTTATTCATCCTTCGGAATGAAAATGCTGGAGGAAAAATATAACGACTGCAAGAAGAACACAACTTCGTTGTTGTACTATTTTGTTCAGAAGATTAATTTATGTGTATGTTAGTTCATTTGTGTGTGAATAATGTAAGATCAGCTTGGAATAAACTCAATGAGTATGCATGTCGTACTAACAATTACTGACCTGAGATATTTTGGTTTCGTCATGATGTAGTTTACCACTGGTAGATTACAGTTGATATGATTAATTAGACAAGGCAAAACTGAATAATAAAAAAATAGCATTGAGCCATTCTTAATTTCTGCACTAATAAAAATGGTTTATTTTTATTTTTCTCAAGGAAGATTTAAAATAGTTGTTGAATATAGAGGAAATAGAGTTTGAGATTAATCTCCCTTTTGAATAAATCAGACATAGGTAATTTATTTTTAATAAAGAAAGATACAACTAAAAGAATAACTATTGTTTGATATTATGGTTAATAATATCTAACAATATCTAACACTCTCCCTCAAACTGGAGTATACAAATTGTATGTGTCAAGTTTGTTACAAATATAATCAATTCTAGTTCCGTAAAGACTTAGTAAAAAAATATGCTAACTGATCACTTAAGTTAACAAACTCAGTCTTGATGTCTCCAGATATAATCTTTTCTCAAATGAAATGACAGTCAATCTCAATGTGTTTGGTCCTCTCATGAAAGTCAGATTAGAGTTAATATGAAAAACAGTCTGATTGTCACACACAAGTGTCATTTGAGTGACATTTCCAAATTGTAACTCTCTAAGCAATTATTTGAGCCAAACAAGTTTCCAGGCAGTTGAGATCATAACTCTATATTATGCTTCTGCACTGGATCTTGCCACAACACTCTGTTTCTTACTTTTTCATGAAATCAATTTACTACCAATGGAGACACAATATCCAGATGTAGATCTTCTATCCGAAGGAGATCATTCCCAATCAGCATCTGAGTAGCAAACAACTCTTGTATGATTACTAGAACCATATAACAACAATCATTTTCCAGGAGATCCTTTAATATACTTCAAGATACGAATGACTGCATTCCAATAATCTTCACATGGGGAATTAAGAAATTGACTTACCACACTGATTGCAAAGGAAATATCAGGACGAGTAACTGTAAGATAATTCAACCAATCTTCTATACTGCTCAAGATCAGGTATAATCTCTCCTTGATTTGGTAGAAGTTTAGTATTGAGATCCATGGGTGTATCAACAAACTTTGAACTCATCAACCCAGTTTCCTCCAAAATATTCATGACATACTTCCTCTGAGATATAACAATAACATCATTGGACTGTGTCATCTCAATACCCAAGAAATATCTAAGTTTGTCATGATTTTTTGGTCTAAAAATGGTGACAGAGATGTTGTTTCAACTAAGAGATGTCATGGTTGTTACTACCTGTAAGAACGATGTCATCAACATATATTATCAAGTAAACACATCCAGCACTCGAATGTCGATAAAAGATAGAATGATCTGCTTCACATTGAGTCATACCAAATTGTTGAACAACCTTGCTAAATTTTCCAAACCAAGTCCTAGGAGATTGTTTTAGGCCATATAGAGATTTGTGAAGACAGCATACCATCCCAGAAGACTTCCTCTGAGCAACAAACCCAGGAGGTTGCTCTATATAGATTTCTTCTTGCAAATCACCATTGAGGAAATCATTTTTAACATCCAGTTGAAAAGAGATCATTATTGAAGAGCAGTCATGGCGATAAATAAACTAACAGAAGTCATCTTTGTCATGGGGGAAAAGGTATCTCCATAATCCAACCCAAAAATTTGAGCATAACCTTTGGTCACAAGACGAGTTTTGAGGGGATCAATAGTACCATCAAGTCCAACTTTGATAGCAAATACCCACCTGTAACCAACAACAGATTTCCCAGACGGTAGCGGGACCAATTTCCAAGTTCCACTATTATGAAGAGGACTTAGTTCATCTAACATGGCTTGACGCCAACCAGGATGGTCTAAAGCTTCACAGATAGTTTTTGGAATGGTCACAGAAGAAATAGAGGAAAAATATGTATAAAAAGGTAATGACAGTTGATGATAACTCAAAGCAATATAATGAATAGAGGAATTACGTGTAGAACATATACCTTTTTGGAGGGCAATGGGAAGGTCAGACTCAGGTGTCAGATCCGGAGGAGACAAAGTAGTTTGCACTTGAGTGGAGTTACATGGTGGTGGTTGTGATTAGTTTCGGCAACTATAAACCTGAAGAGACGGTGAAGAAGAAGTTGACTGCGGAACATGAACTAATGGTGAAGAAGACACAGTTAGAGTGTCACAAGTAACAGGAACATTAAATATATTAGGAGTGTTGACAGAAGTGAAGATTGACTTTTAAAATAAAGAGAGAATTCATCAAAGGTGACATATGCAGACACAAAATAACGGTTAAGAGAAGGAAAAAAATATTTGTATATTTTTTGTGATCCTGTAAACCCTAAGAAAACACACTTATGTGATTTAGGAGAAAGCTTGTCAAGACCAGAACTGAAATTATGAATAAAACATATAGACCTAAAAACTCTTAGAAGTAAGGGATGAAGTCGTTCACGAGGGAATAAAATTGAATGAGGTATTTTATTATATAAAACCGAAGAAGGTATGCAATTAACGAGATAACATGCAGTAAGAAGAGCATCACCAAAAAAATGTTGAGGAACCTCTCAATGAATTAAAAGAGTGCGAGTTGTTTCAATAAGATGTTTCTTTTTATGTTCAGCTACACCATTTTGTTGAGGTATATAAGCACAAGAAGTTTGATGCAAAATACTGTGAGAAACCAAGAATTGTTTAAGAGAATGAGAAAGATATTCAAGACCATTATCACTGCGTAAAACTTTAATAGAAACACCGAACTAAGTTTGTATTTCATTAAAAAAAGATTGAAAGATATGAAATACTTCATAATGATTTTTCATCAAAAATAATCAAATACATCCGGAATAATCATCAATGAAAGTAACAAAGTATTGAAAACCTAAAATAGACTTAACGCGACTAGGTCCCCAAATGTCAAAGTGAACCACGACAAAAAGGGACGAAACACCACGCGTGACAATCCGAGGAAAGAAAGTATGACTATGTTTGCCTAATTAACATGACTCACATGCCAAACTAGACAACTTAGACAAGGCAGAGACAAACTGCTATAACTTGGCAAAACTTGAATGACCTAACTGAGCATGAAGAAGAGAAGGAGTCTCCATAACTGCACCAACATGTGTAGAGAGACAAAGATGATACCATGAGACTCACATCCTGTTTCGAACTCCGGTCCTGTAAACATATAAAATTATTGGTAAAAGAAATAACACAATCAAGAGAACGAGTTAGATAACTGATGGATAACATGTTAAAAGGAGACCCAGAGACATAAAGAATATTATCAATGGTTAAAGAAGGAAAAAATTTAACAATTCTAACACCATGAGATGATACTCTAGAGCTCTCAGCCAGTGTAACAGAAGGTAAATAATTAGGAGAGAATAAAGAGGAGAACAAAAATTTGTTACCAGTAATATGATCAGTGGCTCTTGAATAAAAAACCTAAGGACCAGAAGAAGGATATTGGGTTAGACCAGCAAAAGACGTACCTGTGTACGACAAACACAGTGAAACTAGAAGACTGTTGATCCTTATACAATTTGAGAAATTTGTTGAACATAGTAGGTGTGTTGGATGAAACAGAAGAAGGAGGATCCCTAGCAGATAAAGGTGGGGAAATATCAGTCTGAACAACTACAGTAAATTGAGGAGGACGACCATGTAATGCATAACACTTGTCAATCTTATGACCTAGCTTGCCATAATGTTTACACTCATGTAATGCATAACACTAGTCAATCTTGTGACCTAGTTTGCCACAATGTTTACACTTAGGACACCATTTTCCCTGGTTGTGAGGGCGAGTTCGATCATCACAATGAGATACAAATGCAGAATAATCATTAACAGAAGCATGTGTGTCAGAGTTGGGTTTTGCTGGTACACATAAAAGAGTGGAGCAGGTCGAAGTCAAGGTGGGGATAACCGGAGAACCCAAAATTTGATCACGGATATGTGAATATTGATGAGCAAGTCCGTGTAATGTCCCTAGCATGAAGAACTTTGATCGTTGTGCTATCTTGGTGGCAGGGTCGGGGGAATGAGATAATAACTCATTGAACTCATGAAAAAGAACATGAATTTTGTCCATATAATCAGTTATAGAATCTTGATGTTTAGAAGCAATAACATTTACAAATTTATAACAGACACCATAGAGACGTTGAGTATCATTGGTGTATAAAAACTTGGTATGTTCCTAGACTTTGACACAAGTTTTGTAGGAACGAAAAATTTATTTTAACGAAAGATCAAGAATATCCTTGAGAATCACATATAATTGAGTATTAATGGTCTTCCTCATCAGGAGTGAGAGTATGTGCTTTTGGGGCAAGATAATCAAGATACTTCTGACTCTTAAGTCATAAGTTGACGTCTGATAACTATGTGACATAATTAAGGTCAGTTAACTTGTCAATGTATAAGTGAACATTAACATAATTAGTGTAGATGGAATGATCAGACGCAGTACTGACAGAATTGGAAATACTAGAAGGAACGGAAGAAGTCATACATGGCAGAGGCAGCGATGACAGCGGTAACAACGGCATGAACCAGTACATCAGGTAAGTTTCCAAGAAAGAGAGGTGGGTCACTAATAGACACGCTTAAATATCAAGTCTTTCCTTGTCAGAACCTTCCTAGACATGCACTTTCACACTACCAAATAATATCCAGTAACAAAAATAACTCTTTTCCAACGTGGAATATCAGTTTAAACGGCAGCTCCAGCAATGAACAAAGGCGAGAAATTTTTAAAATAACCTTAAACTATAAATATCATGTTGAATATAGAGGAAATAAAGTTTAAGATTAATTTTTCTTATGTGTGATAATCTATTTATAATAAAGAGATATATAATTAAAAATATCAATATAAGATATTATTTAATATTGTAGTTAATAATATCTAAAAATAATAAATAGTAAGTGTCAGAGTATAAACCGTATAATTTTTTTTATAATAATTATTTTAAATATAACAATGATAAAAAAGTATTAACTTTTTAGTTTATTAATGGTAAACTATTTGCCATCACTCAAAAGTTTCCACTTTCAGGTTTGCAAGTCAATTAGATTTTATACACATGACAAGAAAAATGTGATTAATGACATAGACACGTGGTTACTCGCAAGGTCTTAGATAAATAAACATAAGACTAGATTCTGTCTGAAAAAACAAAAGATTAAATTAAGATTTACGAGAACATGTTATGGATAAGATGGTGGTTATCGTTGGCAATGGCAACGGGAGATGGTAATACTACACACAACGCGACAGAACGATCTACTGTGCTGTGCTTGCTATCTTTACAGTTTGACATTGTCGTGTTCTATTGAGTTTGCTTTTAACGATAAACCCTCCTTTCATGTTCTGTAACTCCGTATGGCGGCTTTTGCTAAACCCTCCCAACTTCATGGTCGAAGGGATCATCCCCTTCTTCCTTCTAGTTCCACTTCTCCCAACTTCAACCTCAAAACTTTCACTTTCTCCCACTACTTGCACACCCTTCATACCCCTCTTAGAAAAGTTAAACATGTTTTTGTTTCAAATTCTGCCACTACCACTATCTCCCTCAGCAACGACCATAACCACAACCCCAACTCGGATATTTGCCAACTGTGCCTTCTTGGGAACTTGGACCGTGCCATGAGCTACTTAGACTCCATGCACGAGCTTCGAATTCCCGTTGAAGATGATACTTACGTTGCCTTGATTCGGCTATGTGAGTGGAAGAGAGCAAGGAAGGAAGGGTCTCGTGTTTACTCTTATGTTTCCATGTCCATCACCGTTTTGAGCCTTCAACTGGGAAATGCCCTTTTGAGCATGTTTGTGAGGTTTGGGAACTTAGTGGATGCTTGGTATGTTTTTGGGAGAATGGAGAAAAGGAATTTGTTCTCTTGGAATGTTTTGGTTGGTGGGTATGCTAAAGCTGGCTTCTTTGATGAGGCTCTGGACCTCTATCATAGAATGTTGTGGGTTGGTGAGAGGCCTGATGTTTACACTTTCCCTTGCGTTTTGAGGACTTGTGGTGGCATGCCTAACTTGATGAGGGGTAGAGAGATTCATGTGCATGTTTTAAGATATGGGTTTGAGTCGGATGTGGATGTGCTTAATGCATTGATAACTATGTATGTGAAATGTGGGGATGTCAGTGCTGCTAGGTTGGTGTTCGATAAAATGCCCAATAGAGATAGGATTTCGTGGAATGCCATTATTTCCGGGTATTTTGAAAATAGGGAGTGCTTGGAGGGACTGAGATTGTTCGGTATGATGATAGAATATCCTGTTGATCCAGATTTGATGACCATGACCAGTGTGATTACTGCATGTGAACTTCTGGGCGATGAGAGATTGGGGAGGGAGATTCATAGTTATGTTCTGAAAATGGGGTTCGGGAGAGACCCCTCAGTTCATAATTCGTTAGTTCAGATGTACTCATCTGTTGGACTTATTCAGGAAGCTGAAACAGTTTTCTCTAGAACAGAATGTAGAGATGTGGTGTCATGGACTGCAATGATATCAGGTTATGAGCATTGTTTAATGTCTCAGAAAGCACTTGAGACATATAAGATGATGGAAGCAGAAGGTATCATGCCAGATGAAATCACCATTGCCATTGGACTCTCTGCTTGCTCTTGTATATGCAATTTAGACATGGGGACAAACCTTCATGAGGTGGCCAAGCAAACAGGGCTCATCTTTCATCCGATAGTTGCAAACACACTCATTGACATGTATGCCAAGTGTAAATCCATTGACAAGGCTTTGGAAGTTTTCCACTCTACTTTTGACAAGAACATTGTATCTTGGACATCAATCATCCTTGGTCTTCGGATCAACAACCGGTGCTTTGAAGCTTTATTTTACTTCAGGGACATGATTCGTAGACTGAAGCCAAACTCTGTCACTTTAGTTTGTGTTCTATCTGCATGTGCGAGAATAGGAGCTTTGACATGTGGGAAAGAGATTCATGCCCATGCATTGAGAACTGGAGTTAGTTTTGATGGTTTTATGCCCAATGCAATTTTGGACATGTACGTAAGGTGTGGAAGAATGGGATATGCGTGGAAACAATTTTTCTCAGTTGATCATGATGTTACTGCATGGAACATTTTGCTTACAGGATACGCTGAGCGCGGGAAAGGAGTACTTGCTTCTGAAATTTTTCAGAGAATGGTAGAATCAAATGTTAATCCTGATGAAATTACATTTATCTCCATATTATGTGCATGCAGCAGATCGGGTATGGTATCAGAAGGCTTAGAATATTTTAACAGCATGAAGAGTAATTACTCTATCACACCTAATCTGAAACACTATGCATGTGTGGTTGATTTACTTGGCCGTTCTGGGAAATTGGAGGAAGCTTATGAATTCATACAGAAAATGCCATTGAAACCAGACCCGGCAGTCTGGGGAGCTTTATTAAATGCATGTAGGATTCACCATCATGTTGAACTTGGGGAGCTTGCTGCAGAGAATATCTTTCAATATGATACAACAAGTGTTGGTTACTACATTCTTCTCTCTAATCTTTATGCTGACAATGGTAAATGGGACAAGGTTGCAGAAGTTAGAAAAATGATGAGACAGAATGGGTTAATTGTAGATCCTGGATGCAGCTGGGTGGAAATCAAGGGCACTGTGCATGCTTTCCTCAGTGGTGATAACTTTCACCCTCAAATAAAGGAAATAAATGCACTTTTGGAGCGGTTTTATCAGAAGATGAAGGAAGCTGGTCTTGAAGGGCCAGAAAACAGTCATATGGACATAATGGAAGCTTCTAAGGCTGACATATTTTGTGGGCACAGTGAGAGACTAGCCATTGTCTTTGCACTTATTAATTCTGGCCCTGGGATGCCTATTTGGGTGACCAAGAATCTCTACATGTGCCAAAACTGCCACAACATTGTCAAATTTATCTCTAGGGAGGTTCGCAGAGAGATTTCTGTAAGGGATGCTGAACATTTTCACCATTTCAGGGGAGGCGTCTGCTCTTGCATGGATGAAGGATATAGGAGTTAGCCTGATTAGCAGGAAAACTGTAAGATATGTAGCATCAGGTTCAAAAGTTAGAATTTAAGGAAATTACTTCAATATCAGTGCACACAACAATGATTAATCGGCCTATGAATCATTTATCAACACAGATAGGTATATATAGTTTATGGCGTACATAATTATTTTTTCAACAGTTTCATCTCCCGACTCCCCCAAAAAAAAAAAGCAATGAAAAGAAAAATATGTCTGCTCCTGTGGTCCATGATCTCATTGTAACCTAAAGTGGTATAAACGGAATTTTGATGGAATGGAAATGTATGCTGTAAATTCCTTGGTGGCAGTGTTATTATAAGTTCTATATGGTGTCTTTTCAAAGACATGCCAGTAGGATAGTCTTGAATGTAAGAAATTATGAGAATAATGGACGTAAGATTTGAACATGACCTCTCATATATGACAGGATTCATTCCCATCAATGTTTTTATGTCATTTATTTAAATGAAGATGAATGTTCATTATTTTGCAAAAACATGATTAGAGAACTTCAAACCTGGGTCATGATTAAGTAAGAAAGAGGAATGCCTAGTGCCTTTTTATGAGACTTTTAGGATATCTACTGGCTTCTTTCAGTAAAAACAATTTGTTATCCTCTAAGGAAGCAAATTGGATAATAGAATGCATGCATTATGCAGAGTTTGCAGGTGAGATAAAACTCTTGTCAACGTTCAACACATATCTGTGGAACCAGGCGAACCTATCAAAATAGACTATGACTAAGAATTATCGTAAACTTTGACATTATATTAAATTTCAGCTTAAAATCAATTAAATTTTGTTTTAATATTTCAATGAGGTATATTTTTTACTTTCTGTTTATCCACTACCAATCTGATATATGATTTTAATTTATATATTTAAATAATTATATACGTCAACAAATTAACAAATTTTATTTAAAATTAAGTTGATATAATACGTCTACAAATTCGGATGACTTTCCGTTTGACCGTTACCCCAACCTTGGTGGGCTGGGCCCAAGCCCAGATGAAACAAATAATAAATACAAGCATGGACCAATTTTAGTATTACCCACATTTACACATGTCTGCTTCAAAACTGACAAGAATGATCACGAGAGCTAGGGCGTTACTTTATGGTGCCACACAACAAATTTGGAATTCTATTTGTTTCTTTCTCTTCTTCCATTTCACTTTTAAAATAGTATTTCAATTTTTATTTTTTATTTATTTATTAAAGTTCTTTCTTACAGGTTGATGTTATGTTAACTTGCTTGCTGCTATAAGATTCCTTTGACAGAAATATTTATTGCTGCTAACGTTGTTTTGTTTCAGCTAAAACTTTTCCTCCCTTTTCAAGCTCATTACTCTCGATCTTCTCCAACACAAACTCCTTACGAACACGAGATAGATAGATAGAGAGAGAGAGAGAGAACAAATTGGTCCGTTTCAAGTCCCCCTCAACTTTGAGGGTGCTATAATTAGTTTTGTTCTCTACACACAGGATATGTGAGCAAAATGCATACTGTCTGACATAAGAAGAGAATAAACAGTTGTATGAGTGGTCCTATATTCCTACTATACCTATCTATCCCAAAACGCATTATCCATCAATCTTCTTCATTCCTACCTTCATCTTCTAAGAAAATCTCATTTCCTCAACAAGGTCAAAAGAATAAAAATCTGATTATTCTTGACATATAGTGCAACATGCTCAAGACAGCTACTACACCAACTGGTTCCTCTTCTACTAGTCTATTTGAGCTTCTCACCGAAATGAAGAACCAATCCTGTCCAGAATCACTCACCTTACAAGCAAAATCTCCCTCCCAATACACCTCCGAATGCTGGTTCGACGATGCATGTATCTTGGACATGGATTACTTCGTGAAGACCCTTTCTGGCATCAAGGCCAAAGGTGTTCGTGCAGACCTTATTGGCTCCATCATCACACACTATGCCTCCAAATGGCTCCCTGATCTTTCTGCAGGTAGAAATTATTAGATAGTTCTGTACTATTTCACTATTTCTATATAATTCTAACCAGTATTTAGATAGCATATTTACATTTTACAATTTATAAGAATAATGCATAACGCTTGTTTACATGTTATGTTACTAAAGATTAAACAGAGATTAGGAGAGTTCAGGGCCATTTAATTTCTTTTTTATAGGTGATATGGCCGAGAAGGGTCTCACCCAATTCGAGGAATCGCCCGAAAGCGTGACGGCTTCATGGATGAAGAAGAGGTTCTTCGTGGAAACCTTGGTGGGTGTTCTGCCTCCTGAGAAGGATGCAATTCCATGCAACTTTCTGCTTAGGCTTCTGAGAACGGCCAACATGGTTGGGGTTGAGGGTACCTACAGGCAAGAGCTTGAGAAGCGTATTTCGTGGCAGTTGGACCAGGCTTCGTTGAAGGAGTTGGTCATTCCATCTTTCAGCCACACTTGTGGGACTCTCTTGGATGTTGAGCTTGTCATTAGGCTGGTTCAGAGGTTTGTGAGTTTGGACAGTGAGGGAGCTAAGAGTGTTGCTTCTTTGGTTAAGGTGGCTAAGTTGGTTGATTCCTACCTGGCTGAGGCTGCTGTGGATGCCAATTTGAGCTTGAACGACTTTGTTATCCTTGCCGCAGCTCTTCCTAGCCATGCAAGAGCAACGGATGATGGCTTGTACAGAGCCATTGATACTTATCTTAAAGTATGCCCTCTTCTATATTTCCAAATCGGTTGAATACTAGTTTCTAATCAGGGAAACAAACAAGACCATGAATAGGAAAGTTAATGACTAGTTTTTGGATTCCTATAAAAATGTCCACAAAATGACTGACAAAATAATGTACACAAAAAGTAAATTACAAAGTTGTTAAACATTGATTTGCATTTTTTTTCCTTTAAAGTGTTGCATTCGGTCAAGTCCTTGTGTATTATATACACTTGATCGTCATGTCATTTGAGAAAAATGATTATTGTGAGTGCGAGATAAAACTTTTAGGCTAGAATCTTGTTTGTTGATTCTAACTTTGGGTGGCATACACATTGTGTAATGGCAGGCACATCCAGGAGTGTCAAAGCAAGAAAGGAAGGGTCTGTGCAGGTTAATTGACAGCAGAAAACTGACCCCAGAGGCATCACTCCACGCAGCACAAAACGAACGTTTCCCAGTGAGAGCAGTGATTCAGGTGCTGCTTTCTGAGCAAAGCAAACTGACACGTCACGTGGATTGGAGCGGTTCGTTGGTGAGTGGGACAAGAAGCCCTAGTGGGTTGGAGTTACCAACACGGTGTCTCTCGAAGCGCGAGGTGAACGCGCAACAGCACGAGATAAGGAAGCTGAAGGATGATGTGTACAGGTTGCAGAGCCAGTGCAATGCCATGCAGGCACAAATGGAGAGAATGGTGGAGAAGAAGAAGGGGTTCTTCAAGTGGAAGAAGTTTGCGTTTGGCAAAGGTGAACATGACAGAGTGGAACATGAGCTTGAAGGGAATGGAATTCAAACGCCAGCGAACCTTAAAACCAGATTGGTTAATGTGAAAGGTAGTAAGAATAATAATTCTCACAAGTGGAGGAAATCCATGTCTTGAAGACACAGCCACTGTACGAAGAACACAACTCAGTTTGTTATATTATATTGTTCCGAAGATTAACTTAGTGTGTATGTTGGTTCATTGGTGCGTGAAATAATAATGTAGGATCAGTTTTTGTATTTGGAATAAACTCAATAAGGGTGAGTATATATGCATGCTCTACTACTCACAATGTGTAATAATTAGTAGAATTTTGAGTTTCTGTAGGATTTTTAAATAGAATATTATTGAAGTTGTTTTTTAAAGTTTACTTGAATACATTGAATATTGTTAGAAGAACATTATGCCTTTATTTGTTGAAATATAAACATAGACCAACTTAACTGGCGTATAAGCTAAACAGACCAAGCTTGGTTCAATCCATCAGATAACAGACCCATCAAAACAGGACAAAAAAGCTAAACATTACCAGCAAACAGAGAAATAACTAGTCACCAAAGTCAAACCAAAAGAAAAAGTCATCTGCTTTGACCTGGTAAATTGGTCCTACATAGTTTCTGATGGATGGTGTCTCTAATAATTTTCTTTAGCATGGATTGCTCTGTACTAAGCATTAAAGGGAGAAACTTATTGGGGAATGCTTCAACATAATTGGCAAGTAAAACTCATGCATTTTTCCAAGTTGGCAAATAAGTGTTTGAATTTAATTTGATAGTTTACTATTGTTCTCCTCTTAATATAGGACTTCTGTCATAATGTAATATGGTAATGGAGTTCAGTCATATTCATTCACACACAAAAGTATGAATGATTGGAACACACACACAAATCTAAATGCATGTATTTTATAATAAACAAGAGTTAGTTAGTTACAGCATTAGTGTGAAATACACCTTAAAAAGAGTGTTATGTAAAAATGTCCTGGTGTAAAAGTAAAAATAGAAAAAATAAATATTCTAATGTACAATAATTGAAGTAGATGTTCTACAAGATAAAGATAAAAATAAATGTTTAAATATACAGAAACACATTCCCCCACGGAAGAAATTGTTGAAGAACAAAGAAGTATACTATTAAATTTGCGAAACACCCACCCCACTTCTTGTAAGCACAGTGTTTTTTTTTTTTTCACCTTTGCTTTCTCTTTCCATCTTTTGGTGAGTAATCTTCAGCCAATTGCTAAAGGGAACACATTTGTTTATTCAACAAATTGATTGCTTCATGGGAACATCAGCTATATTTGCAGCCAAATCATGACCACAACCTCCAATTATCATATTGTATCCCTTTTAGTGGAGACCAAAAAAGTCTTCTTCATCCCTATTTCGTGACACAACACCATAATGGCACGTAAGCAAGATCTGAAAAAAAGAACGACAGAGTGAACCCATAAATAACAAGCAAAGCCACAGGCATTGAAATTGAAAGGTACCCAATAAGAAACACAAGCCGTACACGAAAAAAATATCTGAAATTCCAGATTCCATTTCATCCTGGAACGTAACGTAAGCACAATTATATCTCCATATCTGAGTGCTGCTGCTGCTGATAATACAGAATACCACTCACCTTCCTTATATTAGTTTTTTCTTCATTATATATATATATATATATATATATATATATATATATATATATATATATATATATATATATATATATTATTTTTTATGTGAATTCTGTTCAAGGCACGTTCTTACATTAAATCTATGTATAGTTTGATGTTCAATTCTACATATTTGTTTTGCTAAAGTACCAATTAATTCAAAACATTTTGTATACTTAGTTTCATGACAGTATATTCTTCATAATTGTGATTTTAAGTAAAATTATACATATTTAACTTTCAAAAATAAAATTTACTTCATCCAAAAACCTTTTAAACACAGTAGTAACCCTGGGCATTTTTTTATTCAAACCTAGCTTAATTTACAGCTTTATAAAAACAGGTTTCTTCTTGCCATAAACTTCCTTCATTTTGTTGTATAGCCAGCCTAAAGTAGCTCGCTGGAATATGTCACCCTCAATCTCCGACGGGCAAAGCGAAATGCCAACCACCACCGCCACCCCTTTCCTCCACCACAACCGGTGGCTCCCCTCCTCCATCAGACTGAAAACAACCCTTTTCTCAGAGCTCTCCGGCGCAGTTGGTGACCTAGGGACGTACATACCCATCGTGCTGGCTCTATCTCTGGTCAACAACTTGGACCTCACCACCACACTGGTCTTCACTGCGCTCTACAACATCGCCACCGGCTTGCTCTTCGGCCTCCCCATGCCGGTCCAGCCAATGAAGTCCATCGCCGCCGTTGCCATTTCCGCCGCGCCCCCGCTCACCATCGCCCAGATAGCCGCTGCTGGGCTCTCCGTCGCCGCCGTCCTTCTCATCCTCGGAGCCACTGGCCTCATGTCCGTCCTCTACCGCTACCTCCCCCTCCCCGTCGTCCGCGGCGTTCAACTCTCCCAAGGCCTCAACTTCGCCTTCTCCGCCGTCAAATACATTCGCTACGACCAAGATCTCGCCAAATCAAAATCCGGCCCACCGCGCCCCTGGTTCGCCCTCGACGGCATCGCCCTCGCCCTCGCCGCCGTCCTCTTCCTCGTCCTTACCACCGGCGCCGGCGACGGACCCCCGCCACCACCACCACAAGAAGAAAATGAAAACAGAGTCAGGGTTACCCGGAGGTTGAGGGTTTTGTCAACTGTTCCCGCGGCGTTGATAGTGTTTTTGTTTGGTTTAGTGCTGTGTTTTATTCGTGACCCTTCGATTTTCGGAAATCTTAGGTTCGGGCCTTCGAGAATTTCGGTGGTTAAGATTACCTGGGACGATTTCAAAGTTGGATTCGTTAGCGCCGCAATTCCTCAAATTCCGTTATCCGTTTTGAATTCAGTTATTGCGGTTTGTAAGCTGTCCGGGGATTTGTTCCCCGAACGTGAAGCTTCGGCGATGCATGTTTCAGTGAGTGTGGGGCTTATGAATTTCGTGGGGTGTTGGTTCGGAGCCATGCCTTGTTGCCACGGAGCTGGAGGTTTGGCGGGACAATACAGGTTCGGGGGTAGGAGTGGTGCCTCGGTGGTGTTCCTTGGGATTGCAAAGCTGGTGCTTGCTTTGGTGTTTGGAAACTCTCTTGGCAGAATCTTGGGTGAGTTTCCGATTGGGATTCTTGGGGTGCTTTTGTTGTTTGCAGGGATTGAATTAGCTATGGCTGCTCGAGACATGAACACCAAACAAGAGTCCTTTGTCATGCTTGTTTGTGCTTCTGTTTCACTCACCGGTTCCAGTGCTGCTTTGGGTTTCTTTGTGGGCATTTTTCTCTTCTTGTTCCTCAAATTGAGGGAGGTTGAATGTGCAGGTTTTGGGTTTGGTTTTTGCTCATCCAACAAGATCAAGTCTTCTCTGGAGGATGAGCAAGCTACCTTAATTGCCTAGACAACATATTTGGCTATGGTCCAGAAAATGATCACCAATGTTGTGATCATGATTCATGTGGAAGCTTCTCAGAGGCCATGTTTCTGCATTTGTATTGGTGTAATGTTTGTACAACCCTAAGTAGTTATGGTTTTTTATCCATTTGAATAAAGGACTTCTGGCAAACTACATTGTTGGTGTGCCCTTGGACTGGGGAACATGTGAAGATGGCTGAAAATACTTTCGACTCACACTTCATTATTCAGTGTTTCTGAATTTGGATTTACTCGCTTTTCTATATCTCTGCCTTTTGTTCTCATTCATCCTCTTCAGTTTTCTATATCTCTGCCTTTTGTTCTCATTCATCCTCTTCAGTCATAGAAACAAACAAAATTTAGATATCTAATTTAATAATATAATTTATTATTGTGCAATGAACTCTTACTCTTGAATCATTACCAAACATTTTTCATTGACAAGGTTAACACATCTTTATGGGAAGATAGTTGACTATCAACTAGATCTAAGTTGAGTATTTGTTGCATTTAAGTATTAAGTCATTATTTGTATTTCTAATAATACCTCCCTTCATTGTAATTTCTAAGATCTATCTACTTCCAATTTAGATTCATCTCACTTTATTATTATTTTTATTTTATTTTTTAAGAAAAGTTTTCATGTAACGACACCCACCAAATTATAGGTTGTTCTTATGGATAAATTTGACATGGCAAAACAGTCATGTTTGTCAATATTTTTATGAAACATATTTTTTTTATATTAAAATAAATACTTAATTATGTGAATATTTTTAAATTTTTTATTAATTAATTAATATAAATAGATAAAATTATTATATTTACAAATTAAATTATTTAATTACAATTATCAAATGAATTTAATTTATAAATATTAATGATTTAAATTATAATATTGCATTGGTATAACATTTAACATTGTTATTAATGACAAACATGTTGTAAATGTTCACAAAAACATGAATAAAACTTGATTCCTGATATGTATATAATAATTGTTCTTAAGGATTTATTCGCATTGTATTGTGCAAGTCCCCTAAGATATAATAAGAACTTTTTGGATTTTTTGAGGATTTCAAAAACTAACAAGAAACTCTTAAAAGAGTATATAAACACAAATAAGAATATGACGAAGAAAGGGAAGAAGAGAAGATGAGTGAAATGTGTTTTGGAGGAGTGATCTATTTATAGGTGTAGTGTGTGGGTAACATACTCATTTCCGCATAATAGCCCACACACAAAGTTTAGAATATTTTGTGCAACCCGCCTGAAATCCAGCAACTGCCACCTGTCTGATGGATGAGTGGCGCTGGAAACGTGGATGAGAGATTCTAGACATGCAGTAGTTGGAGTTAACGTTTGTGTAGAAAGAAACACACAATGTTCATGGATCTCGTGTGCGGTTCATGTGTGTTTGGTTTGGGTTCAACATGGGATTCGTGGGTCATCATCTTTTCGTGGGTCTTCATGTTAGGGTTTTTCTTTTGCGATATTCTGTTTCATAATAATTCCCCACATATTGCAAAAATCAAAATATGATAGAGGAACAAAAGAAGAAATCCTTGGTCTTATATAGAATGTAATACATCAGAATTGGTATAGTAAACAATATGAATCAATCCTAGATTGAAAACTTAACACACAGTGTAGTTAGTATAACAAACTATATGAACCAAAATATTTAGTGTGTGTTAACGGTTTAACAATCACAATACACCCCACAATTCTTGTTGTTATCGTTGTATTGCGTTTACTAGGTCATGCGTGTGCCCGATATTCATGAGTGTTCTAGAAATTTTGCAAAGATCTCATACAAGTGGGCTCATTCAACACTCATACAGGTGATTTCATCAAGTATATGTTGCAATCATACACCACCTGTAAGGGACATGAAATCATTAAAACTTTGTTTATATTAAAATTCGTACACCATATAAAATTTTAATTACAAAGTTTAACATCTCAATAATGTAGTATTTAACACTTTCACACACCATAGAAATTAACATAATTGATTTTAATCAATTTTAGTGCTAGTATAATTAATAAGTGGCTTGTTTTTACCCATATAAACCTTATTTATGGGATCTTCAATCACAAAGATTGAGTTATGATCACTTGTTTCTTTGCAAATGACTTGAGTCTCATTCCCCTCGGTATTTCTAAAATCATGTTTTTCCTTAGGGTTTCATCAAATGATCTGCTAGATTCCGTTTTGATTTCACATAGTCAATGAAAATTGTTCCACTCTTTAGCAGTTGTTTCACCAAATTATGTCTCCATCATATATGTTTATTCTTTTCATTGTAATTCTTATTTTTAGCTATAGTTATTGCCGATTGGTAATCACAATGTATTGACACAAAAAAGGTTGGTTTCATCCTAACGAAATATTTGCTAAGTTTTTCAACCACTCAACTTTACTACTAGTCATTTCAAAAGCAACAAACTATGATTATATTGTTGATCTTGCAATAATTGTTTGTCTAACTTATTTTCATGTAATTGCACCACCCTCAACTGTAAATACATAACCACTAGTGGATTTTGTCTCATATGAATCATAGATTTAGTTAGTATCACTGTACCCTTATAATACAATGGAAAATTCACTATATTCAATGACATAATTCATTGAACCTCTAAATATCTCATAAGCCTTGTAAGTGCATCTCAATGTTCTTGATTAGGATAATGAGTGTACATGTTTAGTCTACATATTGTATAAACAATGTCATATCTAAAAAAGTTCATTAAATGCAGTAAGTTTCGAATTATCTGGACATACTGAAATTAAGAAATAGGGTCTCTTATATATTTTTTAAAATTTAGAGTTAGCATCATAGGGGGTACTCACTAGTTTGAAGTCATAATATTTAAACTTTCTAAGAAGTTTCTCAATGTATTGTTCTAAAGATAGTAAAATACTATCTCCCTTCCTATGATTCTAACTCCCAAAATCACATTGGTGTCACCATGCCTTTCATTTTAAATTTAGATCACATAAACAACTTATCATATCAATGCATGTACCAAATATTAGCATATCATATACATATAAACATATAATGACACATTCACCACTTTCAAATTTAGAGTACATACATTTATCAACATCATTAGTTGAAAAGTCATCATAAAGTAGAATACTATCAAGTTTTTTCATGCCACTGTTTTGATGTCTATTTTAATCCATACAAAAAATTTTAAATGTTTACATATTTTGTTCTCTTGACCAGGAACAACACACCCTTTAGGTGGAGTCATATAAATTTTCTTCTCTAATTCACCATTCAAAAAGGTTGTCTTAATATCTATTTGGTGTATAACTAGCTTATGGATAACTTCTAGAGCTAACAGAGACAAAGGTATCAAAATAAATCAATATTTGGTTTTTTGAGTAAAACCCTTTACTATTAATCTCTCCTTATATTTATTTGTGGATATATTGGGATGCTATTTTTTCTTAAAGATCCAATTAAACCAATAAGTTTTACTTTTTTAAGCAAATATACTAAAGTTCAAGTATTATTTTTTTAATTGAGTTAATTTCAGTCATAATGGCCTTATCCCAATGTGTTACATCAGAAACACTACTAGCCTCTAAAAAACTTATTAGATAATTTTCAACAAGATAAATGTAAAAATCATCTCCAAATTAAGTTTTCTTTCTCTGTATTTTACTTTTTCTCAAGTCTTCATTCATGTCATCTCTATTAATATCTATAGATTGTTCAGGTATCTCACTAATCTTTAAAGGAAAAATATGTTAAAAAAACTCAACAGTTTTTTTCTCTTTACATCACTTTTGAGGAAAAAAAACCTATAGGCAACACTATCTTTCGTATACCTAAGAACATATAATTAGAAGTTTTAGAGCCTATTTTTCTTTTCTTAGGATTGGGTACACTCTTAGGTATTTAATATTAGGTTGATAACCTCTCCATAACTCATTGGGAGTTTTACCAGTTTTATTATGTAGTATCCTATTTTGTAAAAAACATGATGTAAGTACAACTTCTCTCCAAAGGTTATCAGATACATTAGAACTAATAAGCATGACATTTATCATTTCTTTAAGAGTTTTTTTTTAACTACTCCATTAGACTCAAGTGAATATGATAGTGTAACTTCGTGAACAATACCTTCTTTAACACAATAATCATTAAATAATACATATTCACCATCTCTATCTGATCTAATCCTCTTTATTTTCCTGTTTAATTGATTTTTTACTTCCACTTTATAGGTTAAGAACATGTCAAATGCTTCATCCTTATGTTTGATTAAGTATACTTTGACGTATTTAAAATAGTCATCTATTAATGTTACAAAATAATTTTTATCATCTCTTGACATGGTTTGTTTTAGATAAACTAGATCAGTATGAATTAATCTTAAAAGTTGAGTTTGACGTTTTATAGATTGACAACTTTTCTTAGTTATTTTAGATTCTACACATATATCATATTTCTTATTTTGATTATCATGCATATTGATTAATCCTAACCGTTGCAATTTCATAACATACGAAGAATTCATGTGTCCTAGTATAATATGTCACATATCATAAATAAACAATATAAGCATAAGAACCTGGTTTGTTAACAATTTCAGATATGTTAAGTATAAAAAGACCTTATCACAATATACCTTCTCCACAAACACATTATTTTTTGTCATAACAATCTTATTAGATTTGAATGACACTTTAACTTCAACTTTTCCTAACAACGCTGTTGAGATTATATTAACTCTGATATGATTAATGGCACATGTGACATCATTCAATGCCATAGTCTTTCCATATGTGAGCTTTAGAATAACTTTTCCTTTTCCTAGGGCAAAAGTTGTCTAAGAATCACCGAGATAAACATATTCTTCTTCATCCCCACACTAGTGTAGGAGGTAAAAACACTTATGTGCACAGATGTGTCTGATAGCACCAGAGTCTACTATCCATTTGCTTATATTTGTCACATGGTTTATTTGGGAAATGACTACAATAATTGTATCTTCTCCTCGAGTTAAATTTGTCTTAGGAGAATTGTCATTTCTTATTCTACGTTTGTACTGAGGTGCATGATGACTTGACTTTCCATAGACAAAGTAATTTCCTTTCTTTTTGAAGGTGGGGTTAGATTCATTGGGACGAGAATTTGTAAAATTATTTTTCTTATGATCAGGTTTTCTCTCGTATCTTTTTGAAACTAGTTTGTCTTCTACCATATTTGCCTTAGCTGATAATGTCTTAGCCCTTGCAGCAACACACTCTTTCTCATTGGTGTCTTCTATGATGATGTGTGTAATAAGATTTGACAGTGACATTTCCTTTCTTTTTGAAGGTGGGGTTAGATCCATTGGGACGAGAATTTTTAAAAATATTTTTCTTATGATCATGTTTTCTCTCGTATCTTTTTGAAACTGATTTGTCTTCTACCATATTTGTCTTAGTTGATAATGTCTTAGCCCTTGCAGCAACACACTCTTTCCCATTGGTGTCTTCTATGATGATGTGTGTGATAAGATTTGACAGTGACATATGTTTATGCTTGTGTCAATTGTTGTTTGTCCAGGATTCCGAAAGTTTTTTAATTAGATGACTATCTGTTTATGCCTATGTCGATTCCGAAAGTTTTTTAATTAGAGGACTATTTGTTTATGCCTATGTCAATTGTTGTTTGTCCAGGATTCCGAAAGTTTTTTAATTAGAGGACTATATTTTTTGCTTTAATGTCTTCAAGTAGTTTGAATGGATCTTGATGTCCTTGTCTTCTAGCATCTCCCAACGATAATAGTTTCCGATAACGATTAGGTTATGGGTCATACTTTATGAAATCTTGATGTCCTTATAACATTAGGTTATGGGTAATACTTTTTTATATATTGCTCAACTTTCTCATTCATACTCAATGTGAGACTTAATTTACTCTTGGATTACTCAACAATCTCTCCCTCAAGTATGAGTCCTTTTACATTGGTACATCTCCCTCGAGCTCACTAGTGACCCTTTCATGTATCACCGTTCACTCTAACGGGACATGCTTACTTGACCACTCTGTCAAGAAGAATTTTGATACAAAGACTACTTTGACCCATTATCAATAAACCTTTTGCTCTAATACCACTTGTTGAATCTTTCAAGGGGGAATTCACTAGGGAAAAACACACCAATGAGACATGAGTTCAACCCACATAAGGATTGACATCACTCTCAACCAAAAACCTTAAGGCATTGGGTTATGGACTATACTTCCTTATATGTTGCTCAACTTTCTCATTCTTACACAATGTGAGATTTAGAATCACACTTGAATTTCCAATAATTTCCCCCTCAAGTGTGAGTCCTCCACATTGATGCATCAAAGATACAAAGACCACTCTAATACCATTTGTTGGGACTTTCGAGGGGGATTCACTAGGGAGAGACAACACGAATGAGACATGAGTCCAACTCACATAAGGGATTGACACCACTATTAACCTAAAACCTTAAGACATTAAGTTATGAGTCATACTTTCTTATATGTTGCTTAACTTTCTCATTCTTACACAATGTAGGACTTAGAATCATATTTGTATTTCCTAACAATCTCCCCCCCAAGTGTGAATTCCTAATTCCTCCACATTGGTATATACCACTTGTTGGGTCTTTCGAGGAGAGATTTATTAGGAAGAACAATGTCAATGAGATATGAGTCTAACTCACATAAGGATTGATACCACTCTTAACCCAAAACCTTAAGACATTGGGTTATGGGTCATACTTCCTTATATGTTGCTCAACTTTCTCATTCTTACACAATGTGGGACTTAGAAACACACTTAGATTTCCAACAGAAATGTGTTCATGCCAGTGTTGAAGTGAAAACTGCAATTTTTGAAACGTTAAAGAAAGGTTTCGCAAAGATAGTTTGAGTTCCAAAAATGTTGTTTGTCTTTTCCGGTGTCGAATTATTGTTTTTATCCATACAGTCGACCATAAGTTCTTAAGATTGTTATAAATGTTGACAAAAACACGAACAAAACTTGATTCCTAAGATGTGTATAATCACTGTCCATAAGGACTTATCCACAGTGTATTGCGCAAGTCTCCCTGGATACAATAACACTTTTTTGAATTTTGTGAGGAACTAAAAAACTAGTAAGAAACTCTTAAAAAAGTATATACACCCAGGATAAGAATAGGACGGAGAAAGAAGAGAAAAAAAATGAGTGAGGTGTGTTTTGGAGGAGTGTGAAATGGTCTATTTATAAGCGTAGTGTGGGTAACATACCTATCTTTGCATAACAACCAACACACAATATTTAGAACGTTTTGTGTAACCCTTATGCTTGAAATCAACAATTGTCACCTGTTATATTAGTGAGTGGTGCCTGGAAATGTGGAGAAGGGATTCTAGGGGAGAAAGAAATGCACAACGTTTGTGAATCTCATGTGAGGTTCATGTGTGTTTGGTTTGGGTGCAACATGGGATTCGTGGGTCTTCATGTTAGGATTTTTCTTTTTGCGATACTCTGTTTCATAACAAAGTATAGCAAATTATAATCTCATTATTAAAATTGAATAACATATTAATAGTATATTGGATGTTTAATTTTAAAAATTAAAGGTTAATACGTGTAATTAAGTTTTTATCAAAAATCAAAATTATACCATCATTTATATTTGTTAAGTTGATCTTTGTTTTTGCAAGGTCGAACACAAATTGGGTCCACTACTCTCTCGCACGATTGTCCCTTTTTCCTTCGTCTTGGTCTTATCAGTGTTCGGTACTCTATTCTCGACGTTGTATGAAGAATGAGGAACCTGCAAGAAAAACATTCTGACGCTTAAGTCAATAAAGGTAAGATATATTGATAAATATCTATCTTGTGAAAAAAGGGAATACTTTACCTTATGTTTGATAACACTTATGTACCTTACGACTTGGTGGTATAATTTTAGGCTCCCTAATGTGGGACTATATTGAGAACTACTAATATAGTACACATGCCCCCATGCTCAAGTCGAGAGGATGCTAAGTATGTCATGACCCACTTGGTTAACATTCACTTGTTGATATGGAGGCGAGGAGCGTATTTTTCGTATGCCGATCTTCAAATCTCCATGCGTTGTTCGAGATGTACCTGGTTATTGAGGTGAAGACGAGGAACATATTTTTTGTATGTCGGTCATCATATTTCGACACGATGTTTGGGATGTATCTAGTTATTGAGGACAAAAAAAGATTGTGAGGGAAAACAAAAGAGGCAGGAAAATTCAAAAGTTTTCGTGTTAAAATATGCTCGCCAAATCTGAACCATTGATTCGAACAAGATCACATGGTTGGGGTTGGAGGGGCCTCGTTTTGTATGCCCTCGCTTATATAATGGATGTGTGGAGGCAGCTTTTACATTTTACCTCCTTGTGCTACATCGTTCTGCCTACTATTTTACTTTTTCTCTACTTCTCTCCAACCTTCTGCTAGTGTTCGATCTCTCTTCTCGAGGTAATTATGACTTACTTCTTTCTTTCCTCCTCTTCTGCTTTTGGGAAATCATCGGATGGCTAGTCGGCGGGGGTAAGAAGTGTGTTGATCGACCATCTGAAAGGGATAGCTTGGACAATGCCTCCTCCGACTCATCAGCCACAACTACTGATGAAGTGGTCATCGTCGAGGATCACATTCCTCCTGGCAACGGTGTAGAAGGCACTGATTTGATATGACTGCTGACAACTTATTAGAATGTGAGGGCTATGAATGAGTGGATCACTGTGTGTGCAACTACTACTCAAAATATCAGTGACCGAGCTTGTTGAAATCATACATTGAGTACCAAGACTTATTGTCAGATGGCGCTTCAGACACCATGGTTTCGCTTCGACGTTGTGGGGCCATGGATAATGTTTGTCATGGTCAAGACGACACTGTGGAATATTTCTACATGTATTCTTGCCTGTTCTCGGGTATCCATGTTTGCCTCCCCTTCAACGACTTTACCACAAGTGTTTTCAGATTGTTGAATGTCACACCGACTCAATTGCATCTAAATAGTTCTCTGTGAAGCCTTGCGCTTACCGCCAACACCCCGAGTTTTCTTCTCACACTTTAGCACCCAACCGACCTCTCTGGTGGGTTGGTTATCTTTGATCGGCAATTTGGCCTCGACCCTTTTTTTGCTTTATCCTTCATCTTATAACAACATTTGTGGATCTCATGTGCGGATCATGTGTGTTTGGTTTGGGTGCAATGTGAGATTTGTAGGTCTTTATCTTTTCGTGGATCTTTATGTTAGGGTTTCTCTTTTTGCAATACTCTGTTTCATAACAAAACATAACAAATTACAATCTCATTATTAAAATTGAATAACATATTAACATTATATCGGATGTTTAATTTTAAAAATAAAAGGTTAATACGTGTAATTAAGTTTTTATCATAATCAAAATTACACTATCATTTATTTTTTGTTAAGTTAATCTTTATTCTTGCAAGACCGAACACAAACCGTGTCCACTACTCTATCGCACAATTCTCCCTTTTTCCTTCCTTTTAGTCTTATCAGTATTCAATACTCGATTCTCAGCGTCGTATGAAGGATTGAGAAACCTACAAGAAGAACACTCCAACACTCAAGTTAGTAAAGATATGATATATTGATAAATATCTATTTTGTAAAAAAAAGGAAATTTTTTACCTTATGTTTAGTAACGTGTGTGTATCTTACGACTTGATGATGTAATTTTAGGCTTTCAAATATAAGACTATGTTTAGAACTACTCATACAATGTTTAGAACTACTCATACAATCTCAAAATATTTTTTTATAGTTTAAATATAATCATTCTAAACTTGGGTGCATGTTGTATCTCCTTCAAAATGATTAATGTATGGTGTGTCTTTTTTGTATTATCAATGTATTTTTAAAAATTTAGAATAATTATTTCAAAATTATATATAAGAATATAAAATAAGGTTAAATAAATTTTATATTTGTAAAATTGGATCATATGAAACTTGTATTTTGAAAAAAAAAATAGTGTTTTTATTCTTAACATTACGTGTGGAATGTAAGAAGAATCAACGAAATATTTAAGAAAAAAAAAATTATACAAGAAAATAAAAGTGGGTTCAAATGAATTGTGTGATCTGCCAACCAATAGGGTCTCTAGGTTTAGACATTTGCTAAATATACCCCTGTCGAAGTAGAACATACACCTCCGTTGTTGTTTTTTTTTTTCAAAACAACCTTATAATTTCATCTTCAATTTGAAATTAAAAGCATTGACTAGATTAAGTCAATGGGTCAATTAATGGTTAGACCCCTGTATTGACATGAGAACAATTTATAGTACAAAAATTCGTGTTCAAATCCAATCTATTCATACTCTAAAACCAATTCCTTTTCTTCTTGAAGAGGATAATTAAAAGTTTTTTTTTTAATTTTAAAATATTTTTTGAAATTGGTTTTGGAAAATGTTTTTTTTAATAAAAAAAATCATTTAATAACACTAATTTATGAACTGAAAAAGAAGAAGAAGATAATACCTACTAAAACAAAAGTTATAAAAAGATTTTAATAATTTCAAAAAACGAAAATTATAGTACAATTTTTTATTTTTTAAAACAAAAAAAAACTAAATATTTTCTTTGATGTATTCAATAAAAATATTTTTTCTTTGACAATATAGATTAAGTTGGGGGGAAGGTGGTGAACATTTATAATTTGAAATTCAAGACAAAATTAAAATTTAAAATAGAAAAAGAAAAAGAAAAATGGGTATATTTATAAATTAGGTGGGGTATATTTAACAACTATCCAAGTGTCTAGAGTGGGCCATCAGACCCACTATCAATAATTAGAGCCTAAGAAGTCATATGTACTCTTTCAAACAATAAATCAATCTCACTTATTTTTCATTATTAATTATTATTATTTAATTATATAATATAATTGTTTTATTCTTATCTTAAATATATTAAATAAGATTAACAATTGTTTTATTCTTATACTAATAATGTATAAAAAATCATAATTAATAAAAAAAATTAAAGATACAGTGGATTTATTAAATTTAGTACATGTGTTATATTTAATTGAACTAAAAAAAAATATTAAAAACGAGAAAAATATTGTCCCCTATCTCTATACATATTCTCCAAAGGTTAAATGTTAAGAATTGAATTTAAATGTTCAAACCGAAACTAAGAAATCAAAATTTAGAAAAAGAAACAGAATATTGCCTTCCGATTTCTTCACATATTCTTCAAAAATATGAGGTTGATAGATGATAAATACACGCCACCAAACTAAGAAATTAAAAATTAAAAAGAGAAAGAATATTGTGTTTGGAATTTGTTTCAAAAATGAAAAAAAGAAGCAAAAAATAGTTTGGATCTGGAAGGGGAAGACCAAGCAGACCCAACTTAAACTTCAATTCAAATCAAGTCTTTCATCTTACGTTAGAGTCCTTTGTTGCTTCTTTTTCGGTCTTCCAATTTCCTAATCCAAATCAAATCATTTTCCACAGTCCATTGTTGGTCCGTGTCTGATTCAGGTTTGTCCTCTCACTTGTTTCGGACCTTGATGATGAGTCTGTCTTCACTTGTAACGTATTCGTTTCTTCGCATTAGATCTTCTCCGAGACTCTGATCTGTGGTTGGTTTTGTCTGCTGTCTGCATTTTCACTGATTAGTCGTGAGGTGGATGTAATGGAGTTCAATATTTCATTGAATCTTGACAATAAAACCATCTGGGTCATTTAGTTTTCTGGATTTCTCAAAAAAAGTGATAAACTTTTGTCGCCCGGAATCATGAAGTTTCCATTTTCAGCCATTGTTGCTCTTTGGTTTGTTTGTGAACTGTTGGTGGTACTTGTTCTCGCAAATTCACGTTTCCCTGAGGGAACTTATAGTTTTGATAGGAACTCCCATGTGACGTATAAGTATGATCGTATAAATGAAGTCCAGAGACAGTGTGCCTCTGTGTTATCTGCTTCATCTGAATTAAGATATGAATATAGTGTTACTGGTATGAAAAGAGAGCTTTCTTTTGCGAATGGGGATTGGAGGCAGGATGGGGGTAAGTTTCCCATAATGCCATTTGATGCTAGCAAATCTCCCGGAACCTCGTTTGAAGACCATGCTTCAATGAACTTGGTATCTTTTTGGGTATCGGATGTTGATCTTGACCACCGGTTGAAGAAGTCAATTCCTATCAATGGTTTTACGGTGATTGGCATTACTAGAGATGGTAATTTTGTGGACAATGCATATGATGGGAATCCTGAGTTTCAGTTATGGTCCAGCCATTCTCAGCTCTCAATTCCCTTTCAAGGGATCTACACTGAATCAAGGAAAAATGGCGGGGAAAGGGTGTTGTGTTTGTTAGGGAACACTATGCTTCCGACTCGAGAGGCTGATCCTGCCAACCCGTGGCAATGGATGAAGAATCCTGGTGATATACCGTTGTCAGAAGATGATCAGATTCTGCTTGTTCTTCGCTATCCAATGACATTCACATTAACAAACAGGGTGATCAGTGGAGAGCTTAGAAGCTTGAACCGGGAGTCCAATTCTAAATACTTTGATGTTGTTCACATGTCATCACAGTTGGGCAAGTCAGCCAAGTACACATTTGGCTCACAACAAATTGTATCAAAAGCATGCAATCCGTACCCAGTTAAAGATAACCTGACGGATGATGGCATTAGTGTCTACAAGGGGGCAAGGTTTTGTGAAATCCTTGAAGAAATTACTAGAGAAAAACCTTTATCTGTGGTGCCAAACTGGAGATGTAAAGGCACAGATGATTTTTGCAGTAAGTTAGGTCCCTTTCTGTCGGACAAGGAAATCAAATCGACAGATGGAGGCTTTCAAGATGTTAAACTTTATATGCAGGATGTGATCTGTGAGCAAGCAGCTAGTAAGAGTAACACTGGGTCTGCTAGGGTATCAACTGTTTTCAGAGCAGTTTCTCCATCAGAGAATCTGTACACTGCAGCAAAAAGATCTGGCCCTAGCAACACGTCTCTTGCTGCAGAAGGGATTTGGAAGTCTTCTAGTGGACAGCTTTGCATGGTTGGTTGCCTAGGAGTTGTTGATGCCAAAGGGAGTAAATGTAGTACTCGGATCTGTATGTATATTCCTACCACTTTTTCCTTAAAGCAACATAGTATTGTTTTGGGAACTTTGTCTCCCATTAGTGATAGTAGTGCCTTCTTTCCCCTATCGTTTGAGCAACTTGTGCTACCTTCAGAACTCTGGAACTATTTCAAGCTCACAAACCCAAATTACAGTTACTCCAAAACTACTTTGGCTGGTACTGTCCTAGAAAAAAATGAGCCCTTCAGTTTTACAACTGTCATTAAGAAATCATTGCTAACTTTCCCCAAACTTGAGGACAATGATGCATTCCAAGATAGTCTGTCTCTTCTTGCAGAAGATCTCACTTATCATGTCGTTGGTTTTCCTGACCCTATACCTAATGTCTTGACCCCTAGAGTTGACATTCAAATGGAGATTCTCTCCATTGGTCCTTTGTTTGGACGCTATTGGTATGCTCAAAATGGTTCAACATCTGAACAGGAAATTCCATATCATGACATGGCTGCTGAATATACAGAAAAGCAACTTCTTATAAATGTATCTGCACAACTCAGTCTTTCTGGAAAAGGTTACAGTAACTTTTCTGTGCTTTTTCTGGAGGGTCTTTATGATCCACATGTAGGAAAGATGTATCTAATTGGTTGCAGAGATGTGCGAGCATCATGGACGGTCTTATATCAGAGTTATGATCTTGAGGCTGGAATGGACTGTTTGATTGAGGTGGTTGTGGCTTATCCTCCTACCACAACTCGGTGGCTAGTCGATCCCAGAGCTACAATATCAATAGAAAGTCAAAGGACTGATGATGATGCCCTTCGATTCAATTCAATAAGGCTCAAAACCTTTCCAATCATATACAGGAAGCAGCGTGAGGATCTTCTATCACGAAGAGGTGTTGAAGGGATTCTCAGACTCTTGACACTTTCATTTGCAATTGGGTGCATTTTAAGCCAACTGTTTTATATACAACATAGTGTGGACTCTCTTCCATATATATCACTTGTGGTGCTAGGTGTTCAAGCTCTTGGGTATACCATTCCTCTGGTCACAGGTGCAGAGGCTCTTTTTAAGAAAATGGTTTCTGAATCTTATGCTGTGTCATCTAGTGAATTGGAGAGCAGTGAATGGCTCCATGTCATTGATTACACTGTCAAACTGTTGTTGATTGTATCATTGCTGATAACCCTGCGACTTTTTCAGAAGGTATGGAAGTCTCGCATCAGACTGCAAACGCGTTCCCCTCTTGAGCCACATCGAGTCCCCAGTGATAAATGGGTATTTCTTTGTACCCTCTCCATACATGTGATAGGGTATGTAATTGTTCTGATAATTCATGGCACAAAGACCAGTCAGAAGGATCTTATAGCAAAGACATATTTGGTTGATGGAGAAAATTCTCATTCATTGCCAGGATGGGCAACAGAATTGGAAGAATATGTAGGTCTTGTTGAAGACTTTTACTTGCTTCCTCAAATTATTGGGAATCTATTGTGGCATATCGATTGCAAACCTCTCAGAAAACTATATTTTATTGGAATCACTGTGGTCAGACTTCTTCCTCATATCTATGATTACATTCGAGCTCCAGTTGCAAATCCTTACTTCTCTGAGGGCTCTGAATTTGTCAATCCAAATTTGGATTTTTACTCGAAATTTGGAGATATTGCTATTCCTGTGACTGCTATTATTCTTGCAACTGTGGTCTATGTTCAACAAAGATGGACCTATGATAAGCTGAGTCAGATTCTGACATTTGGAAAGTATAAGCTTCTCCCAAGTTTCAGATACCAAAGATTGTCTTCTAGGTCTTGTGAATCCGAACTAGTTCCTGGTATCAATGGTGCTGCTGCAAAAGAGAATGAGCAAGTTGATGTAGAGTGATGTAAACACTTCAGAATTACTGACAGACAACAGCTTTTGTACCTTAAATATGAAAAGTAGGTAATAGTTTTGGGTGGATGTACTATTTTGTATGATGTTGCTCACATACTGAATAATCAAGTGAATTTTGTTGTTGTTGCATACTCTTGAACTTCTGATTTAATGAATTTGACAGAGGAAAGGTTAGGGATGAAAGTTTTCTCCAAGCAGAAAAATTGTATGAAGTATAATCAAGCATAATATCATACTGTTATGGCTTCCTGCATTGATTGGATAAGTACTGTCAACATCCAAAACTACCCCATAGAATTTATATCTTACAGGAATAAATATTAAATGTTTTTGGCATATGAAAATATCATAGTTTTTTTGTTAATTCAAGTTACTTATTCTTATTAATTATTTAATAAAAGGCAAAAAAAAAATGTATATCTGAACTTAACTTTTTGATAATCAAATACCCTCAGCTGAAGCATTCATGGGATAATAATTTTAAGATTCTAAGTAAATAAACTTCAATGCAAGCATTTCTAATTTTGTTTTTGAGCTTTAATATTTTTTTTTAGTTTTTCATTCATAATAAAATTTTATTTCGAAGTGTTATAAATTGCTTTGTTTCACTTTCAAAACCCTTATTTTAACAAATTCAGAACCAACAACATGTATTAGAGATGAAAAAGTTAATTTCTTTTTGTTAAGAATCCAAAACAAAATTTATTAAGAATTAAAACCAAATTTATATATATATATATATATATATATATATATATATATAAAATTAATTTTGTAAAAGTTTTCTTAAAATATATATTATTATTTTCATGCTCTAATTATCATTCTCTTAATAATTATTAGTTTCACAGTTGATAGTGTCACATCGATTTATTACCATCGTTTATCATTGTCTGATATGTCTAAATACAAAACAAAATTTTATATATTATGTATTGAATATTTATTTTTATCTATGTTGATCATTAAACATGTATGAAGTAGCCATCTGACTTTGGGACTTATGTCGTGTCAATTTAATGTTTTAAAATTATGTATACTAAGTAGTTAGAATCGAATATTTAAAATATTATTATATACTTTAAATATTCATGAACCTTAATTTTTTTTACACCAATTAAACTAGAAAAATACATTTAAACTAGTCTCAATCTTGACTTTCACGCATGCAACATTAAATATAAAAACCTAATATTTTTAATGTTTGATAAAAATGGTTTTCCCAACCAAACTCGTCCATGTGATTTGTGGCCATAATAATCCTAAAGGTTTTTTTGGTAGAGTTTTAGTGTGAACAAAGCCTTTTTTTAGAGAAAAAATAAATTGTTCTGTTATCGAAAGCCAAACGTTCGATCCTTCTAACGTTGGACTTGATGTCCTACCTAATTTTTTTAGACTGTGGAATTCAAAACCCTTTTAAGACAATTTTTTATTTATTTAAATGATGAAATAAAAATCAGTTGAAAGAGTGCGTCCACAAAATCTTTGAAGAGCAGAAAAATTCTTTATTATTCCATCTTTCGATGTCCGTATTTATGATTGTTCTTCCCAAAATATTTTTCTTACAAACGTATTTAAAACTATAATAAATACATATAATTTTAGAGTAGATAAATTTAAGATCAATCTAATGCCATAGTGATTCAAAAACTACATGCCAATTTGTCTGAAAAGTGTTACTCCATGGTAAATGAGAAACATATATTTAATGAGACTCAACTTTCAACCTTCAACAACATCCACTCATCTTCGTCGAGTTTCAGTGTCATAACTAAAATTCGGTAGAAGCACTAATACAGGCCATTAAATCGTAGAAGAAGTATCATTGATAGTAACCAAAGTAGCATGCACGCATTAATGCATCGGCATGACTCTAGTGGTCTCTTGTAGTATATACACCTTCCACGTGCCATGTTTATCAAACTAGCTTTGACTTTTCCCTGCTTGCATGTGAAAACACAATAAGCAAAAAGAATTCCAAGTTAAAAACAAATTTTGCAGATAAGAGTAAACAGGTATCGTATATATAAAGACATGCTTTCTATGTTTGTTGTCATGAAAGCTGAAAACACAACTGAAAAAACTAATATTCTTTCTTTCATATTTTACTTTATCACTTTTTCGTAGTGTTGTACATTTCTACTAGCTACCTGTATAAGACGTTGTTCTTTGGTGTTCATCTCATATTATAGCAGTTTGTTACTGCATATGTATGTTGCAAAGGTTGTGGTGCTGTAGTTTTCTTTAGTGGAGGAAATGGAGGGGAGTGATATATGCAAAGCAAGGAATAGTTTACGTGCTACCAGTTCTACTGCATGGAGAAGGAGTATAATGGAAGGTTTTTCGAGGTCCTCACATCATGAAGAAGGATATGATGAAGAGGCTCTGAAATGGGCTGCACTTGAGAAACTACCCACTTACAACCGTTTGAGGAAAGGGTTGTTGACCACTTCGCGTGGAGTTGCCGATGAGATTGATATAACTGAACTTGGATTTCGAGAAAGACAGAAACTGTTGGACAGGTTGATCAATGTTGCTGAAGAGGACAATGAGAAGTTTCTGCTGAAGCTCAAGGATCGGATTGATAGGTAAAGAGTGAGGATGCATTGATGTTGCTTCTTTCTTCTCTTTTTTATTTATGCATGTCTATGATGTTTTTATTTGTTTTTCTATTTTACTTTTTCAGAGTTGGGATTGAAATTCCAACAATTGAAGTTCGATATGAGCACTTAAATGTTGAGACTGAGACTTATGTGGGAAGCAGAGCTTTGCCCACTTTTCTGAACTTCGTCACTAACATGGTGGAGGTACATTTGGAAGATTCTAGCTCTGACTTATGTTTCTTTTTCTGGAGTTGGTTTCACTCTCTTACAATATTTTTCTCTTTTCCCTTCTAGAGTGTCTTTACTTCTCTCCAGATTCTCTCAGGCAAAAAGAAACATGTTACTATCCTTAAAGATGTTAGTGGCATAATCAAACCTCGCAGGATGACACTACTTTTGGGTCCTCCAAGTTCAGGAAAAACCACACTCCTTTTGGCCCTGTCAGGAAAACTAGATCCAAATGTAAAGGTGAAAAACAATTTCCCTTAATTTTTGTATTGCTTCCCTCTTGTCTATTAGGTGGTAGTTTTGGTTTAATTTAGATGCCTTTGTTGTGTCATCTAGGTATCAGGGAGGGTGACTTATAATGGGCATGGAATGGACGAGTTTGTTCCTCAGAGAACAGCTGCATATATTAGTCAGAATGATGTTCATATTGGAGAAATGACAGTGAGGGAAACCTTGGCATTCTCAGCAAGGTGCCAAGGGGTTGGAACACGTTATGGTTAGCCATTTTTTTTCCTCTCTGTTTTCAATCAAGCCATGCCTAATTCCACCGTACCGCTTTTTTTGTATCTAATGTGGGTCAAACCGTTCATTATTTGCTATGATCAAGACTTGCTATCTGAGTTGGCTAGAAGAGAAAAAGAAGCAAAGATCAAGCCAGACCCGGATATTGATGTCTACATGAAGGTAAAAATTAAGCTAAAATTATCAATTCATGTTGCATTAATTTAAGCTAGTTCTATATGGATACAGACAATATCTCTGCATCTGATTGTTTTGTGAAATCCCAGGCAGCTACAACTGGAGGCCAGGAGGCAAGTCTGATAACAGATTATGTACTGAAGGTAACACTAGACTAGTTCTACAAAATTTATACCTTTTTGACCCTTTATTTACTAAAACTGACATGGTTTTAGTATTCTGTGGAGCTACTAAAACCATGCGTCTATGTTAGAATGTATGAACGAGAGAAAAACGTACAATTCTATTTGATAGGGTCCAGAAAACCTCTTCTACTCTAAATATTATTATGTAATAGACCCACAGAGTATTTACTTCAATATTTTGCAGATTTTGGGGTTGGATATATGTGCTGATACAATGATGGGGGATGAAATGTTGCGCGGTATATCTGGAGGACAAAGGAAGCGGGTTACTACAGGGGAGATGTTGGTTGGACCAGCAAATGCTCTATTCATGGATGAAATATCAACTGGTTTAGACAGTTCTACAACTTTTCAAATTGTGAAGTCTCTTAGGCAGTATGTTCACATTCTTGATGGAACCACAGTTATCTCTTTACTCCAGCCAGCACCGGAGACTTATGAACTTTTTGATGACATTATTCTAATATCTGATGGTCAAATTGTCTACCAAGGACCCCGTGAACATGTTCTTGAATTTTTTGAATCTGTTGGTTTCCAATGTCCTGAGAGGAAAGGTGTTGCTGACTTTCTACAAGAAGTAAGTCAAAGTTTTTCTTTTGTATCCCTTGGTTTGAAATTTTTGCTGAAAGCTATGGACATAAAATTTAATGTCTTCTCACAGGTAACTTCAAGAAAGGATCAAGAGCAGTATTGGATGCACAGAGATGAAACATACAGGTTTGTAACTGTTACTCAATTTGCTGAGGCTTTTCAGTCATTCCATGTTGGGAGGAGAATTGGGGAAGAGCTTGCAACTCCATTTGACAAGTCCAAGAACCACCCAGCTGCGTTAACCACTGAAAGGTATGGCGTTAGCAAGAAGGAATTGTTAAAGGCTAACATCTCGAGAGAGTATTTGCTCATGAAAAGGAATTCATTTGTTTACATCTTCAAGCTGTTTCAGGTGAGTTCTAGTCGCTTTATGTAAAACAATTTATAAGACTAACAGCTTTTTTTGTACATTCACCTCACTATCTGTCTGTCTTTCTGCTAGTTTAAATAAATGTTTTTAAATTATAATATTTCTATGCTCATTATAATGATTTTGCTTACATGGTTTCTACTTTTGATTTTTCTGTCCGTGCTTTGCACAGCTTACGACCTTGGCAATATTGACCATGACAATGTTTCTGCGAACTGAGATGCATCGGGATAACTTGGGTGACGGTGGTGTTTATACTGGTGCTCTATTTTTCTCAGTAGTAATTCTTATGTTTAATGGATTGGCTGAGAT